AATATAAAAATAGGTAAGAATAAAAAGGTTAAAAATAATAAACCTTATGCTAAAATTAATACTTAAAATAAAGTTATTTTTAACTTACCTAGTAATTTAATATTATATAATAATAAAAATTTTATAATTTTACTTACTTTTACTACTAGCCTAAGCTTAGTAAATATTATAATTAATTAAAGCTTTTAAACCTATAATAATTATAAAATTATTTTAATAATACCTAACTAGGTAGTAAAAAGTAAGAAAAATAAAAAAATTTTTAACTTTAAAAATAATAGTGTTAAAGGGCTTTTATAATTAAAAAATAATATAAATAAAAATAATAATAAAAAAAAATATTAATATTACTTTTTTTTATTAAATTTAACTTAAAATTATATAAAATTAATATAAAAAAGGGGAGTAAAATCTTAATCCTAAACTTTTAATTACATAGGTTAAATTAAATAAAAAGGCTTAATATAACCGCCTGTACTAAAAGTAAGATTTAAAAAATTTTATAAATAAAAACTACCTAAAATAAAAGCCTTTTTTAAAGTTTTTTATACTAAACTTTTTTATTAGCTAATAAAAATTTTTACTAAATATTATATTTTTTTTATTTAATAATTTTTAAGCCTCCCAGACCATTGCAAGAGGCATTAAGTAAAGTTATTTATTAAAATTAACTTTAAAAAAAACTAAAAAACTAGGCAAAACTTATAAAGTATTTATATAAAAACTAGTTTATAAAGGTTATTAAAGTTAAATTTAGTACTTTTAAAAAACTTTATACTTTTAAAATTATTTTTATATTAAAAAGCAAAATTATTATATTACTTATATAAATATTTAAATATAAATTTAATACTACTAGCTATTTAAATAAATTTAAAGCACGCCTTTGCGCTAAAAATTTTTTTAATTTATTAATTATATTAATATTATAATAATAACTCTTGCTACCTAATTATTCTAACTTATAATAATATTTATTACTTATTTTAACCTTAATATTATTTAATTAAATATTATTAATGCCTTTATTTAAAGCTTTATAAATAAAAAAAATATATATTAAAATACCACCTGGCCCCTGGCGTGTTAAAAATAAAGTATTTAAGTTAAATTAATTATTATATAGCCTTAAATAATTATTATATATTTAATAAAAAAAATATTTTTAATATTTTTTAAATATAGCTTTAACCTAGTGCTAAAAAAGCCTTATTTTTTATTATAAAGTATTTTATAATTATTTTTTTTATTAATAATATACTTATTATAAGTAAAAAATTAGCTAAAGCTAAAAAAAGGCCATTAACTTTATTAAATATATAAAGTATATATATATAAATAATAAAATCTTAGTAAAGTAAAGTAGTTTTTAAATATTAAAATTATTTATAATTATTATAATTAAAAAATTTAGTTACTTTAAGATTTTTATATTAATAATTTATAAGCTAAATATAACCTTATAATATTAAGTAAAATATTAAAAATATTTTTATTTATGAAAAATTAACACTTGTGCTTTTAAATTATATATTTATAAAGTAAAATATTTTTTTATATTAATAACTTATTAGCTTATTTTTTTATTTTATTATAATAACATGCTTTAATACCTTTAAAGTAGCTAGTAAACTTGCTTAGTATATAATATAACTTATTAAAATTTATATTAAGGTAACTAAATATATTATTTAATATATTATTTAATATATTATTTAATATATTATTATTATAAAAAACCTAAACATTAAATACTTAGTTAATATTAAAAAAATTATTACTATAGCTTTTAATATATTTTTTAGTAATAATTTTAATTAATAAAGCTTTAATAAATAGCTTATAAAGCTATTTAAAGGTTTAATTAACTAAAATACTAATAAATAAAAAATAATTACTACTTTTATTATTAAAGCTAAATTACTTACTATTATTAAGAAAGTAAAAAACCTTATATAATAAAAAAAACTTTTTAATATTATAAAATTTAATTTAAAGGTTAAATTATACTTTTTTTTATAATAATACTTAAATTATATAATTACTTAACTTAAATAATTTTATATTTATTATATAACTTTAATATATTAATATTTACTATTACTAGCTTTGCAAGAAGTATTAAAATAAAAAAATTAAAATTAATTAAATAAAAATAAAAAATTAATTAATAAATAACCTTACTAAACTTCTTAATAGCCCGCGCTATAAAATATTTATTTATTAACTTAGTTTTATTAAAATTAAAGCTATTTTTAATACTTAATATTAGTATTTTTATTTTTTTAAATGCTAGGGGGTATATTAAATAAAAAGTAAAATTTTTTTAAATTTTTATGGTAAACTTAATTAAATAACTTTAACTAATTTTTAAAAATAAAAAAAAAATTAATTTTTAACTTTGGCTAAATCTCACAACCTAATTAAAAAATAAATTATAAAAAAAAAAGGATAAATATAGCTTAAATTTTTTTATATTTAGCTATTAAACTTTTATATTTTTATTTATTTTAAATTTTAAAAAATCTTATGTTTTATTTACCCCTTAATTCTTATCCTAATCTTACATGACTAATTTCTGCCTGAGGCATCCGTAACTCCGAAAGAGGAAGCCGCCTGGAGAGATTAGGTAAGCAGCTCCTCCAAGGCGGAACTGGCGGCGCCGCTCCTCCAGCTTCTCCAACACTACCGTGCTTACTCATCTGCCGCCTAAACCCACCTGCCGCCCAAAAATCGATCTCCACCACCAAGAAAAAATGAAGCTTTTTAACACATACAAAAGGTATGAGAACCTAAAATTTTGGTGGTGTATTCTACACTAGCTAATTGCTTTATATATAAATTTAGGACTTTTAAAAACGCTGCGGTAGCCGGATCTCGCGGCCTTAACAATTTACTAAGATTGGGGTATTGGGAATAACTTTAGGGCTGGGGGGGGGGAGTTTTTTTTTAGGGGACGCTTTTAAAGTTGCTGGAGGCTTGCTCTTTCCTAGCTTGGCTAATTTAAAGCTATTTTAAAGCTAGTTCTCCGCCTTTTTGGCTATACGGGCCTTTTTCTTTTAGTGGTCTTTTTTAGCCTTCTTCCTCTTTGCTTTAAGCTGTTGTTTTTTTGCATTTGCAGCTCTTATTTTTGCGTTTTTTTTAGTTTACTGTTTCTTTTTTTCTTTAGCTTGTTATTGGCGTAGCTTATCTTTATCCTTCCTGGCCTTTTTTTGTTATATAGCCTTATTTTTCTGCTTTTAGAGATCGCGGGCCTGTTAAATTTTTTTAAAAGAGTAGAAAACTATATTGCCATCCTCTAGTGCCTGGAGTTAAAATATAAGTAGCTTTCCTTGTTGCCTTTTTTTTTTCTTATTAATTAAGGCCTTTTTAAGGCTTTGACTGCGCGCCTTTATAAGTACAAGCTTTGTATAAAGATAATGAACTATAATACTAAGTTTCTTGACCTTTTAAGGCTTAGGGTCTTTAAAGATCTCCCTAATTAGTTTATTAATCTTTTTTTAGTTATTCGCTTGCAGTGGGCCCTCCGGATTGTTAGTAAATATAGGAGTTTTATTTATATTCTTCCTAAAGCGCCTTAGTATAATCTTAGGATTAAAAGGGAATAAACTAGTTACTTTTTATAAACTTTTTATATTCTTAGGAGATAAAGCCTTTTCCCATACCGCCTAGAATAATTTAAAGAAGTCTTGCTTTATAATAGTGCTAAGGCCTTGGCAAAAATACATAAATACATTTAGTTTATTAGTGTATGCCTTAAAAAAAAAAGAGAAAATTCTAATATTTAAAGGCTGCAAAGTATAAGTTAAATAAGGCGGATAAGTAGCCACGAGTATCTTATTAGCTTCGCAGTACTTTAGAAAGCGCATTATAATATAAAATCCATGGCTATTAAGGAGAAAAAGCCTCCAATGCCTTCTTGCTTTATCCCTTATTAATTTATTAAATACTTGTTTAACCCAGGCTAATCCAAGGTTATTATTTATTTATCCGGATATGGATAAGGCAAAAAAATAGTTATAAGTTTATAGTTTAAAGTTTTAAAGCCAGGTGTCCTGCAGTTTAAATGCAGCTAACTAGTAAATAAGGCCTGGAGGTAGTGACCTTTTATTAGCTAATATACATGTAATAGTGGTTATTTACTCCTTATTTCCAGGCTGTAGGCGTTGCTTTATCCCTGAATAAAAATAGGTTTTTTTGGAAAAGATCCTCTTGTATTTTGTAAGTATTTTAATAAGAAATTTTTTTTTGTTTATGTTGTAGGTATTCTTAGCTAGCACCTTATATTTATCCATTTTCCGCTTTAAGCAGTTAAAGTATAAAGAGTATTTATAGGCCAAATTGGCCTTTTTTCTTAAAAAATTAATCCTAGTTATATAGGCACTTATAAGCTTATTATTATGTTTCTTAAGCCAGCGCGAAACCTAGTTGCTTCCTGCCTTTTTTTAAGTAATTTTAAATGCAAAGTTCTTAACTATATTATAGGTGTAGAATAAGCCATGGCTGGCCTGTTAATTAATATAATTTATAAGATCTCTTAATTATTAAGCGTTAAGTAATAATAGGTTTTTGTACTGCTCTTTTTTTAAGCCTTAAATGCCTTTATAATATCTAAACAAAGTACTGCGGTTTATACTAAATTTCTTAGTAATATTTATATATAAAAAATGTTCTCCTGGCTTTAAGAAGTTAATATATTTTATTGCTTTCTCTATTAAAGTTAAAATAAATAAGATATAGGTGGTTAAATTCTACGAGCAAATGTCGGTGTAGATGTCGTTTTGGGCGGCAGGTGGGTTTGGGCGGCAGATGAGTAAGCACGGTACCGGTAAGGAGATGATGGAGTGGGGACTCCCTTCGCATATCTCCGCATAATCATGCTATCTTGATACCGTCCGGGGTCTTCTAGACCTTACGTACGGTTGAGATAAGCCCGTATCTATACGTATGCTGTGCGCGACAATGTCCTCGATCCCATCAACACCAAGCAGCTTTCCACGATGGCCGAAAAAATGAGTCACGTCGATCCCGCCGCTGAGACACCTCCTCCACGGGGCTGGTGGGAGTATGGATACCTGGCAAAGCTGAATGTCGGTATCATCTGCCTGACGTTCTTGTGTATGTTCTTGTCCCATTGTCTGCGCAACTCCATCGCTGACAAGTCCTAGCAAGCATGAACGGCTACGACAGCTCCCTTCTCAACGGCCTCCAAGCTTTGCCCGGTTGGATCGAATTTATGGAATCCAAGCAGCGTGTGGCTCGGCTTCACCAACGCCCTCTACTGGAACGGCGCCGCTACAAGCACCCTCGCCGCAGCAACGGTCGCGAATCGCTACGGACAAAAAGCGGGTATCTAGTTGTGGTTTATCTGCCTCATAATCGGCAGTCATGCAGACGGCGGCGCCCAACTCGGCTTGCTTCATGGTTGCTCGTCTGTTCACTGGTATGACGATGGGCTGGATGAACAACGCGACCCCGGTCCTGATCGCCGAGGTGGCATACCCGAGCCATCGCGGCATTGCGAGTGCTCTCTATATAACAAGTTACTACATCGGCAGCATTCTTGCAGCGTGGGTGACGTACGGTACCTGGACCTGGGCTTCCAGCTGGGCCTGGCGTTTTCCCTCTATACTGCAGCTGCTGATGCCTGCGTTGGCTCTACCTGGGCTTTGGCTAGTGCCGGAAAGTCCGCGGTGGTTGACCTCTGTCGGACGCATTGCCGAAGCACGAAAAGCACTGGTTGATCACCATGCCGGCGGAGATAAAAATGCTCCTTGGGTCAACAGCGAACTACGCGGCATTCAGGAGGCGATCGCTGCGGAGATGGCGGCAGAGAAGGAGTCGGCTTGGACAGAACTCATCTGCACGCCAGGAAACCGACACTGGCTCTTCATTACCATCACCCTGGGCTTCTACGGTCAATGGGCCGGCAACGGCCCTCTGTCTTACTAGCTATCCCTTGTACTCCAAGCCGTCGGGGTGACAAAGACCGGTGACCAAATACTTATTTCCGCGGGCCTACAAATCTGGAACCACTTCTTCGCCCTTGGCGCAGCGCTTTCCGTTGAGCGCATGGGCCGCCGAAAACTCTTCTTGCTTCCGCAGGTATCATGCTGGTCGGCTACATTGTCATGACCGGTCTGAACGGTTCCTTCGAATCGACCGATAATTCAGCGACAGGGGTTGCCATGGTCCCATCCATATTCATCTATCTTGCCGGATACGACATCGCTCCGACCCCTCTACTCATGCCTTATCCTTGCGAGATATGGCCCTTCCGCTTACGATCGCGCGGTCTCATGGTTGCCTGGCTCTCCTGCATTGTGGCCGTCATCTTCTACACGTTCGTGAACCCCATTGCAATGGATGCCATCGGCTGGAAATACTACATCGTCTATGTCTGCCTGTTAGTTATCTGGTGCGTTATTACGTTCCTTTGATACCCCGAGACCCGTGGGTTGTCCCTCGAAGATGTGGCACTGAGCTTCGACGCGTCGAGTGCGATCACGGAGGGAGCGGACATCGAGGACAAACCATCATCGTCGGAAGAACGCCGAGAAGAGACAGATCCTACTGATGACTTCACCCGGCATGTATATACCGGATGATGTACGCATCTGAGCTCGCTGCACGGGTAAGAGTGTTTGATTTGAAACGGTAAGAGTGATGACTGTAATCAACGACTTTAATTTGGCAATCTAGCAAGAAATCCATATGTGTACTTCAGCATAACTACAAACTGTCCAAACTACTCATCAGCCATCTCAACCTTCATCTCCCCTCTACCTAAATCCTCCACCCCATCCCCAAAAACAACAGGCTCCCTCCTCTCCCGATTAACCCTCAAATCAAAGACATCCAGCCGCTGATACCCCCCACAATATTATGGTACTGCTTGCCCTCAACACAACGCTCCAGCTCAAAATCCGCATACAGAATCCCCTCCTCGTCCTGAAGGAACTCCGTCTCAACCATTCCCCCCTTCTCATCCACCGTAAACGCCGGATGCGCCGCGCCGGTAGGATCAAGGAACATACTCGCCCCGCGCGACGAAGTTAGCAGCGCATTCCGTACAGCCTCGGGATCCCTCGCGCCATCGGTTATAACATCCACCGCGTTGGACGCCAGGACCCCCGCGCAGAGAACGCCGAAACACTTCGCCTCGAAGCAATGCGCCGCGGCGCGGGCGCGGTTCGCAGCAACATTATCGTAATTCCTTGCACCGGCGTCATCGGAGGGAAGTCTCGTCGGCCAAACGCCGGCCACGTGGAGATATGGATCTGCTCCGCCTGCGCGATGAAGGTGTACCGGGCAAGCGGATTGGACTCTGGGAAGACGACGAGGTGGGCATTGTTGGCGGCTGCTTTGTGGACGAGCGAGATGGCTTTTCCCGTTGTGTTGGAGGCAGACAGGAAGATGGGCGAGACGTGGCAGGAAGCGACTCGGGTGGGCATTCTGTTGATATTCGACTGGTGATGATGGGAGTTGGAGAATTGACCGGGAGGGACGGGGGTGCTGCGGGCAGAAGTGACCATGGCCATCTATACACCACTATACCAAAGCTACCAGGGTAGATAGCATATTTACGTTCTCCGCGAATATTCAACCATCATATTAGGCATTTTCTCGAATGGTCACAGATAGTTTCTCTGGAGTTAACCTCCAAGTCAACTAATTAGGGCTAGCCCCACGAGCCCTAATCTTGTCTCTAGCATAAAACCAAGCCCATCAAGGACACCAAAAGCTAGACAGAGATTCAAACCAGTGTAATCTCCATATACAAAGCACTGCATTGTAGCAGATTCATGAACAATCTCATTCCAAGGTTGTAAAAACAAGCACGCTGCAGAATCCAGCCATGAGACCCGTCGACCGCAGCCTTGATCCATCAAAGTCCAAGCAGACTCCGCTGAGACATCAGCTTTGTTCAGGGTCATATCAACACAATTATCGCCAAGGATAACACAATTATCAGCATAGACAGCCTCATCGTCAGGGGCATCGCCGTAAGAAGGACGTGGCTCCTCCAGACAGGCGTAGAACGAGCCCCCGGCGAGCTTCAGCTCGTTGCCGCTGAAGGTGAAGCCATCGGTAATAGCACTGGCAGGGACCCAGTGTGGTCAGTGCCGACGACGCTGAAGTGGCCGTCCTTGGCAACGTAGACTACAGTGCTATAGTCAGATAACCCAGCTGACCAGGTTGTTGTTCAAAGAGCGGGTGACTGACCAGCATCGCTGTTCTTGACCGCGAGAGAGCCGGCGCCACCGGAGAACTTGACGCCGTGCTGGCTGGCCATGCGGAGACGAGCAGGGTGGAGCCATAGAAGACGACCTTGCGGTTGTTGAGGTCGCTGGTGGCTGAGGTTGTGTCGGTGACGGAGAGGGTGAATTCGTTAGAGTGGGCAGCAGCAGCGAAGGCGCTGATCAAGGCGGACTTCATTTTGGGTGATTTTGGTGGTAGTTTGGGTTGTCTGAGAATGTTGATGATGTTGAGATGAGACGGCATTCCAAGGCTTTTATATGTCGATACTGCGCACCTTGATGGCCTTTGCAACTCTCGCGGAGCATTGTCACGTTGACTATTCTTCATAACTCTGCAAGATCCCTACTGCGTATCCAGCTGTGAAATAAATGATAAGCGAGGTACATAGATTAAAGCTGCCGTATCCATACTGCCTATCTGCTTCCAAAGTGAAACAAATCTCCGGGGAATAGCCCTGTTTACTTTGAGTCTTTTGTATAGATGCGGTTTTTCATAGAATGTCTCTTACACTATCATGGAAGCCTGAACATACTATAAATAATGGTCTCCACCTATAACAGTATTGACGCCAGGAGATTAATCGAAGAATGAAAGAACCGTTTCGAGACTTATTCACTTATCGCCGAGTCATTACCCCCTTTGAACCATCAAGGTTGTCACAGGCTTTCCATAAGTAATATAACATCTGCCAGGATGAGAAACTTGATGGTGTGTTTTGATTGAATCAATATGGATCTAGTGGACCATCCCTAGCTCATACATGTAAAATAACCCTAAGAAACAGGCCGTTCATGTCCGTGCTGACGCCGATGAGCAACTGTAGTATCGTTTGCATCCGTAGTGGTGACAGCGCCTACATCTTCGAGCTCGACCTCTGTCTCTGAAGATGCCGTGCACGTGCCCACGACGGTTCCTGTCCCCGTGCGCTGCGTACCGCTACTCCCGCTTCCCAGCTCACTTTCAGACGCCAGACGAATAGAATACGCAAGGTTGACATCCACGTTCATGTTCCGTTTGAACCGGAGCGCCCGATTCACGCGCGACCGCGACCTCGACCAGGTATGTGTGCTCCGGCCCTGCGGAGGGACATTGCCATGGCTACGGGCAGCTTGAGCGTGCTCGTTGTCGTCCAAACCCATGGCTCTGGCCCGGCGGAACCCCGCCGCAATGGGCTTGTAGATGATGGGGAGATTCGCGCACAGGAGCGCTGTCACGAGCTCCCAGACTGACAGAATGCTGAATGGAACGCCATCCCCTGAACGTTGTGGCTTTTGTTAGCGGGGGCGCGGGTAACCGAAACTGGTGGGATGGACTCAAGGAGGCAGGAAGGGCAGGTGGAATGGATTGAACATACAGGTAAAGTCTGGGGACATCATCTGAACCTGAACCAGGAGTGCAATTCGCGCAGCGCCAAGGACGCAGGATCTGTGGTAGGATAGAAAGTTAGCGGCACAGTATAGCACTGTCTCTGTAGCAATGGCTCGACTGAGGGGAGCAGATAGGACGGACGTACGCAAGGCCGACAGAGAAAAGAAAGACCAGACAAAGCTTCTGCCGGGTGGATATCATACGCATCTTCGCAATAAGCGGTAGAGGCATGATAAAGATCCATATATCCAGGCCCAGGTTGCTGCCAGCCTGCCAGTACAAGGCCGAGTGGGCGGCCAAGCAATTGCCATCTATCATGGTATTCCACATCTTCTGTACAGGGATGCACTGAAAGGTCCAAGCAAAATCAGTGGCTAAAAACCAGAGAATCGTCACAACGGCCGTTGCGCTGCTAACGCGCCTAATGGTAAGGGAGGGGAAGGCACGGTAGTAAAGGGCAAGCACGGAGAGCTTGGTGCCAGCGTTGCCAAAGAAGTAAAATTGCAACGCAATGAAGATGAGCTGATATGGCATTGGTTAGTTCGCAGTCGTAGCATCGGCAATGGCATGGTACTTTTCCGAGGGACGTAATGTCCTCCTCTGCCATGGTCTGGACGCGTCGCCCGAGTCCGTATCGCGGTGCTAGGGAAAAGCAGGCCTGAGCATTTGTAGTCATCCTCGGATACGCGACGTACCTTGTAGAAATGTGGCATTAGAACCAACAATGGCGACCTTGCCACTCTTAGCAATAGTGTCGTTTCCTGGCAAACTGGGCACATACCGTAGCAAGGATACTGAGGATATCATCAACCTTTAAACAATTCCGGTGCAGGTACAGCTCAGACCAAAGGCGAAGGGCGGTTGAGACGATGAGAATTGGGATGGGAATGGCGAGGCCGACATAGAGCTCGGTTGTTCTGGACTCGGCCAGATACTCTGGACTAGGGCTTGCCATGGCGCGAGGATGTAATGTGGGACAAGGGCTTAGCGGCCTAGATAACAGGGGCATGATGGGATGTGTTGAATATTAGTAGGAGCTGCCTTGGGGATCATCCAGGATTTAGGGCGAACCCAATTTCTTTGTCTTCCGTTGGCAAGATCGGACAACACGGTACCTTTGCCATAGTCAGTACCGAGTAATTCTAACTCGGGGCAGATCGACGGAGCGCCTCGTCCGGGCATCGGGGTCTTCCTTCCGGGAATGGTCGATCCTCTAGGTCGTACTTCGTACAGTACTATACTCGTACTATTGCTGCTTCTTGCCAAGCATCCTTCGCAGATTCCAGCCCAATCTGGAGGATCAATCTGATACGTCTACTGCTCAGCCGGTAACCAAGCCTTGATGGTGTCGCGCCCAGACCTCGGCTGCGAAACGCGCCTTATCTCGCCACCCATGATGAAGTCCCTTGGTATTATTGCGATAATGAGTCATGAAGATGAGCTCGCACATAGAGACTTAGCGTGATGATAACTGCGCTCAGGTTCGGTCCATGTATGACGTGTCGTAGGACAGCGGCTGTAGAACTCGATCCTAAAACATTAGCTATCGCACCCGCGGTCTACAGGAGGAGGGTCATGCCGATGTGAGCCTCTGCAATGATATTAGACGTGAAGGATAGGGCCGGGTGGGAATGTATATAGCCCATTGTTTGGCTCGGACATGCCCGGCAAAGTCCAGCCTCAAAAAGCTTAACGCGAAAGCGATACCTAGGCCACCGCTGTTCTGCACGGACCCTTTGAGGATGATTAGTGTAGAAAATTATTTTGGAAATTGCATCTACCTCACAGCGCTATTGGAACGCAACATGTCCATGACGCATTCATCACATAATGAGATTGAAACGAATCTGGTGGGCAATGTAGAAGACCAAGAAGACGGATATCAGGATCAATATAGTGCTGCACTCCACGCCAAAGAGCCCTTGCAAACAAGTGTGCTGTTGTTGATTTGGTTGAGGAGCGGGTATCACATAACTGGCGTCTCGGGTTCGTGATAACCAATGTCGTGCTGTGATCTTGGATCGGTGTTCACTTTGTTGACGTGGATGGGCTCTGTGTTGTCGTGGATGTCAGGATTCATCTTAGTAGATTTGAAGAAGGTTCAGGTATTGCTAGTGTGGGAAAGTGATGAACGATGGTTCTTGGCCGTCATGAAGAGGGAGAATCAGCACGGACGCGTCATAGGTCGGTACCAGTGGTACCTCCTTCCTTGGGTAGGGTTCGCTCATCCARAGCACAAATATTGAGTCACCCAAACCCAGGAGCCTCGAGATTCCCTCCACAAATATCAACGGACCGAGCTCTTGTCAATCCGGAACAAGATGCAGCCTACTCCCTTTTGTCTAGACGATCCACACGAGTTGTTGGGTTCATCTCGGACTTTTACCCGCAGCTGGAATTTACACCCATCGCCTTCCTCAACGAGCCTCGATGAGCGAGTGTGTCGTTGATATTGTAACATAAGGCACAAACAAGGCTAGTGTTGGGCCTGGGAGAAGTCGAAGTGCCATAGAAGCTGAGCAGTATCATTAGCACTGTAAATGCTTTGCACAACTACACAACTGCACCGTACCATGACTGGCAGCTGTGCTGACCACTATGTGAGGTGAGAGCTCTATGTGATCAGGGCTCTGCAGTCGCCGTTCCGCTTCATGTCATCGTATCTCGGAGTCAAATACCAGCATGAATGGCTGCAACTAGACGCTCTGATGTATCCCGGATGAAGAGACGTGGCAGTGCTGCAGGACTGCAAGAGGAGAGGGTGGATGCATTGCAATGAAAGACTTTCGACAGAATCCGATGAAGGCTATATGGCATGGCTCATTCGGATGGATATCGGGCTTGAAGGCCCAAGCCTTACCATCCACAATTCGTTGCTTCTTCAGGTCCTCGTCAAATTGGGACTGTGGTGGTGCATTACCGCAAGCCAGTACTAAGATCCTTCTGTAATAAAAAGAAGTAGAGCAAACCATACCCGCACACCTTCTTACCTACCAAGCTGGGGCAGTCGTGCAGAACCCTCTGGAACCCCACGCCTTTGTCCTTTGCCCAAAGCAGAACGTAGCAAACGAGGACAAACATCCTCCATGTCTCCAGTCAGAACTGACGCAGTGTGAGTTGGTACCAACATCCACTCACCTCATCTGCGCTCATCAATACCGAGCAAAATGGCCCGATCACTGCAGGATTATATCCAGATAATCCGAACTGACGGCAAGCTCTTCAGCAATAAGAGTCCCCATCGCCCACTAGAGCTCCGTCAAAACACAGCGAACCGCATCCTCCTCTACCCGGGCTCGTTCAACCCTCCCCACAGAGGCCACTTCGCCCTACTGCAGCATGTGTTCGAGAACGCCCCCGCCGACTTGAATCTGATCGCCGCCATCATATGGCCCCTGAGCGACGAAGGCGTGGCAGATAAAAAGGAAGATCGCATGGACGAGGATGCCATGATCCTGACTAGAGAGGAGAGGGTGCAGCTGTGGGTCGAGCATGGGCTGCGGGATTACATGTGGGTGTACGAAGGCTCGCCGTTCACAAGCTCGATAGCCCAATGGGCAAGCTTGAAATCGCAACTTGCCAACGTTTTAGGCAGTGATGGCTTTGAGCTTGAGTTCTGCTGCCTCCTTGGGCCGGACTTGATTGACGGATTTGATGCTTGGTATTGCAGGGATATTTTGACCAGCGATGCTGGACGCGAATGGGAGATCGTGACGTCTGGAGGGGGGATACCGACACAGTTGGACGGATATAATCCCTGGACTTCCTGGGAAAGGCCCGAGACAAAGTCAAAGACGATTGAAACTAGGATTGAGGGTTGTCTGAACTCAGCCAGAGTCTTACCCATGACAGAACAAGGTAGAGTATTCCGCAGGATTGACAAATCGGATAACCTGGCTGACCTGCTCTGAGATCCAGCATTCGAAGACCGGCCCAAAACTCCGGAGATGGAAAGAGGGGTGGTCAAGCCCGCGTCACCGGTTTGGATGTGCTGCAGAACCGCAAGCCCGTCTTCCACGCTCACATTCATACCAAAGCCCAAAGACAACAAGAAGACGACCGAGATCAGCTCGACTTTGATTTGGAAGCTGATCAAGCACGCTTCAACCGACGAGCTCCGGGGAATAGAAGCGTCACTTGCGAACTTGGTGTTGGCGCCTGCTATGTTTGTCGAGATGATAGAGGGCTCAGATTGAGACCAAATGAGCGGGCGCGGGGATTGTGGCAGGCCCAGGGCTGATTGGATCCGATAGAAGAACCATGTCAAGCTTAGAACTGCCAATGCGATTTCTATTCCACATTGATTCCTTCAGTTGGTATGATGAGAGCGTAAGAGTCAAAAGGGCCTGAGAATTCGCGTCTCCAGTTCCGACAAGAGAATAGCCTATGGGCGATGGTAATACCAACGGCTAGCGATTCTGACGTCTGTAATTCCATCATTATCCGGTCTGCTGTCTGGCTTTACAGCTACGCCAAACTGCATGCATGGTGCAAGGACGATATCGACTAGCGCGGAGGCGCATCAGCCCAAAGGGACTTGTAATGTTCACGAGAATCGTCTCGTCTATGATCTGATATGCTGGGTGATAGGAATGTCAGAACATGCCCAAGAAAAGGTTACCTTCTATGCTGAGGTATGAATCAGCCCCCCAGTCCCACCTGCGATAGGCTCGCCTCCAGCAAGCTGTTTTGACGTCGGGTGCACAGTTGGGTCGTCTTCGGGTTGTTCAAGAGCTGCAGAAAGGTAGGCGTTTATGAGACCGATGAAGTAAAGTGACGAGCCCGGCCCACACCAATGTGACTGGGAGGAGGAGTGCGCGCTGTCAGTGTGAGTATTATCCCGTCCCTTCCGCGGTCTGATTGGAACCGAGGCAACCGGGCGATCGGAATCATTGATCGTATGTTGCAGGAACTGGTGTTCGAGATCGTGGACGCTCTGATGCAATCGCTCCACTTCCCTAGGCGAGTCAGTTCGGTGGAGCTGAAGGAAAGCGATCTACCCACAGCGTCTGGACCCTGGCGAGTCGCGACATTCGTGACGATGACTTCTTCCTGGATTGACTTCCACGGTCCTGGCAGTTGGCAGTGAGAGTCCGAGAGAGTTGAGCTGGGCTTGACGGAAGAATCAACAGGAAATGGAAGAGGAAGAGGAAGAGTCAACAAGTCAGCCAAGAGCGGAAGTAGCAGCCAAGCGCTTAGTCATCGGTTAGTCATGACTCAAGGACCCAAGCTTCCTCTCCCGATCTGCATTCTGCAACTCCACGCACCCTCAAGAATCAAGATTGAGAGCGACGATGATCTGCATCATACCTCTGCTATTTAACAGCACAATGTCCATTCGTTTCCTCCCCCCAGGCTCGTCTCGTCCGTCGTCATGCATCTCCCTCGCGCCGTAGCTGCTCTAGCCTTGGTGCCTCCCGCAGTCGCCGGTCTGGTGGGCACCTCCTTCGGAGTCCCCGGGACCAATGCCACCTTCGACTACATCGTCGTTGGAGGAGGCACTGCCGGCCTGACCCTGGCCACTCGCCTCGCCGAACAACAGTCCGGCTCGGTCGCAGTCGTGGAAGCCGGCGGCTTCTATGAGGTTGACAACGGCAACATCAGCCAGGTTCCTGCCACGGGGACTTATTACACCGGTCGGTCTCCCACGGACTGGCAGCCGCTGATTGACTGGGGGTATGTCACCACCCCTCAAGCCGGTTCTTATGGCGATGAGCTTCTCTATCCTCGTGGAAAGTGTCTCGGCGGCAGCTCCGCCCGCAATTTCATGCTCTACCATCGCGGTACAAAGGCGAGCTACCAGCTATGGGCCGATGCCGTGGGCGACTCCAGCTACACTTTTGGCAACCTTCTCCCCTTCTTCGAGAAGAGTCTCCATTTCACTCCTCCCGACAACAGCATGCGCCTGCAGAACGCGACACCCGAGTACGACCCGCGGGTCATGGGCAATGGCACAGGCCCCCTGTCGGTGTCTTACTCTCGCTACGTACACGCGTTCGGAACTTGGGCGGCCAAGGGGCTTGAAGCGCTTGGAATGTCCTCGGTTCCTGGCTTGTCGAGCGGCTCCTTGATCGGACAGTCTTACGGCACGTTCACAATCAATGCCACCACCGGTATCCGCGACTCGTCTGAGACTTCCTTTCTTCGCAAGGCGCTCCCTTACACAAACTATCAGGTCTACAAGACTACCCTCGCGAAGAAGGTTCTCTTCGACGACAAGAAACGAGCTACTGCCGTCATCGTTAACACTGCCGGCATGACATACCAGCTCAGCGCTCGCAAGGAGATCATCATCTCCGGTGGTGCTTTTGGTTCGCCGCAACTGTTGCTGGCCTCTGGCGTCGGCCCAGCGGACACTTTACAGGCCCTCGACATCCCAGTCGTTGCTCACCGACCGGGTGTTGGTCAGAACATGCAGGACCACGTCATCTTTGGCCTCTCATACCGCGTCAACGCGCTCACAGCCTCTTCCCTCAGTGATCTGAAGTCGCCGCCCAAGCCGCGCTGGAATTCAACCAGAATGGAACCGGCATATACTCCAACCCTGGCACGGATGTTGTTGGCTGGGAGAAAATCCCCAACTCCCACCGACGCAGCTTCTCCAACCGCACCCTTGCAGCCCTTGCCCAATACCCCGGCGACTGGCCGGAGGTCGAATACCTCCCGGAGGCGGCCTACTTCGGCTATCAACAGGTCCGCAGCACCGCCGACCCCAATGACGGCCACAACTACGCTACCCTAGCCGTCGCCCTCGTCGCCCCGCGCTCAAGGGGAAACCTGACCATATCTTCCGCGGATACCGCCGTCAACCCGCTCATTAACCCGAACTGGTTCACTGATCCCGCCGACATGGAAGTGGCCATTGCCGGCTTCAAGCGCGCCCGGGAGTTCTGGAACTCCACTGCCATGCAGCCGTTTGCTCTTGGAGAGGAGGCCTTCCCCGGTCCGCAAGTGCAATCCGACGCCGAGATCGATGATATCATCCGCAGGAGCTTCACCCCCGTCTATCATGCAGCTTGTACCTGCGCAATGGGCAAGGCGAATGACACCATGGCTGTCGTTGACACCAAGGCCCGGGTCTACGGCGTCAAAGGACTGCGAGTCGTTGATGCAGCTGCTTTCCCTTTTCTGCCTCCAGGTCATCCGCAGGCTACTGTTTGTAAGTTCTATACCACACCATTGGCTTTGTATATCCTTACTAACGTCCTTCCAGACGCCTTGGCCGAGAAAATCGCTTGCGATATTACTGGTGCCTGCTGAGATAATGCAGTTAAATGTGTCCTCACTCTCACACATCAGCTCGAATATATAGACTAATAGTAATACAAGACATCAGAAGTCATCCTAGTCCAAAACTCCCTTTCCTGGTTTCAGTCGGTCAGACTCATGTCCTGCTCAAGTCACCCGAAACCCTCTATCCCGATACACCCTATGCACCTGCAAGCGCATTTTCTAGCCTACCAAGTACGGTTGTCTAATAGGATCTGCGCCTCAGGCGGCATATCTCAAAGATCTGCGTCTATCTCCGTTGCAGCGGTATGCCCTGTCAGCAATTGCACCATTCGAAGCTGCCACTTGGTCATCGTCACTCCATCCAACATTGGAAGGACAAGAGTATCAATATAGTCCTCCTTGGCAGCATCCACAAATACAATGTCAAAGGTTCTGTTCAACTGCTGCGGACTCTTCTCCACAGGGCCCTCGAGCAGGGTAACCCGATGGTTCAACCCCCGAACGTACTTATGGCTCTCAGATCTGTCTCTACTGAATCTTGATGCTGCAGCCAGCGTGGCTTCTTGGCCGCAAGGACTCACAAAGATGGTTACTATGTCACGGCGACATGTTTATTGCAGGAGTAGACTCTCTACATGTCGTTCAATTGCCGAGGACTGCGCTTCGAGGCAAGAAGGCTTGGTACGGGAGAAAAAGCACTGGCATGTTTCCTCCAACATCCATCTAAATCCATCCTTCTATCGACCAATTGGCCCTACATGCTCTGAGCGAGCTCCGTGTGCAAGTGCCAGACAATACACCCAGTGTGAGTCGGATCTGACCTATGCAGCTGTACGACTCAGAATCCAATTCAAAACGTGGCCTATTCAAACCCGCCGATTTGCCAGCTAGAAGGAGGAGACTATGAATACTCCCCGCAGGTGCCGATCTGCCTCCTCACGTGCGTGAAAATGGGAGGTTATCGCACACCCACCAGGTGTCACCGCGTCAGGTTATCCTAGTCTTCCGGCTTGGGATACTGGACTGCTTGAGCTGGATGGAATGAGTTGCATAATACTTAGTATTCAACACCTGAAGCACCCAGCACCCTAGGGTCCCCGAAAGTAAAGCTCGAAATCCATCCAGTCCGGTACGGAGTACCTGGTAGGACAAGCCCGGATCGCCGGAGCTGATCTATAGGTAAGATGTGACGCGGCCAACAAATGCAGAAGCCATGCCAGCCCTGTGTCTGTCGCAGTACGTGGTAGGACAAACCCCGGAATCCTCGGACAAGCAGGTGCGGAATCCTGAGCAATCGGCGCTTGACTACTCTCTGTTTCTACACAGCACCTAACAAGCAATGATAGGACGTCCATGATCATTGAGGAGGACTCTTTGGCCTCCATGGTCAATACGAAGGTCTGGTGGAACCATCGACGCTGGGAAGACTCCGCTTGAGCCTGACGTGGCCTTGCGAATAAGCGGGGCGTGTATGATGCTCCGCGCGCATGGCAATAAGATACGTGTCTCCCGGCAATGCTGTGATTGATCTGCAAGAAACGGAAAGACATGAGGGAGCTTGGTTCAAAACCTGGCTTATCCAACCTCCCGATTTGCTAGACTCATCAAGATTCCGCCAGGTTCCAATTGAACGAGCCAGCACTGTCATCGACCGCTCTCCAGTTCAACCCCTGAGGCCTTTCTCCTGACGAGGCTCCCAGAACCAGACGCAGACAGGGATGCCCTACCTTCACTACGTTCATCCATCGCTTCGCGGAACTTCAGAACCCAAACTCTCCCATTCGGCGCCTGCAAGATGTCAGCGAGAAGCAATCCCCTCCACTTCGCGAGTGGAAGGGTCCAAACCCAGAATCCCCTTGTGGACTCCCGATCGATGGGGAACGGCCTCCAGCTGACTCTTCTTGCTTTTTACAGACTGCAGTAGGAGAACTGGTGTCATCCCTGTCATGAAGCTAGGGTACCCTTACTACCCTCCACCTAGGCCCAAGGCTGATGCTTACTTTCCTGGGATTTTCACACAGCCTGGGTCATGATTGTGTGTTGGCCTGAGCTACTGCACTGCGACTCCGAATTCTTCCAATAGAATAAGCTCCCCAATCCTTAGCATCCCACTCTGCCCGCCGACAAGCCCGAAAGGCGAAAGCTGTGCGTACCTACCTTATGGCAGTGGAGCCAACCGGAACTCCCGAACTGCTCTTCACCCTCAAACCCACCTGCTTCTTCACTTTACATGGCACGGTGACGTAGACTTCAAGCTCGTACTCTATCTGGAATAGAGCACCAGCTGACCATATTTGCTTCTCACAAACCTTCGGTATCACCTGCACTCGGCCTCGGCCAATTCCAGAGCCACCGTGAAATCACCCGCTGCCCATGACCTCAGACGCAAGTGCTCCGGAGTGTCTATAAGTACGGGCCTCGCGCTGCGCTGTCTGCCTCTTCTTTCTGATCTTTATTGTGCGAACGAATCTTGAAACCTAAGACTTGTCTACTGCTCAGAACAAAAGGTATGACCACAGCCCCGCCACTTTCCCTCTTGCTAATTGCTTTGGCCAGTAGCTCAACCCTAACCTTACCTAGTAAGTCTAGCCTGTGACTGTCTTGCTCCTCTTCTCCAAGCAATGTACCAAGCGCTGATAACCTCGTGTTAACCTTGGCCTCAGTCCAAAAACAATGTCTCCGAGGGCACCAGAGCCGTATGCCGCTGGAGGCGACCTGGGTGGCAGTGGTGAAGCTCTTCCCAAGTAATAGTGGAAAGGAGGCGGTAGTGGAAGGCGGCCTTGGTGCAGGTTTTTGTCCATGCTCTTGCGAGGGTTGGTTTTCCCTGTACTGCTATGTGAATGCAGAGGCCCGAAATGAGATTGGATTCTAGTCTGCGTTGACCAACCTGTTCGATATGGCGGGCGTAGCCATTCCAGATTCACGTAACCCTCCCTACGATTGCGATGCAGCGAGCTCTTAGACCCAGATCCTTTCTGCAGGCAAGACCAGCTCCCAAGATCAATGCCCGTGTTTGGGATGGATACGCAGTGCTGGAGCGACGAGGATTTGTGCGGTATATGGGCCTACCTCAACATCAAACAACAATCCCGAGAAGGCTATGATAGCTATTTACTAGCTCTAACAGAGGCCATCCACCCGCCCCAGCCACGCACGCTGCTCGTCCTTATTCCACGTCCACCAGAGCCCCAGTGCATTGCCTGCGTCATCCACCTTGAACTCGAGCAGTGTTTCGCTATAGTGCTTGCGAAGGACAAACCCAGTAGCCCAGTGGTCCAAGTCCCCCGTAAAGAAGCTGTATGTGTCTTTCTTAAAACGTACCAACGGACTCCTGGCGCGCTCAACATGGTTGAAGGTCACAGCAAGCCCATCCTCGCCCATGGAAATCGTCAACGCAAACAGCCCGCCAAACCCAACATACTGCCCAACATACACGCCCAGCTCGCGCTCAGGATCCTCAATCTTCCGATTCGCCATCCACGGCCCCAGCACCTCCTCTTCTAGGAAAGCCTCCGCCAACTCCGCCTCCTTCCTCGCCCAAACAAGCAGGTCCATCCGCGGCCGCAGGTCAAAAAGCGCCTGCATCAGCACCTGCGCTGCAAAATCACTCGCATCCCCCAACGCCCGCCCATTCACCAGCGCACAAACTGCGCTCTGGGTTTCGGGGAACGTCCACAGCGTCGCAATGCCCCCGATCGCACCCCCCGAGTGTCCAATCATCAGCCGGCTCCCAGACTCCCGACCAAGGATATTGTCAGGCTGCAGGTGGAGTTTCCAGGGTGCCTCGCGCGTGCAGCGGTTCCCGCTGTATGCACCAACCATAGACGTCGGCAGCGTCATGCGCATCCAGCCCATGCCGAACGCGGCTTCGTTGCTCTCCGGGTCCTCAGGGGGTCTGGTCCAGTAGGCGCGGCGGAGGCGGCGCATCTGCTTCAGCGGGGAGACAGAGTTGTCCTCTTCTTCGGCTTCAGCAGCCAGCACGGCCATGGCCCACGTCAACATATCGTTCAGGCTGCTGCCCATCCCGGACCCAGGGAGCTCGGGCGTCGTCTGCTTGAACGGCCAGTGGTTGGCTGGGAGTTGGCAGTGCGTCCCGTCGCGGAGGACCGTGTACTGGCGCACGACATTACCATCTTGAGCTTGGGCGTCGACGTCCTCCTTAGTGAGCACCGTGCGGTCCATCCCAAGGGGTTTCAGGATCCGGTCGTGGATGAACTCTGCATATGGGCGCCCGCTAACACGCGCGATAATCTCGCCCGCAAGACTAAAGTTCGCGTTGGCGTACATCCAGTGTCTGTTAAAGCGCTGTCCGTCCTTATCAGCCGTGCGCATGCGGTTCAGCAGCGGAATGAGGCCCTTGACGCCAGCGTCCTGGAGGTGGCACCCATCTGGCCCGAGGTACAGCGCGGTTGGCTCGGAGTACCCCATCGAATGGCGCATGAGATCAATGAGGTCTGCTTCGGCGGAGATGCGGGGATCACGCACGGGATTGAATTCGGGCAGATGCTGCGAGACCCGGTTGGACCAGGCGAGTTTGCCGTCTGCGACGAGCAGGCCGATTCCCGCGGACGTGAACATCTTGGTGCACGAGCTGATCGGGTAGATTGTGTCTGGGGTTGCGGGGAGGCTGTTTTCGAGGTCTCGGTATCCGATGCATTGTTTGAGGATTACCGCTCCGTTGTGCACGACTCCGAAGGAGATGGAGGGGAGCTTGAAGGTGTCTTTGAGATGGCGGATTGTTGAGACGGCGTCTGTTAGACGCTGGGATAGGTCCATGTCTTGTGGACTGGTGGCTTGGGGGGTAAGCGGCATGGTGGATGGTAGACACAGCAAGGCCTTGCTAAGGATCTTATGCCAACTCACAGTATCTGAGGTGTCCTCGGCGCCTCGTCAATATATGATATATAGACCCCTTACCTCAATTGCAGACCCCCGTGTGTTGATGGGCCTTGCGTTCCGCATGACACGGAACAAAAACTCCGCCAGAGCACATGCATGTCAAGCATCCAGACGGCGTTCCAAGGACTCCCCGGTCCTCCGAGTCTTGTACCACGAACTTGCATTGAGTCCGGTCACCCAGACATCCGGTCCCGCCGGCTCCGGCACCCAATTAGAGCTGGCCACTCCTTCTCATTGTTAAGTTCGATCATTCCTGTGTGGTTGTACAACGGTCTATCTACTAGGTATGCCTCCAATAAGCCGCTGCCTTGACTCGTTCCGAGATCCTTGCTGGACTAGGGTAGGTGAGATGATGATGATGATGCAACGTCTAGTGGAGTCATCACGCGCTCAGGTCTCAAGTCGACGAGGTCGATGAACTGTCTAGGCCGCAAACAGAAGAGGTGCCAAAATGCAGGGGTTGGGGCGCCCTGTTCCATTGCATTCCATCTTATATCTTGTCGCTGCGCGCTCTATGCATCGTAAAAGGTCAAGGGCGTATTGTGATCTTGGCAAGAGGCATTCCTTGCTTTTTCTCCCCGCGCCATTGGAGATACATGTGGGTGTGGTATGGCACCAAGTGGTGGTGCAGGACCTGAGAGCTAAGCTACCTTTTTATTCAATAAGAGCATTCAACTGCCTGAAGAGTATGAAATAGCGCACCTGCTCTCGGCTTGAATATAGCCTCCCCTATCGATGCTATATCGCGGCGAAGACCATGATTGGCGGTACAATTAGCAATACTAGTGTGACACTGGGATAGGGCTTTAAGCCCTAGAACCACTGTCGTCGCGGGGCGGAAGTAAATCCAACGTCCGTAGAGTTTCTTCTACGAAATCTGTAGGGTACATCGTGTATTGCCTATCTCTTTGGTACTTCAAAGGCGCCTGTAGTAAAAGATATACACTGCCTAGAGGTTTCCGTGGTCTTTGGGGTCTTCGACGCAAAGGTGATCCAGGAGGTTTCTGGTTGATATAACATCGATAGTTGCCATTTTCATCTCTCCGATCATGTGGCGCAGGGAATATGCGATATTATCCCATAGGGCAATTGCTTAGAGGTAAATGCCCAAGGGCTTGGGGTGTGTTACTGGAAGACTGCTGTCAACAACTCTTTCTATAATGCCTCCCTCTCTAGCAGAGGCAGGGCAAAGTCAGCAGTCTTCGACATTGATTTCGCAAGTATTCAAGTATATTGAAAAGGTGGTTGCACCAATCTCGGTCTAGAAATAAACACCATAAGGAGTAGCCTGCGGCTGCTGAAGGCTCTTGGTGACTCTTACGACTCAACAACCGCCGTATCTTCACCCCCCAGCTTCTCAAAGCCGTGTATCCAGGGGTTTAATTGCCCCCGATCAAGCTATCGCAGAGCAGATCAACCCAGACCTCAACGCAAACGACGATGAGACAGGGTGTCGTCTATATAAAGGCCCAAATAGTTGAACCCCGCGGATATCGCAGGACAACACGGAAATGGGGGCTATGGCAGGCCGTCAAGTACCTCAGGACCAAAGCACATTTGGTTTGGTTCCGCGGTAGAGTGGTTACGACCTCCTGGTGGACTGTCAATCACAGATCCGAAATGCAGCAGAGTCAACTGGAACGAAAGGTGCCAATTGCTGCGTGAGGACCGATCCGTCTCCGAGGGCATAGTGCGTGATATCAGTCGGCATATTCCCGGGTCTCTCAGCGGCGTTGTGGCAAGGAATCGTTCCATGATCGTCTAAGTTCCGCCCTCTGTTGTTCTTAGGCGCAGTGGTCGGAATATTCTAGGCAACTACAAACGTATCTGAAGGAGAAACGGTAACAGCAGAATACCCGTGCCTGCCAGCTGATGACGAAATTCCCGTACAACGCTGTCATAACCACTGTGCCCATGGTGAGACCAAGTGAGACAACAGTGATAACAACAACAAGCTGTCCAAACCTTTAGGCGGATTATCGGCACATCCAGATCACCGCTGCATGTCTTAGTGAAGAGGTTCTGAACAACCAAACCACCTTCCCCACAATATGGTAGATTCCTGGGGCATTCTTTGCATTCACTACGGAAAGCGGCGATTGTACCCCGACCTAGGTTTGGCTCAATATGGTAAGGACAACTCACTCGATGGCATCACAGCAGCCCGCACATTGAACCGGGCCGGCCACTCGGTATCCGATTATGGTAGTCTTTTGGCACCGACTGGGGCCTGGATTCAACCACCGAAGACGAATATCACATTCGTCGAGGTGGCCCTAGCCCCGGGAATGAGCGTTAGACTGGGCTGTCGTAAAGTTTCCTGAGGCTCTTCAGGTGGTGCGCTCCAGGTATATCACGGCCCCGACGGTCTCGAGAGACTGGGATCCATGTTCGATTTAGCCAGCACCCGCCAGTCATCTTGGCATACGCTGTACGCTCTACCGGCACCACTGGCTCCGTCGGCGGCTTAGGTTTGTAGGGCTGTAACCTTCCATGTGCACTGCCCGGGTGACAGCGCTTGGTGAAGATACCATAGTACCGGATACCATACCCTTGGCCGGAACGCGCGTGCGGATGCAATCAAGACAAGCATCGCACGCCCGTCAATACAGTCCAAGTCCACCATGCCTTAGTAATGGGCGATTCAACTGTGGGTCATGGGTTATGAGTGCCGATCCAAGTACCTTAAGTGGCTACCCTACCCTATGTGCCGTCTCACACAGGGCCGGTGTTCAGCCAGTAACCCTGCATTCACCGTACCCGCGAACGACATCTCCGCCGACATACAAAGGTCAAGCGGAAAGAGTAAATCGCCTCTGAATGGTAAGCAAATCTCCTAACCTTCCCGGCTCACGGTCTTGAAGCAGCAACGTCCAGCTCAGACAGGAAGGAGCCCTCGTGGTTCCAGGACAGTAGATATACCTACCTAGGTGCTGGGTAGAGATTTTATCTTGCGCTATTCCCTTCACCCACCGACAATGCCAATCACTGTCTACTGTATTAGCTCGCCTTTCTACATTTCGATCTATGACGTCGTACGGTTAAAAATATACTAGAGCCTCCCAGGCAAGTACCACAGAGGCCTCAGGTCGACCGGTTTGCGGAGATAATAAATGGTCAATTGAATACCAAATCAAGTCTATAATCGTACCGGCTAAAGAAACAAATTATGGATATCAAGCAAAAACCCCTGAGCCAACCCAAAGATAAAGAGACAACCCTGTATAAACAATACTAAACCGACACCGCCGCCGCAGAACCCGCACTCGCCGCCCCCGCCGAATTCGCCGCCATGGTCTGCATCATCTGGAGATAGACATTCGCGAGCCCAGTGACAACGAGCTCATCGACAAGCCCGTTCCCCGCGGGCCCCGTCCCCAAAATCTCCAGCCGTCCCGCCTTCTTCCCACTCCACGAACGATGCGCCTTCCAGATCGCAAGCACAGTGCCATCAGCATCCACACACTCAAGACCCAGGCCCTTCCAGCCCTTACTCCGTTTCCAAGTCAGCTGTCTCCCCAGGGCATGCGAGTCAAAGCCGAACCCGTACTTCCACTTGCTCATGGGGCGCAGGGGCATCTCGGCCCCGTTGATGGTGATGTCGATGGTGCGGCTGAAGCTGTGGAAGATGACTGTTGCAGGGAGGTTTGCTGTGCCGGTAGCCTGGAAGAGCATGTGCGGCTTGCGGTTTTTGAGGTCGGCGGCGTAGAGGAGGGCGCCGTCGGGGGTTTCCTGCGTCACGCGCAGGTGGCGGCCTGTCCAGCTTGTGAAGGAGACTTCGAGGCCGAGGGGGGAGTTTGTGGATGGAGGGGTGGGGTTGGCGTAGGCTGGTTGGGGTTGTTGGTTTGGAGGTTGAGGATATTGTTGGTAGGGCTGGTAGGCCGGGGGCTGCTGGGGGTACCCGTAGGAGGGAGTGTCGTGGCCCCATTGGGGAGTGGTGGCCGGGTAGCCGTTGTAGCTTGTTTTGGTGTCCATGGTGATTGCGATGAAGATCGTTGTAGCTTGTTTAGTTTATTCTGTTGTGCATCTGTCAGGTCAGGGTCTTAATGTCTTTTATGTTCACTGACTGGATGTGCGACTAACCGCATTGGGAGCTATACAGCGCCGGGCTGAGCCTCTCTCTGCAGTAGAGATGACGTCGGGATCAGCTGCCACGCAGGCTGTGAGTGGTCAACTTCGCAGGTGAGTGGTTAGTTTTGGCCCCAGAGATCAGCTCCAGGCTATGTCGGTGGCGCAGTTCGGCCGCCCGGCGCCGTTGGAACGCGGCACGAAGCCTCTTTTGGGCGGTCGCAGCGACGGCTTGTTGGCTGTCGTGGCTTGTAGGGCTGATGGCACCACAATGAGGTATTAATAGAAAACGACCAGAGCGATGATGCTATGTAGGATCGTGATGAGATGTAGAATAGACGCAACCAAGCTCTAGAAATTCAAAGCTCGTCTTCCCGTATCCTAAGTACGGAGTATGTGCCTTCCAACAGGCCCACGCGAAGACCCTAGTCCCTGACACTTAAGCTCATCGGAAACTGCTGATCTTGGCGAGGTCATCGCGTCCACGTCATTCCAGCCGCGATTCGAATCCTTCGCTGCGTTATCGCGATGATCGTGTTGGCATACGTCTGAGCCCGGACATTCTACCAATTCCGATATATGAAGCGAGATTTGGTGTAAATCCGGAGAGGGCGTGAGGTGTTTATCTAGCATGCAGTTTACTCCAGACTCTGGGGATAAATCATTAGACAACTTAGTACAGCGAGAAGAAACACCAGTTCACAGCAGAAGACAATTCTGGTTTACTCAGATAAGCAAAGCGAGAATAGCACGACATAAATAGCATACCAGTAGCATTCAGAACATCATCAGCGATAGCAATAGCAGTAGTAAACCCTCATATCCAATACCCAATAACTTAGGGCTACCGCAACCCAACCCTAACCCCGGTCCTCTCCCTAAATCTGCAATACCATAGCAATAACCACCAGCGCAAACCCGCCGAACCCGGCAGACAAAACACCTGGAGAAGCATTAAAGAACGTCGTCGGCGAGCTGGTGGCAGGGGTCTGACTGATACTGGAAGTCGGGGTGAACAGGGCGCTCGAGCTGGCGCCGCTGGTTGGGAACAGGGATGCGAAGCTGCTGCTTACGCTGTCGGTGGAGCTGGAGGTAGAGCTTGAGCTCGAGTCGGATGACGAGGTTGACGAGCTGGTTGTGGTTGTGCCTGCGTGAGGAACCTGAATGAGCGCGGAACTGGAACTCGACGGGGTGGTGGGTAGATGGGAGGAGAAGGGTATGTGTGAAGTCGGCGTAAACGTCTCGCTCTCGCCGGAACTCGAACTCGTTGACGACACAGCCGTCGAAGAGACGGACGTGGACGCAGAAGAGATGGTAGTAGAATCCGTACCTGACAGCGTCGTCCCCGCACCAGTCCCATCGGTCCCATTACTCGCACTGATACTCGTATAATCCCCCGTCCTATCCGTCCACGTATAACTCTCCGCCGGATTATAATTGACGATCGACACACTCTCCACATACATCGTGAACGGGGCGGCGCTGTAATCCGTCTCGCCCCCCGCCCACTCGATCGTGCCCTCGCTATTATCCGGGTCCCCGCCGGCCCAGATGCCAATGCGCACGCGCATGGGTGTCTGCGGGTAATTCGTGCCGTCGACGGCGTCGGCGTAGTTGAGGGTGCGGACGAGCGTGCCGTCGATATACCACTCGGTCTTGGATGAAGTCCAGGAGATGGCGTACGTGTGGAATTCCTCGGTGGGGTTTATGACGGAGACGGTTGTCGCGCGGTCGTAGGAGGTCGTGTTGCCCTTGCCGAAGTAGTTTGTGCTGATTTGGTTGTCGAAGGTGCTGATTTGTTCCTGCGCCCATGTCAGTATGTCCCTCATATTCATACCGGTGTCTATGGTAAGGATGTCGTGACGCACCCAGTCGATCTCATCGAGGTCATCGCTCTCCAGGATCGCCGTGCTGATGATCCCCGTGCCGTTGGCAGCCCGCATCTTGACCTCGACATAGCCGAAGAAGATGTAGAAGTCTGTTTCGATGGTCGGGGCGTCGCCCTGCTCGTTGATCGTGAATTCGGCGCCGAGGGATGTGCTGGGGACAGAGCCGGAGGTGACGTTCCAGCTGTCGAAGGCCGAGTCGCCGGAGGTGAAGTCTGTGGTGAAGGACCATTGTGCGAGGCCGGTGTCTGCGGAGCAGGTTTCTACAGTCCGCAGTGTTAGTCCATCCCAGTATTCCATTGGGGGTAGTGGTATAGACCCTCTGTAGGGTTACAGTCGGTGTACGTCTGCGCAGACACAAACACCGACTGGATGGCCGTCGCAACGGCAATGGCGCCGAGATGCCATTTCATATTCATATTCGCCCTCATCGTGCAATATTGCTGAAAAAAACACAACTCTTCCTCAAATCCATCGCTGCCTACTTATATCCGGACTCCAATTCCAGCCGTGGGTAAACTTTTCCACATGTGGCTGCGGAATACACCTCACCACAAACGACTAAACAAGACCAGGTAAACCAAACTATCTCCCACAGTCCACCATCTCTAACTCCGATTCGCCGCCTGTCAGTATTGATCAACGTGATTTGAGATCGAAGCCCCCACCCAAAAAGCTTTTGTGGATGCTGACGATTCGGCTTGCGCGGCTGGCTCCAGTGCCAGCGCCAGCACTGCTTCTGGTTGGTCGGAGGCATGAGACAGTATCAGAGAGTCAACAGGTGGCTGGTGCGGATTTATCGTACGCCCATGACTTGAGATAGCATTGGATGCCTACGTAACTGACTCGTTGGCTCCGGGCCTGGTGATGAGGGCGCAATGGGCTTCCGCGTTCGCATCCCCATCCCCATCCGGCTCCGGGCGTTCGTCCCACCACTCCCACACTCCCACTCCCACAATTGTATAAATAGGTTGGTCTAAGCGAGCGAGATGTCTCACTCTTATCTTGCGAAGCAGAACACGCGGTGGCAACAGTGGCATGATTCAAGACCTGCGTACCTGATGGTGGTGATCAGGAACGCGTACGCAGATGCCCTAGACACCGGCTAGCACAGCCGCCAGGAACCCAAGAATAGTCGGCGCTGGAATCAGGTCATTCTCCGGACTTGCCTTGACAGTGGCGGTGACTGCATACCTATTGTAAGCCGACGCTCGGTCGGAATTGTGTCGTGTACTCCCGCATCATGATTTATGCCGAGTCCAACGCCGAGGCAACCTCTCAGGAAGTGGTAAGTACACCAGCCTCCTCCCAGCCTCATGAATATGTCATGTTAATAGGGATAAGACTGGGGCTGGAGGCTGGAGTTTAAATCTGAATGCTCGAACCAGCAATCCACAATGACACTCCACGCCCGACCCGCGAACCGCGAGCTTGATGGCTCGTCCTCTGATATAGTATAGTGATGCTACAAAGCGTGAATATCCTACCCGTCCGATCAGAAAGCATGCACTATAACCATAACAGTTGTGGCTAGCGAGACAGTCTGTGGAAATGGAAATCCACTTTCAAAATTCCCATGCGCCCAAGAACAAGGAGGTTCGGAAACAGCCAAAGAGACTCATTTCATTAGTACTTCCAAATACTTTCCAGTGACATCTTTAGAAACTTTCCTCTGCATTACAGGGGCCAATCATCCAAGTCAATACCCAGCCCATCTGCGACGCAAAGCATGCTCTATATCCAATAGTTGATAGTAGCAAGTATGATTCTCTCGTCGGGGCTCGCACAATCCATCCAACCCCCTAGATACCAGCACGGCCCCAGCCCACGTTGAGGCGCAGCGTCCCAGTTCCAGTTGACAACCTAGACAGCGGGATATCGTACTCGATCCAAGTTCAGTCTCTACCAGCGGTCCCGCCCTTGTTATCGACGCTCCACGAATTCTGGGAAGCAGGAGGAGGGTTAGATATAGCCACGGTATACTCTTCTCCCGCTAGCACAACGAAAACCGAGAGATTGCAAGTATGGATTAGATGACATACAACCGTCTGCACCTTCCCATCCGCATAGACGACCGTGCGGCCATGGCCGGCTCGTCCGCGGGCACTGGCGTCGATCTCGATGCTCGTGCTGAACCCATCACAGGTACGTCCATGGTAGCAGGTGTACATGTCCTTGGTTGCGCCCCAGCTTCCAGTTGTCTTCTCGTCGTGCAGCCGCCGTCATGTTTGATTAGTCTCGGGTGCACCCTGTCGGTGTTGAGGATGGGGTTGACGTACCTGGTGCTTGTAGAAGCCGACGCTCCACGCTCCCGAGGGGATTGCGAGGGACGCCAAGGTTGCAAGGATTGCGGGCTTGAGGAGGTGCATACTGAGGTGAGAGGGTGGTTATGTATAAGCTAGATATATAGAGGACAGCAAGATGTGCCGGATAACCAAGGAGATAGGGTAAAGGGAGAGAAGAACAGAGCTTGGATATTGAGATTGAGAATGAGAATGAGAATGCAGTGGCAGGAAGACCCTTTTATACCTCAGCTGCATCTTGCCGACAGCATTCCTGAGTCGGACTACCTTTCAATAGCGGCGGACGTCCTCCCAGCGGGGAGTGGTAGTACCAACCAATTGCTATCTATTGAATCCGCATGCTGCATGAGAAGGACTCGTACACATTACAATCCTGCCTAGACCATACCCTGCACAGTACTCTGTGTCTTAGAAGCCAAGGCAAGCAATAGAAAGCAGATCAAGTGTATTGTAGGCAATTAACCTTCGTCACTGGACGGGTATTGTCAGAAGAACTATGGTAAGTACTCTGATTGCGGACTGCAGTACCAAACACGAACAGTCTATCAGGTTGAACAAAATCAATAAAGGCAAACTTGCATTATAGACCCGTACCTCATGGTTCCGTAAGTCCCACAATCCCTCGAGGCGTAGGTGTTTCAGCCGGAGTATTGGGTGAGTTTAGAATATTAAAGCAAGGACCGCTATGCCCTTATTCGGCAATGCAACGGATTAAACATGAGATTCGATTTTATCCAATTTGTCTCATTGTACGCCTCTTCATTATCGTCTTCTACGTAAACACATAACCTACATAAATCAAAAGGATAGTTCGACTTCATTACAACAACAGGCGGCAGCCCCACGACATAGCAACTCAGAAACCACAAAACCACCCAGCCTCTCACCACATTACCATAATATCCGGGGTATCAAGTATAGTGTATCCAGCATCAGGCATCAAGCAAGGACCGATGTACTGCTTCCGGTTCCGCGCTTCTCGTCAGCCGTCGCGATAATGGCCGGTGGCTTCGCAATGTTCTGACGGAAGATGTGACGCTTGAAGAAGTACGGCAGCCAGACGGTAGTCTCATGCTTGATGAAATCCTTGGTTGGGACGGAGAAGACCTCTGATTGTGGTTAGTGGGATGCAATGCAAGGTTGACTTGTTCACTTACGGTCCAATTCCTCAAGGGTGAGTTGTTTGGTCTCTCTGACGAAGCAGAATATCAGGCCCCAGGCTATAAGATTGAGACCAGCATAGAAGCCGACTAAGTACGTTAGATGGATGACAAGATGAATGGGAAACGTTACTTACAAGCGCCAGTTGGAGTCATTACACTGGACATGCGGGGAAAGGTGAGACTGAGGACGCCGGCTGGAGAGGTTCGTTAGCCTATGTTTCTATGGTCTTCTTTATTCAGATGACTCACCAAAGGTGTTGTTGATGCACACTGCCCAGGCCATTCCTTGCTCTCGCTGGATAGTGGGGAAGACTTCGGCGGAGTACTGGAACGCGACTGGTCCTTCTCCCAGAGAGTAGCATATAGTGAACAGGTAGATGAATCTGCGAGAGATGAGCGGCGGTCTCATACCACAAAGGTGGTGACATACAATACAACTGGTCCTAGTTGCGCCCCCCTGCTGGCATCCTCGGGCGTGAGCATGGAGAGACCAGCGGCGAGCAAGAAGATACACATCCCAGGGAATGTCTACGGATACAGTTAGCTGAATCCTTGTACCGAGCAAAACAACCCACAATCAAGCACAGAGTTCGTCGGCCTTTGGTGTCAATAAGGAATAGAGTCGGGATTGTGGCAAGAACCTGGACCGCACCGTAGCCGAGTGAGGCATACAACGCTTGCTCATTGTCATATCCGGCGTCCACGAAGATACTGGAGCTGTAAAATGAGATGACTGCGCATGTTAGAATCGGTAATATCCAGAAGGGCGTTCAACTTACTGTTAATGCCGCACATCTGCTGAGCAAGCATGACGGTTGAGGCGCCATAGTTGGAGCGCCTGATACGAGGGATGGAGAAGCAGTCCCACATGCGGCGGAAGTACCCAGCTCCCCGGGCCTCCTTCAATTCCTCCTGGTAAATCACGTACGAGTAGTAGTAGTCTCTGGCGCCGATAATGGGATGGGCTCGCAGGCGCGCCATCGATCGAAATCCCTTGGCGATCTGACCGTGCTTCATGAGCCAGCGAGGAGACTCAGGGCAGAAGTAGATACCAGCGCCGAGGACAAAAGAAGGGATGAACGCCGAGCCGAGCTGGAGTCGCCACGCAATTCGGCCAGTGTCTTTGACGGCGACGTTGGCGATAAGACCAAGGAAGATACCTGTCTTGTTAGAATCATTGGCGATAGTCAGGAGGAGATCTTACCAGCGACAACCCACAACTGCCAGAACATGACCAAGGCACCGCGCACTCGATGAGGGGCTATCTCTGCTGAGAAGATAGGGACGGTCGCGTTTTTCGCACCTATGCCAATACCCATGACGAAGCGCGCCGCAAACAGTGCCTGCCATGAGTGCGTAAAGGCGGAGCCAATTGGCGTCGCAGTTAGGCACAGAGCTGTAACAAAAATCTCACCTCGACGGCCAAGGTAGTGGTTGAGAGGGTCGACGATGAAAGCACCACTAAACAGGTCAGCGCATGATCAAGGTACTCAGGATAAGGAGCCGTGCATACATCAATCCAGCTGTCAGAAAGATGATGGAGTTGACGAGCCCCACGATCCATTCGTCTCGCCCTGTGCCGGCAATGTTGAACTCATCGTGGAACTGCAGGTTGGCGCCGTTTGACCCGGTCTGATCCCATCCTTGCGTGGCAGCTCCGATGGCACACAGACCAACCGTATACCAAAGGACCTTGGGTCCGTGCCATTTGTGGTTCTTCTCGTACGTCAACGCTGCCAGCTCGTCCTCGCTAAGCTCGGTGATGGTTTCAAAGTTATCCGGGTCCCGCGCGACCAAGGCAGCCCGGCCGAAAAGGTCGACGTGCTCGCTCAATCCGTTCGTCTCGGCAAAGGCGCGAGCATCGGTAAGTACTTGCTCCCGGGAGGCACTCTAAAGTTGGTCAATTAGCATAGGCCATCTGTCCGGATGACGCGGACTCACCTGCAGAGGATTCCGGATAATGTTGACCGCAGTCGATCCGCGACGAGCAGGGTCAGTGTGCAATGCTTTGGTAGCTGGGAGCGACTCGAGAGTCACCTCTTGAGGCGCAGCAGCAGCGTCGGGTGCCACCTTCTCATCCATGGTGTTGGAATAGAGTGAGAGAGAGAAGGGATATAGAAGCTTTAGAAGTCTGTGAAGAAAGAAAAAAAAGACCCCTGGAGGAAGATCACACAAATATTAATACCGTTTCCCCGCGCCTGGCCGGAATCGAAAGGGCGCATGCACAAAGCAAAAGCAACACCCTGGCTGATTGGGGCGCAGCCTCGGACAGAACCAGGGATCGATTGGTGGAAATGGCCGCTCACCCACCGGAGCAAACGAGGGCAGACCACTGAATGGCATCACTACTCAGAGCCTTAATGCTCCTCTCCCGTGTGGCGTGAGACGGTCCTATAGGAGGCGTCCATAGCGCCATTTCAAACCGGCCGGGGTGAGATTCGGGGTTTCAGCCGGGTGCACAAGCTGCACCTTGGGCTTTTCTTCTTGCGAGATAGATTGCGCTGTCCCGATCGCTTGGTTTGGGCAATTTCGAGGGCGTCTCTGTCTTCAGAGCCCCAGATTCCCCAGACCCCGGATTCCACAGCCCAGGCTTGGAGGGGATGGTGATTGGCTCAGCGGGCAAGTCAAGGCCAAAGAAGCAGTGGTAAGCAAAGCACAAGGCTGGCAGAGTGGGAATCTGAGTCACCCAAGGTTTTGGCCTAGTGCGTCTGGGCGTCGCTGGGCGGATCCTTTGTCCGCTGCTCACTCGTGTCCTGAAAGTTGACCTCATCACTCGACACCGTTGCATCCGCCCGACTCGAGTCATCCGCCTGACGTACCCATAACATCGACTGTATAGACTGACCTGGCAGTCATGACCCCTTGAAGCGGACAGAGTAGGATGCGGTGCGCCATGTGGCGGAGGAGCCAAGGTGGTCGGGCCCTTGGCCTGACGGATTTGGGGAAATGGCGGGGAATCCGGAGTTGGACACTCGAGCTAGACTCGACTCGAGACTACTCACTAGCGAATGTAACGCTGCTTCAGCCTTCTCCAGAGTATCGTGCCATCGAATGCGGGGTGTCACCTGTAACATGGAACTATCCTCCGACTGGATGGCTGGATCCTGCTCAGATCCTTCCATTTGAACGGCCTTCGGTACTTGCTGGCGCCGTTATCGCTTAAGCAGCTAGTTGGTACGGACTGAATCCTGTCGCACTGCCTCACATGACAGGGAACCGGCCACTCCGCCGAAAGCAGTCACTCGGAGTCGTGAAGTTTTGACGGGATCTGATCGCGGTCGAAATTCCCGCAAAGAAGGTTTCGGTAAGGTTGTCAACATGGCCACGTTTATGCAAGGATCACTGGTCCCGCCAGGCCGGAGTAGCCATGCGGTTTCGGCATCATGGAGTCGCGCAAGAGCACATTCGAGTCCACGAAAAGAAAAGCAGTGAAGCGATTTAGCTGAAATTCGAGTCGCAGTGTTGGAAGGAGACTCCTTCGGAGAGCAGGCGGCAGCCACGCCCAGCGCGCCGTTACTGCTCCTTCCATTCTGGGATCCCCACATAAGCCAAGTAAACAACCGTGGTCCGTTCGTTGCATGTGCGCCCACACTCTAAACTTCGTCGCCCAGAAGACCCTTCGGTAAGTTCAGCCGGAAGCGAGGCTTGATGGAAACTGTACGCCGGATGAGGGCTATACAAGCGGTCTCACATCAGCAACTGCTCACGCGGTCGCACGACTCGCATCGGGCAACTCGCTAAGCTCTAGACAAAGAAGGCAACGTAAACAAAGTTCCTATCGCTCGGACGTTGAGAGATGATGCCACATCATGATTCATGAGAGTTCTGATCCGTTGCTAACGAGCCTTGACGCCACCTCCACAAGTGGCTGGCTCCCCGGGCAGCCCTGGAGGCTGGAGGCCTCTGGGAGCTAGCGCCGGTCGTATGTCGGCTGGGTGGCCCGATTGCCTCGAGCGGTTACATGCAAAGCCCTACGTCGGTGCCAGTTCATATCGCTGCTTTCAGTTCGCGTGGACGTCGTGTCAGACGTTGCTCAGTTCTTGGCCCTGGGGAGCACCCACCAACGCCCGCAGGCGGCTGTCGAGACTTCTTCGATAGCCTACTCGTCACTGATCTCAGCGGAAGCTTGTTACATCAGTCGAGTGTGTATCTATGGCTAGCCAACTCCTTCCTCCGCTCCTGATCTTGCCTAGGCAGGTGTTCTTAAAAAACTGGATCTCTCTAACTAATCTCCCTAATAACTACATGATCAAGAAGAGTAAAACTAGCTATACAAGCCGTGAGCTTAACTACAAATAGTTCAGGCATTTTTATAAGAAAACTAAAAAACACCAAAGAGGAGCGTATTAGCTTCTTATCTTTAATTAATATATAAGCCATATCTCTTACAAATTAGCTGCGCTGGCAGCTAAGGAGAAAGTTCTATTACTCCCTTTACCATCTTACCTAACTTACCTTCTCCAACCGCTCGACTCAGTCCCTTTTTAGCAGCTTAAAAAGGTCCATAAAAAGCATGTCAACAAGCTAAGCTATCTTAGCGGCCAAAACTATAACAAGGTCCATTTCCTTAACAATATTAAGTTAATTTAAATAAAGGCGTTAACTACAAGGGTTATAAAAAAGGGCTGGAGTAAAACTGGCCTCTAGCCATTTAATTTTAACATAGTTTTAAAAAAAATAGGCGCTTTAAAAACTTTAAAAAGGCCTCTGCAAATATTAAATGGTAAGTGTGTTATTAAAAGCGTGGCTAATCTTAAGGCTTTAAGGTCTTTTACAGCCTAGCAAACTACACCTCTTCCTACAACACCAAAAACTATTTAATTAACACGCCGCGATATTAAATTAATTAAGCAAAAGCATCCCAAACTTTTAAAGTCTCCTATACTCCAGCGCCTTATTTAAGGGGTCATCTATTAATCCAAAAGCCTAGCCATAACAAAGAGGAAACTAGACCAGGAACTTATTAAAAGGTTAAAAAAGCACTATAATCCTAGGTCCAAAAAGTAATTTAACAAGATAACAAACCTTCTATATATCAAAGATGCAAAGAAGCATGTTAAGAAGAAAAAAAAAAAGCAGATTAATAAGCTATTTAAAGCACACGCTGCTAAGCAAATAAAACTAGCCAAAAACATCGGGAAAATAACAAAGAAAAAGGCTAATAATATACCAGATAAAGCACTGTTTATTAAGAATTAAAATAAGCCTATCAAGAACTTTATATGGCTTTATTTAGTTAAGATATTATTGTTTAAAGGTTTTACTATCATAGTGCTAATTATCAAGGCGGCCCGTTTAACACGCGTTTTCTCGCGCAGTTTTTATATTACTAATTCAACATTAGTATAGCCAATCCGCGAATACCTAAGGATTGGCCTCATCTATTTTATTTTACAATATTTACTATTTTAGCTAAGAAAATAAGTTCTGAATAGCTTCATGTTCGATCAATTTTCATTGAGATGATATTTTCATATGGGTGGGGCTGACCGACCGCCACCTAGGCGGTCGGGCTCAGCGAAGTGACGAGTATGCGCATGGTGATCTCTGCTCCGTACAGCTCAGGTCGCACTGTGAGCGCATCGCGAACCTTTTTAGTAATGTTATAGTTTCAATCCTCTGCAACCTCACGCCCTCAGACCGCGTCTCCTCAGTCCCTGTCGTAGTAGCAATCTTCTATCTCTGTTACGTCCCGCGTGGCTACCTCGACAGGCGCATGGGGGTCACACAGACCGGAGATGAGAATCCGGGCGTTCGCATGGAAGGCCAAGACTGTGACTGGACTCCAGGGACTCATGTTGCGTCCGGCTAAAGACTTGGCGACAATCCTCGAGAACTTGAGGACTCGCTGCGTAGCGCCCGGCATAACTGCCGGGAAAGGGGTAACGGACACAGTAAACAACAGTGTCACTGTCCGGATGCATCGGCTCGGCCAGACTCGATGGTCGGTCCGACTCCGACTTTCCTCCCAGCCGGCTCAGTGCTCTGCCGTGGATGTTGATCGCACAAACAAAATCGTGGGTTTATCCAGGGTCACCGGTTCACCGAGCTGGTTTCTGAAATGGCGAAGGAATCTTCAGTCTCACCTGGGGTCGGAACGCGCTCTGTTGTCGGAAGAGCAAGGCTTGCGGTCAGTCAGCAGGAGTTCTAACGCGGAAATTTGGCTAAGAATATGTCCAAGATTCTCTGAATCGAGTCTAATAAAATGCAAAAATGACTATCTGTATAATTCTATCATGAAACCGTCCATCTATGTATACGCTCTCAAAATCATCTTCCGCTCAAGGATTCGACGCCGGAGTCTCAGTCTCACCCTCACTCGAGCTCTTATTCTCCACATGAGCCGGAACCTCATTCCCATCCTTCCCAAAGACACCCTCCTTAATCTCAAACCGGAACTGCTCCTCGTCCTCCTTAAGCTGCTCCTTCAGCTTAGAGTGCGCCCTCCAAACGGGCTTAATCTCGAACAGCCGGTCAACGGCTTCAAGCGGGATACCACTGGTTTCGGGAACAAGGAAAAAGGCAAAGAAGAAGGCCAGGAAGGACAGAGAAGCGAAGAAAAAGTACACGCCGTAGTGCATCGTCGCGAACATCTGCTTGGTAAAGCGGGAGACGAGGAAGTTGAAGAGCCAGTTCGAGGCGGTCGTGGCGGCTTGCGCGAGGGAGCGCAGGTTCGGGTCGAAGAATTCGGAGTTGCAGACCCAGGGCGTGCCGTTCCAGGTTGGGGTGTAGACGGCCTGGGATTGAGGTTAGTGGGAATTCTGAGGTAGAGAGCGAGGGAGACATACCGTCCAGAGATAGAAGAAGAAGATGGCCGCAATACCACCACCGTTAAGATGATCGGTGGGATTGTCCTCGGGACGGACAACATAGATGTAAGCGCCGATAACCCACATGCACACGGATCCTATGATGGCACCACCGAGCAACAGGTTTCGTCGTCCGAGCTGGTCGACCAAGAAAAGAAGCCAAACGAACGTCATGACAGCTTTGATAACACCGAAGATGCCAGTCATCCAGCCAACATCAGTCTCAGAGACACCAATGCTTTGGAAGATGGTCGGGCTGTAATAGTTGATGGCGTTGATGCCAGATCCGTTCTGCCAGAAGAAGAGCATGCATCCGATGAACAGACGGTACAGGATAGCCTTGCGTCTGGCAACGGCCTGGAAAGGCTTCCAGAAGCCAACTCCAACGGTAGCCGCTTGCTCTTCCAGCGCTTGGTCAATGGCCGCCACCTCCTCGGTGATGTAGATGTCAGTCTCGTCGAGTTGGCGGATCCAGCAGAGGTTGACCATGGCTTGGGCGCGACGGCCCTTGAGGAAGAGCCAGCGAGGAGATTCTTTAATCCACAGAGACCCGATAAAGAGCATTCCAGCGGGGATGATCTGGACGGCGAACGGGATGATCCATTGCTGGTGTGTTGAAGGCATGTGCATTTCAACTCCGTACTATGGACGATATTAGCTTCTGTAACCCCGCAAATGAAAACATCAACAAATCGATATACTCACGTTGATCCAAAAACCAACCAGCCCACCGATCTGCCAGCCAAGCTCGTAGAAACCGACCAGTCGGCCTCGAATAGCGGGCGGTGCCAGCTCAGAGATGTAGATCGGGATGATGTTCGACGCAACACCGGTACCCAGTCCAGACAAGACACGTCCAGCGTACAGTATGCCCAGCCCGGTCGAGCTCGATGCACCGCAGGTCAAGCCAGCGCCGAGTGTGAACACGGCAGAGGCAACGACCAGGTTCCATTTCCGTCCGATGAAGTGGCCGAGGCCGTATGTGAAAATAGCTCCAAAGAAGGCTCCCGCTATGAAAAGGGACACAATGTTCTCACTGATCAGGTCGACCTGGTCGTCTGTCTTCTTGTCGAGCCCAAATTCTTTTTCAAACGACGTTAATGTGATTGTCGTACCGATAAAGGCCGATGTGTAACCGATCATGTTCGAACCGCATGATGCTATAAGGGCGAGCACGTAGATTCGCCAGTTGTAGACGGACTTTGGTGTTGGCCGGTCCTCGACCAGATGGAGCACGCCGCCCATTGTGAGTGATGAAGTTGATGATGGGATAAGTTGGATGAGGAAGAGACTTCGAGGTGGGAACAGCTTCTAAAAAGCGTCCGCAGAAACTTCGGGGTTTGTCAACTCCAGCCCTCTCCACACTTCCACCTTGGGGTTCGCCACGGAGGTGTCTGGGGCACCCTGAGTAATGCGAGGCTACGATACGTTGAGGCCACACGTCAGTACGGAGTAGCAGAGAACTGTCCGGGGGAGCATTTTCCCCAGCCTGTCCCCCTTATCCGCCTGGAGAGCGTTACTCCAAAAAGTGTGCCATCTGCGATGGACCCGGTAAGCGAGTCTGGGGAAAATCGCTCAGCCATCGTCCATGGGAAGACTCTGCCGGTGTCGGTGAGCCTTGAACATATCCTGGGCCAGCCCCCAGGGCGTCAAGTCCACATATCGGCCCGTTGGCCAGTCAAAGGCCAAGTCGGACAGCGTTCCCACCCGGGCCGAAGAGTCCTTGGGAGCCACTGGAAAAGCGCTTAGCCCGCGCTCGGAGAGTGGCCGAGCTCGGAGGAACAGTGGCAGAGCGTTGATTTCGAAGATGCTGATCGATCGCCGCTGATGAAAGCATCTAAGAGATGGAGTTTCCCTTATCCTGTGCTGCCGTGAGGTGTAGCCTGAATGATGCAAAAGAGAAGGTTTTGGTTTTTTTGACGGAAGCTTGACTCGTGGCACTCTTGGCCTCAGGCAGTCAAGACTCCTTGGCAAGCTTGGTTAGCCCTCCTCCGTATATGGTTAGCGCATAGTGGTCTGGAACAATATCTTTCCGAGTAGCCGGGGAAACATTCTTGAATGGGACAACTCCCTCTGTCTCGTTAACAAGCATCACACATCTTCTAGAACTTGGATATTTCATCAATGCTATAATCAAAGGAACTCAGGGGCTCAACGCCATTTCTTTTGATACCCTTTTCTTCGGGCTTGAGCAACTCCCCAAGTCGCCGGCAGCGCGGAACTGCATCAGTGCGATATATCCCGGGCATCTGCCGCGATGGACCAATTTTGAGGTCTTCCCGGCGGATCTTTCATCGTTCACAGAACAATTGGGCTCTTTCCGTACGCCGGACGGAATTCAAAAAGCCTCATGGCTCAACTGTTTCTTGCCAAAGACAGAGCCCAGAGTCTGTCTCCGAACAAGAATGCCATATAGACATGGTCCGGCTTTTATCAACGGAACATCCTGTACAGCGCTTCGTATATCCCAGACCTAGGCAGCAGCTTATCACGAGGATCCGGGGTGTCTGAAACTTGTCTACCGAATGATCGGCGATGACACCTTGAATCAGACCCCTGTCTCACCTCAAGGAGCTCAATTTTAGGCTGCTTGACATAATTTTTCTCCGAATCGACACGTCCGAGGCTCGATAAAATCCATCCTCAAAATGCTTTTACCTTCAGTCACTAGCAGTCGGTAATGGCCGACATTGTTCCCCCGTCAAAGAAAGGTCGCAAGTTCCACCATAAATCGAGGTACGGCTGTCTGCCGTGCAAGCAGCGGAGGATAAAGGTATTCGCCTCGTTCAGATCATCTGGGTCGTGCGCTGACTTGGACAGTGCGATGAGGTCAAGCCAATCTGCGGTAACTGCGTCCAACGGGGCATTGACTGCCCTTTGCGATACTTCGGTCGACCTACAAGCCAACGTTTATCGGCGTTGAGGAGGCCGAGCAATCCCTCAACTCCTCCGTTACTTGGCTGGATCCCAACCTTAATCTCTGCTACGGGTACAAATCACTCCTTCTGCCGTAGGAATACGCGCGACCTGGAGCTCTACTGCCACTTCCAAGTCCACACGGCGGGAAGTTTCTCGCACCTACCGCGTATTGAAAGACTCTGGCGTGAAGGATTGCCACAGCTAGCCGCTTCCTTCCCATTTATCGGTCATGGTCTTCTCAGTCTCGCCTACATCCATCTTGCATCGCTGTCGCGGACCCCTTCGCGGACGTTACTCGCAGAATCCGCCTTTCACGTCAATCAAGCTCTCCCCGAGTATCTGGAGGCACTCAAGAATATAACCGAGGAAAATGCGGGCGCACTTTTCGGTTTCGCCATGTTTGTCAGCCTGTGGACCATGGCGAATGTCAGTGAAGAATGCGGCGCCCTTCTTCAGGAAGCGAGGAATCTGCCATACAAGCGCATCGAGGCAGTGAAAGGGTTAGCGATGAATGCCGCGCGACTGGCCCATGCCCAAAAACATATCTTTAGCATCTTTTGGCGATATCAGCGCTGGATTTCCAATAGTCTTTTGTATCCCGCCATTCAACGATACAGCGCCCCGATGCTAGGCGAGCCCTCAACCAGTTGGATCAGAATTGAGGACGGACGCCTTGCAACATTGAGTCGCCTGTGGGAGGAAAATCCGGGCATGCCTCTAACGCATTCGCAAGCCTTATCTGCCGCTTTGGGCACCCTCCGCGAAACATTCTCAATGGTCACCCAGTTGACAGTCCCAGCTCCTGCTAGCCATGAACACGGCAGAGTCGAGTCTCCGGGCGTGGACTTAACAGAGATCCACCAAAGACTCTCGTCTGGCCGTCTAGACGATGTTCCGAGCGTCTTCACATGGTTTATCCGCCTTACTCCCGATTTTGGTCGCCTCATGGAGCAAGGGAATGTTTATGCGATGGTCGTGCTCGCCCACTATGCGATCCTCCTCGATCGGGCATGTCACGACAGATGGTGGATTCATGAGCTGCCTCATCGGTTGGTGGCGATGGCGGAATTGGCGCTCGGACCAGACAGAAGAGGATGGGTGGCTTGGCCGTTGATGGTGGTCGGGTCGAACGACACGAGCAACATGTCCAGGCAACCCGGCCGGTCCCTTCTGACAGGGCTTTCATAGCTTATAAGAGACTCTTCAGGGGTGATCTAGTTCAGCGGCCGCTCCGTATATCGTATACTCGTTGCGTGGGGCACTGACACTCGAGGACCGAGTCAGTGCACATGCACGGAGGAGATTGACCAGTCCTCGAGTGTCAGTGCACATGCACAAAGGAGATTGACCAAGTCATACGATCTTGAGTCCCAGTTCATACTCAAGGCAGCTGAATACGGCAACAGGCGACCAATAATCCAGGCTCTTGTACGCCGCTCGTAGTACAATCCGGCCCGAGGTCGGTCAACTGCGGCTCTGAGCTACGTTAAAGGATGCATTCCTCGTCGCAGACCACGGGTACGGCGGCAGAACGCGCCAGATTTTCGATGGAATAGAGGCCGGCAAATGTACGGACCAGAATGCTGAAACATTCTATGATTATGAGGACAACGTGATTAACGCCAAATGACAACTTTCGCGACATCTCATTTCTCACTGCCGATATGACACCGGTACTGCTTCACTACCGTATGCGAAAGCGAATATTTGGAGCTAAATGCTGAAAATGATCTGATCAGCTTGTGCCTTCGAATTGTTTCATCCTGCACACTGCCGAATTTGAATCTCAGTCACGATGTTTGCCAGGACCATGACGGGCTTGATCCCATACCATATAACGCTCCCTAACATAGCACCGACGGCAATGCGTATAGTTATACGGATTGCCTAGGCAGCGCTTCTGATAATGATTTCCATGCTCATCGATTCGCATCACGACCCCACGGGGTTCCCCTGAAACGTACATCCGGTCGATCGCCACATGTACCAGAGAGCGAGATATGGCGAAAACTCTCTAGCCTCCGGCACAGCGAAGCCATAAGAGTTATGAGACGGCCATACTCTCGTCCAGATCTCAGCTTCAACAACGCAGTCAGTAATCAATTTATATTTGATCAAGAATGTTCCTGTTCATATTCCCTGACAGTATCGTGGTCACGCCACTCTAACTCGAAGTCGACGCCTTAGCCGGTCGGCTCGTGGTGGGCCTGCCCTGAATATTAATTCAACCGCTATCCAATCAGACTACATTCCTTACGCCCGTCTGCCGATCCCATTTTTCGACGTTCCTCGGCCGCGGAATGTGGGCGCGTTTCAGCCTTTCAGGAACCCAGGGCCGAGGTGACCGTATTGCGTATCGCGTTCTCGTACGCTAATGCTGCACTAATCGACCAGGGTTCGTCGAAAGGGATACGTCCGATACGGATTTGTTTCTGGATTCGATATGGAATGCTTTGCTGTCCCCGTGGTTGAATTATGGCGACTACTTAACGCCTCAATGCCCCTTGCCGCGCCTTTAAAGGCCAGTCGGTATCGGGTTGCCTCTCGTTGAAGTCGAGAACATAACCATGCTTCACCAAATCAGCTCCGCCTGTGCCCTTCTGGCCTTGGCCCTGTCCGCCTCTGCGACGCAGGCCACTGGTCCTGGTCCTGAGGCTTGCGGCAACCTAACCCAGGCCCTTGGGTCCAAGACGGTCGTCAGCAATGTCTTGAGTATGAACTACATCGACTCGGTCAAATCATACTTCAACACCGAGCAAAGCAAGTTCAAGCCCTCGTGCATCGTCTACCCAACCTCCGCCGACGATGTCTCTCTTGCGATCAAGGCAATCCGACACTCCGAGTCCCGGTTCGCCATTAAGGCGGGTGGCCACAACCCGAATGACTTTTACTCCTCGGTCGACAAGGGAGTCCTGATTGATCTGTGCGATATGACGGAGAAGTCGTATGACGAGGACTCGACGCTCGCGACCTACCAGCCCGGTGGGGACTTTGGCGATGTCTACGAGTACTTCGCGAAATGGAACCGCACTGTCGTTGGTGCGCGACTGGCTGGTGTAGGAACTGGTCTCGCGCTCTCCGGTGGTCTTTCCTACCTCTCGAGCCAGTACGGTCTGGCCTGCGACTCTTTCCGTGAACTCGAGGTTGTGCTCCCCTCCGGTGAAATTGTGACAGCTTCCGAGAACGTAAACCCCGACCTTTTCTACGGCTTGCGCGGCGGCGGCGGAAACGCCTACGGCGTCGTCACAAAGTACACCGTGCAATCCTACCCAGCCGACACCTTCTACGCCGGCATCGTGGTCTATCTCTTTCAGCACAACTCTTCTGTCCTAGATGCGATCAGCGACTTCATCACGTACAACGAGGACCCCAAGGCCGCTATCATCGGGACATACATGAAGCTCCCGACACCCGGCTTCGACCTCAACCTCGACGAAGCAATCATCATGTTCCTCGTCTACGACGGCCCCGACGCCGGAAACGCCTTCAAGAACTTCACCGACATCCCGCACCTCGTCAACACCCTCGGGCAAAAGACCTACACAGAGGTCGTGAACATGCCAATCCCCAACAGCGCCGAACTCAACGCCGGCCGAAACACCTTCCGCGTGACAGTCCACGGCGGCGACGAAACAGGCATCGCAAACCTAAACACCCTCTACGAGAAATGGGTCGACTGGGGCAACGACAACAAGGGAAAATACCTGCTCACGAGCTTCGACATCCAGCCCATCCCGAAGTCGCTGACTGATGCGTCGAACTCGAACTACGGCGGCAATGCGATGCAGATGCCTGATGGGCCGTGGTACTGGGTTAATTACCTGCTCACTGCGTCGCCGCTGCTTAGCGAGAAGGATCTCGATGAGGTGAACCAGAGCTACAAGGAGCTTGTTGAGGCGGTTCCGCCCACGGAGGGCTTGCCGCTGTTTATTAATGATGCCAGTCATGATCAGAATCCGCTTACGACGTATGGTGGGTATGCGAAGCTCAAGGAGATCAAGGCGCGGTATGATCCGGATGGGTACTTTGCGAACTATACTGGCGGGTGGGCTTTCCCTTAGGCTGGCTTAGTAGTATGGTCGAATATATGTTTTACAATTTACAACTTGGTTACGTATATATTTCAGAATATATGAAGAACTCTAGAAGTGATCTTGTTCGATGGGTGAGGATGTCCTCGGTCTAGCTTGAGCCCTGCTTCGCTGGGCACGGCCGACGCTCGTGAACTACTCATGTTCTCGAGCTTCCTTGGTTCTATCTTCTTGTATATTCGCCCTCCGAGGAGGAAAGCAACGAGAGGCGGTAAGCAACGGGAGGAAACAACGCTACATCAAGAGCAAAGCCCACGCGGCGAGTGGTACACAACCGGCTTCGTATAATCATCAACCAAAGGCAGCGGATCATCCCCATGCCCCCAATGCATCGTCGCAAGGATACTCGCCAGCTGCTCATCATTCGGGGGGTTCCTAAAGATCCTGGCCCGTTTGGCCAGCCGGAGAACATAGACCGGGATGGGCGTGGTCACTTCATGGGCCGTCTCGTAATCATACTCGGTGTTGTTCACGTCGACAACAAAGTAGGAGTGGCGGCTTGTGATCCTCAATGCTAGGAAGCGGGTCTCGAGGTCTGTGTCTGGACAGCACTTTTTCATGGACTCTTGGGCTGTCGTGACAAACGGGAGGATCGACGCTAGGTAGTTGGTAGAGTCGAGGATCGCCGTGGGCGTATCTCCGACGAGGCGGAATTGTCTGGGGATGCCTTTGCGGAAGAACTCGCTCATGGTGTTGTGGATTTGATGCAGGAGCATGAGCCTTGTCTCTTCGGAGGGCATTATGAGGTATTGATTTGTGGGGACATTGGGGAGGTAGAGGCCCAGAGAAGAGTATTGACTATTCAACTAGATATTACGGATGGCTTTAACGCAGAAACGTGGCGTTTTGAGGATGAGTCCATGTCTCTAGAGGGGAGATTGAGAATGCATCCTTAACAGCCCTGGAAGGGAGTACAGTCTAGCTCAACCAATGACAATCCTCTGTTTTCGCCCCCATGTGATCCGACTGCATACAAGGGGTTGTCGGCGGCTAGCGCCTTGGAAATCAGGCCCGTCTCCATTGTCTATAGATGTCGCACCTCTATTTCATGCTTCATCAGTATGTGATTGTATCTAGCCGCTGGGGCGGGCCGATCCTTGCAGGTTGCATGCAAGATGGTGTGCGAGCTTGAGGTCTAAGCGCCTGTATACTCGAAGCGGAACAGAGCGCTTGCTTCCATTTATAGTGGCTGCTGGGGCATCTGGTTCTCTGAGATGGAGGGTAGGTGGGTATATATGTTCTTTCGGTCTGCTTCCAAGGTTCGCGTTGGTTGGTCTTCGTTTCATACTCAACTCCAGTCAATCAGTGTGCTTGCCCGACATGTCATCCCGAACAACCATCTCACTTCACAGGACGCTTCTCTACCTCCTCTCTCTTTCCTCCATATCGTTTGCTACAGAGCAGGATGTCCTCGATGATTCAGGCCGGGGTCTGTATCCGTCGCATGGCTCGCGCGTCCTGCTCACGAAAACGGTCTCATACAATCATCATGTCCCTGTGCCAACACGTGGTACGTTTGCGCACGCTTCATCAAGAGCACACTAACAGCCACCTAGACACACCCAACACCCTCTCAACCTCATCCGAACCCTCCCCCGTCTGCCCATCCGACCAAAAACCCTGCCGCCACACCTGCATCCCCTCCACCCAAGACTGCTGCTCCGCAGATCAGCACTGCCTCCCAGGCGACTACTGCTACATCCACTCCGGCTCCGTGCGGTGCTGTCCACAGGGCCTATCCTGCTTCCAGATAAGCGGGGACGTCTGCTTCGAGCAGACGGTAATATGGTACGAGGAGGTTCACATCGTGAACGAAACCGAGGATGACAGCGATGGTGCTGGTGCTGGGGAGGCAGTGACCGTGACGTCGTGGGAACTGCTTGAGTCGGCGCGTCCCACGAGCTCGAGAATCACCGTTACCGCTTCGTATCCTGCTGAAGGACGAGCGGCGTTTACGAGTCTTAGCCAGAGGATTGTGGAGGCTGCGGTCACGCCTGTGGCGCTGGCGCTGGCGCTCGATGAGATTCCGACGCGGACGGTTACGTTGAGGGGGCCTGGGCGTCCTACGCTGGAGGCGGAGGCGATTCGTCCTGATCTTTAGATTCAGGACGAGAGATGGTTTGCTTCGGGCGGATTTGTGAAGTCATGTCAACATTTTTGTATGCTGTAGACCCAAATATATATAGTGTCGCTCGACGGTGGAATTAAGAACCGGTTGAGTCCGCAGTTAAGACAAGTCTTTCGATAAACTTCAGCCACAACGCCCAAGTTAAGAGGTTACCAGACAAACATGGATTGCTACGTCTCGATCCATGGTATCGTCGTGAGGAGACTTCTGGCGCTGGAATTGCCGGCGTTTCGCCGACAAAGATGCTTACGGCACGTGACCGTCACAGCGAACTTTTGTCGTCGACCATGGAACGAGGACGGAGCAAACTTTGAATCTCTCAAGGGCCTTTACGGTTTTATACTCCGTACTGAGAAGGAAGTTTGAGATCTGCCTTCAAAGTGGTGGCAGCTAGAAACTGTCCAACTGCCAAGTGGCGACGAGCGACGAGTGGCTGTGCGTGAGGGGTGTTCGTATACTGCCGATAAATTTAGCGTCAAAACAATTTTTGCGGGCGCACGTGCCCGTGTAATTAAGCTATTTTAGTTTATATGGTAAATAATATATAAAACTAAACACTGGCCTTCCGGGCGTACTTGCTTTAAAATTACTAAGTTTTATATTAAGATACGGGTATATTAATTTATATAAGGTCTTTTATATAAATTAATGTACCCGTACCTTAACGCATGGCTTAATAAAAAAGACCTTTAAGAACTTATTTTAAAGTTATTTTAAGGCGTAATAAACATGTTTTTTAATTATAACTTAGTATTAAATTTATAAAAAGTTTAACAAGGCGCCCGCGGGTGCTAGTATATTAATTTATATAAAAAATTTTATATAAATTAATGTACTAGTACACCTTAGCAAACTTAATAATATATATTTTTAAAAATTTATTCTTAAAGTTATTTTAAAGCGCTTTTAAAGTGTTTTTAACTATAGTTTAGTATTAAATTTAAAGTAAGTTAACCAGGCGCCCGCGGGTACGGGTATATTAATTTATATAAAAAATTTTATATAAATTAATATACCCATACCTTAACACATAGTAAAAATAAAAAATTTATTTTTAAAGTTATTTTAAAGCGCTTTTAGGGGGGTTTTTTTAGTAAAATAGTGTTAAATTAAGGTTTAATTTTATAAAGCTATTTAAATTTTTCCGCTTTTTTCTAGGTGTTCTTTGGTTAGGTTAATTAAGGGCGGCGTGTTAAACTAGGGGTTATTTAAGCATTATTATAAATTATTTAAGAAATAATTTTTAAGATCTTTAGTATTTTTAAGCCTTAATAAGCTAGTAGCCTTAGTTAATAAGGCTATTTAGGCCTAAATACCTTTTTAATACTCCGCGGCTAGCTATAGCTTAATCTTATTTTTTAATATATAGTATTTTTATTATATTTTTTTTAAAATTTCTTAAAGTTAAAGCTTTTATTTATAATAAGGTTAAATATTTTTATTAATACCTTAAACTTTTTAAAAAGCTTTCTTTTTAGCCATCCTGTTATTATTATTTTTATAAATTTTAAAGCCTTTATATTTTTAATTCTTGTAAAATTAAGCCTATAATTCCTTGGTTAAAACATTACTATACGCCTTATTTATAGTAAAAAAATAATAGTAAAAAAGCTCCTATTTTTAAAAAAAAATACTAATAAAATAGCTCGCCGTTAGCGCTTTAAAAAAGGTATTTAAGGTATTTCTTATCACGTTCCATCTTGCTGTAAAAAAGTTTTTATATAAAAAAGGGGAATTACCTTAACTCTAGCTTGTTATAAAAGTTAATAATATTTTAATTATAAAAGTTTCTTTTTTTTATTCCTAAGCGCCTTTAGTATTACCTTATTACCTTAAAAACTTAATCCATAATTTTCTTAATTAACCAGCTCTTTATTAAAATCTTTAAATTTTTTTTTAAAACCTAGTAAAAGCTTTTTAACATATTTATATTTTATAATTATATAAAAAATATACTATGTTACCTGTATGCTATTACCTATTTATTCTTATTTTTTTTTTACTTATTTTTAATATAAGTAATTTATATATTATTGCTGTTTAAGGCCTTAATAACCTTTTTAATTAATTTTTAATATCTAGCTTTTATTTTTTAAAGGTAAATAATAGCTTTAAGGTTTTTAAAAACCTTTGTGTATTTTTTCTTACCTAAAAAAAGGAAATAACTATTAAATAAATTTTTAGCTATTTTTTAAAAAAATTCTTACTAAAACAACGCCAGAGAGTTCGAGCGGAGTGTACTATATAAAAAAAATACTTAACTTTTTTTTAATATTAAAAAACGCGAGTAAAATAGCCTTTTACTTAGTTATAAAGTTATTAGTAATAATATAGCTAGGTTTCTATTTCTTATACCACTTCCTAAGCTATTAAATTTTTTTAGCTATAATATCCGCATTTTAATTACTATAAAAAATAAAGGTAATAGGAATATACACTTTCCACGCGTTTTAAACTATTAGTATTATTAAAAAATAGTTTAGTTTGTTTATTTTATAGGTTAAATTTATTAAAAAAATAAAGCCTTATTTTATTAGCGCGTTTAGGCCCTATTACTTAGTAAATATAATAATACTGTAATTTTTAGTAGTTAGGAGGCGCTTCTAATAATATTTTTGGTTTTTTAGGAAGTTTATAAGCTTTAAAATCTGGTTCTTGTAGCTAAAATTAGCGCCTGTTTTATTAAAATTAAGAAGAATAGTAATTACCCTTGCCCGGGTGTTATAAATATTATAAAGATTTATATCTCCGCCTTTAATAGTCTTTAAATTAATAAGATTACCTATTTAAAAGTTATTAAGGTTTTTTAAAACACTGCTGTAATTTATTATAAAATATACTTTAGCTATTTTTTTACCTGCAATGGCTTATATAGCTAAATTTAGCTTATAAATAATATTAAGCAAATAATTATAGCCTTTTTTTAAATAACTAGCAAATATAAACAAGGCTGCTATATTTCTTAATATATATTTAGCAAGGGTAATAAATAGGTTTTTAGCTTAATTTTTTGCGCTTATAGTCCTTTTTTTTAAATACTAGCTTTCACGCCTTTTTATTATAAAGGTAATACCTGTAGTGTATAGTAATACTACCATTTTTTTTTATATAGTCTTAGTTTTAGGAATAAATATTATTAACCCAGGGCTAAAGCATGTTAAATTTAGCCCTTATAAATTTAACCTTAGTAAAATTAATAGTAAAAAAGTAATTTTGCCAAGCAGAAAGGTTTATAAAAGGCTAAATAACTAAAAAAATTAATATTTTTATAAATAAAACTATTAAGAAAAAAGTTTTAAATAACTTTACTTTTAGTAGTGGCAAATACCCTTTTTTTAGTGTGCTAAATTTCCATGGGCTTAAGTTTATATAAAAGTTATTATATAAAGTTTAGCTTTACGCGAAGCAAGAATTAGGCCAAGAATTTTATATATTACTTTTTTTATAATTATACTCCTAATTTTACAAGTATTTTACGCCATAAATTCGTAATAAAAATTAAAATAAAGTAAAAATATTAAAAGCGCGGGATTAAGTTACTTTATATAAGTTTTTTTAATATTTAAATTTATAAAGTTCTGGAGTTATTTACTATTTTAGTAAATAATTAATATTTAATAATAAAATATATATTTAAATATAGTGGTAGTTAACTTTAAAACTTTTTTAGTAAATTTATTTAAGTTTAAATTTTACTAAATTACTATAAATACTTTTTTTTAATTAGCTAATGCCTAACTTACCGCCCGCTATAATTTAGTAATTTTTATTATTTTACTTTGTAAAACTTAATTTATTATATAGTATATTAATTTTTATATAATATACTATATAATATAATATACCTGCATAACTTTTATACTTTTTTACTTTATTATTTTATTATTACACGGTGCACGCGGTAAATATTGCTTGAGAAGGTGTTTATTTTAAAATATATAAAATATATTATATAATGTTAAATAAATTAATTACTTACAAATGGTGGCCTTGGCATTTTGAACAACGCTAAATTTATCGGCAGTATACGAATATCCGTGCGTGAGGCTGGTACGGGATACGGATACGAGATCCCCCGCTTAGTCATGTGGATCGCAGTCTCCTGATCTCTTTCCAGTTCAAGAGAAAGTCAAAACACTGGGAAGAGTAAACTCAGTAAACAGGGGCGGCAGTGGGAATTGTAGCCGTATTATTAGATTCAAAGACCGCATCTTGAGCATTCTGAGTCACTGCCGAAGATAAATCCTGGTTAGAGCTGCACATCGTATCCAACAAGGCTGAGCACGCACCCTGGCCGGATCGGATTTCCAGCGGCTCCACCTCCAACTCCCTGTCAGGACTCAGCCTTCATCTTCCCAGATTCTGCTCTCCCCTTTTTCATCCCACGCTCATTCTTTTCGGGGCGCTCTCTTTGCCCTCTTTTTAATCCTAATACTGCCAAGGGACCTCTCTCCCTTTCGCAATCGATCGCCCTTTCTCGTCTCTCCTTCGGCCGCTTAATCGCTCGCGTGCTGTTTTTCGCTGTTCGACCCCGGACCTTAATTCCCTCCGTCCATGACCTGAACGTGCCCTCCATCTTGACCGTCCGAAACGCAGCAATGGCGACGAACGGTACCGAAAAGATCGACTTGGGAAAGCCCCAGTTTGCTTCCCACTCATGGCTCGAGCCGATCGTATGTTCTGTCTCACCGTGTTTACGCCGCAAGGTTTAACAATGCTGTCTAGGTCGTCGTTAGCATTATGCTTACCTCCCTCTACGTCAACCGATACAAGCACTTCAACATCCTCGATAAAAACCGTGACCCCGTCGCCGAGCGAGAGTTTCTCAAATCCGACGTCGAGTCGAGCGCCGCCCCCCTACAAGACGAGAATGGCCGCAAGGACCCCCACGAGTCGAAGCGACGCGTATACGGCTGGTTCGTGATCAGGACGCCAAACTCGGCTCGTTTCGCCCGTCACATCCACAGCCGGCTCGTACAGAAATTCCCGTTCTTGGTGGAGATGTTTTACTGGGTCCTCAACTACGCCTTCTACTCTTGCACCAAGGCCATTTCGCACGCTCTATCTCCGGCTGGGACCGACGTTGTGCAGCTTGCTCAGGACCATGGGATTGCAATTCTCGACCTGGAGCACCGCTCGATTTTCAGCATCTTCTTTCCGATCGAGGAGTCCGACTTTCAATCGTTCTTCCTTACTGGCCACCCCGGGTGGATGACATTCTTTAATCGCATCTACTCGCTTGTTCACATCCCGGGAACAGTTGCGTAAGTACGCCGTCGTTGAGCATTTGGGCAGAAGAGTCTGACTGTATAGTTTCCTTTCATGGTGGTACTGGGCCGCCCCCGACCACGAGCGATTCGCGATCGCCCGCCGCACGATGACCCTCGGAAATTTCGTCGCCTTCATCGTCTTCTGTTTCTTCCCCTGCATGCCTCCCCGCCTGCTCCCCGAGTCCTTCAACTTCCACGATACCGTGCGCCAGGAAAACGCAGAAAGTGTGTGGGTCGGAGGAAAGATGGTCAACCAGCTGGCGGCGATGCCGAGTTTGCACTTCACATACGCCTTCTGCATTGGCGCGACATTCATCTACCACTCCAACTTCTGGTCTGCATTTAACGGCGGACGACGGACCCTGCGCTCCATGGTCACGACCGTGATCTTCGTCCTCCTCGGCATCCTCTACCCTCTCCTAGTCCTCTCGGTGATTGTCGCGACAGCCAACCACTACTGGTTCGACGCAACGGTCGCCATGTTCTCCGTCATCATCTGCTTCCTCATCAACCGCATCTGGCTGATCCTGCTGCCACTGGAGGACCTGTTTCTCTGGGTAACCCGCCTGGAGAAGCCCGTGCCGACAACCGGCTTCCGACACCGCAACAGTCGCCAGACCAAGGGTGACGATGGCTTCGAGGAGTCGGAGCACTTGCTTGAGCGCTACACGTGATTTAATGTTGGTGTATATAGATTGATCTAGGGCGCTTTGGGCTTGTTTACTGCATATAGATATATATAATATTTACCACATACGTGTACGCATACAAGCTCAAAATTGCTCGGGTGCCTCGGCTTTCAAACTCCCTGATGCCCTAACACTCCCCGCCTTCCTTGCTTGGAGGTTGATCTACCTAGGCAGCTGGCCAAGCTCCCAGCGACGGTGGCATCAGATTGTGAGACGTACAGAGTACAGGGCATGTGCAGGACAGTCAGACTTTATTGTGGAGAGATCTAAAGTGTGGATACTTGGATTTCTGTGATCAAGATTCCTGCTCAAAGTGAATAGGGACGCATGAGCATATCCCAGGACAGGCCACACAGAGAAAGGAAAACGTCGAGGGTGAGTTCAACATCATTCACTATGTCAGTGGAGTAGTGCACTAAATCTGCAGGGTGGCTATGACTGGCTGAGAATGTCCCTCAAGCAGTGAATGCCTACTTCACTCAAACCGGCAGACAGAATGGCTCCCGGACTCCCATCTAGCAAATATAAATAACCCTTGGATCCCACGTCTTTTCGACCCTGATTTCCTCTGCAACCAATCTCCTCAAGCCTTCAGCGAACTTCCACCTACCTCGCCTCGAAAATACCTTATCAAACCCACTCCGACAACAATTCCGTTCGCCAGCATGTTCGCCAGCATTGCCAGCATTGCCAACATGTTCCGCCTCCAGGCTCTGGTCATGACTATCCTGGCTATCCTCGTTTGCACCGTCACGGCTGACGTACGTTCTCTTCAACTCCTCACCCCTCCCAAAGCTTTACAGTAAAGAACTGACAAACCCAGTCCATCGTTGGCTGCTACCCCAAAGAATACGGAGCGAACGGGGTGGATGCCAAGTCGTACTTCAACTTCTTCCTGGATAGGGACACTGACATCACGGTTCCCGCGGCGTCATGCGTGCGCCCGTTCTGCCAAGAGGATATCTACGGCAACCCGAATACCGGTGTCTGGGTGTGTAATGATGTACGTCCTCTCTCTCTCTCTCCCTCTCCTCCATGCATGCACTACAACAACATCCTGAGGTGGTCACGTTGCAGCAGTGACTAACAAGCCCGTCCCTCCAGAACGACGACATCGAAATGACAGTCCTGCGCGATGACTACATCGCCGGCGGAAACCAGATTTTCGAGAAATGCGAAACTAAGGATCACCTCGTTGGCGGCACTATCGCTTCCCCCGACAAGAAGATCCGCATTGCGATCATTAGGGACGATCACTGTCTCGATTACAAGCCTCCTACCGGTGTGCCGCCTGGAAAGGAGGTGGTGGATTACTATTGATCGGGTGCCTGGTCAGCGTCTTTGTCCTTGGTTTTAGGGGTGCTGTGCTGATGAGAGCAAGGTACTCTACTCCATGTATGACGCTCCATCCATACTGCCCGTGGTATCTACATGCCTCGTGGCTGCGATGATCCAACTCCAACATGTCGTCTCGAGCGTTTGTCTCTGTTTCCTGTTCTCTTTCCCTCTTCCACTTTTTAAGGCTATTCAACATCCATGGATACCTAACCAGTCCGATTTCATTTGTATTTCCTTTGTCAAAGCATGAGATGGCTCGACTCTCTCGACTCATCAAGGTGACCTAACAAGTCTGGCTAGCTGTGTCTCTGTCTCTTTTGCAATTTCGCAGGCCTAGGCGGTTTAACTACCACATCATGCAATCAACTCAAGTCTTTTCATCTTCCCGTCCGTTTAAAGCAATTTATAACTTCAGGTCTGCGATGGGAGCCGCTCTGTCAAAGAGAAGTAGTTATGGTAGTTTTCGGGGATGCAAACATAGACCCGACCACCTAATAGACCACTCGAAGCGTTCATGAAGCTGCTGCTCATGTTCCATATCCAGTCTGGATGAGATGATCGATGTATCCGGACCTGTGGGTGCTACTCCAAACTATATTAGAGCTATATGAGTTTGGCATCTTAAATTGTATGCTGAGATGCTGGCCGGGGCTTTTCTGTGTTTGTTCTCTGGTAAATTTATGCATGCATATTTTTGTTCAAGATTAAACTGCTGAGATAGTAGCCCTTGAAGTGTTTATTTCTAAATAGTGTTGGTATTTCTTGGAGCATCTTGCCCCTTGCACAAGGCCTTGGACATAGGCAGGTAAAGCTGGACTGCTCTACGGTACTGTCGGGCTCAGGAAGGAGCGATTGCTCGCTTCGGGCGCCGGCGGATTTCGAAATCCTCAACGTACCAACTCCCCCGCCTTTCTTCCACCCATCTCATCATCGACCCATTAACCTGATGAATTGCCGATGGCATTGCTATCGACACGAGGTACTTCAACGCCTGGATGAAATTGGTCAACGATCGACCAGCTGCACAGGATGGAGAGCCGTCCTCCGATTCCCCATGGGCAAGCCTTCTCGCAGGGTCCTTGATCGGCTACCATAAGTACTCGCCAACCTCCTGATCTACTCTCTTTCCTGGGCTTTCGCGATCGACACTCATGATTATCATTTTCATTAATACATTACATTAATACGCTCGAGAATGAAATGGCTTAGTTCCACACAAGGACTCCCTTGAGGGCCTTTCCTTCCTTGACCTCCTTGAACGCCCTCTCATATTCGTTCACGGGGTAGTACGTGACCATTTCCTCCAGAGGGAACTGACCCTTCGCGTGTTGCTCGATCAGGTAGGGCAGGAACTATAACTGTTAGTTTTACGCCGCTGACACTGTAATCAGGCTGCATACCTTCTGTGTGTCGCTGTCACCCTCGCAGCACCCGAGATATTGACGGCCCATAACGAGATGAGAGAAGACGTCGACTCCGGCACGCACACCAGGAGTGGGAGCGCCGACAGTGGCGCCCTTGCCGCGGGTTCCAAGGCAGTCCAGCGCCTTCTCAACGACCTGGGGAATACCAGCACAGTCAACCGAGTAGTCGACACCGTTGGACCCAGAGATCTTCTGGATCTGCGCGACGACGTCGCTGTCTGAACCGATAACTGTATGCGTAGCGCCCAACTTCTTCGCTAGCTCCAGGCGCTGGGGCTGCAGATCGATGGCAATGATGGTCTTTGCGTTCCGCAGCTTAGCGGCCATGATGGCGCTCATGCCGACTGAGCCGACACCAAAGACGGCAACGGACTTGCCTGGTTGTACGTCCAGCGTGTTCAGGATGGCACCAGCACCAGTCTGGATACCGCATCCGAGCGGCGAGAAAAGGTCCAGCCTTGTCTCTGCGGGAACCTTGACGACCGAAGCGCTGCTGACGATCGTGTGTCGGGCGAAAGAGCTCTGGCCGAAGAAGTTTCCGTGCAGTTTTGCGCCGCTGGCATCGGCCAGTGTCAAGCTTCCATCCATTCGCTTCTGACCGAAGTTGCGGGGAACCCACTCGGAGCAGTAGGCTGGGTGGCCTTCGTCGCACTGGTAGCAGGCGCCACAGTGGTCGAAACTGAGCAGGACTTTGTCGTTCTTGCTGACGTGCTTGACTTTCTCGCCGACTTCGATCACGACACCGGCACCTACGATTTCACAAATTAGATTTGGGTTTGCAACAGGAATGAAGAGAGTACCTTCGTGTCCGAGCACACTGGGGAATGCGGCTGGTAGTGTCCCGTTCATGCACGAGAAGTCTGTGTGGCAGATACCGGTCGCATGAATCTCAACGAGCACCTCGTCGGCGCGGATGTTGTCGAGGGTGATCTCCTCGAGCTTGGGGGCGACATTCACCTCCCTTGAGACGAGAGCCTGGGTCTTGACAGCCATTGTGAAAGAAAAATAGGTTGGTAGGAAAGGAGAAGTTTGAAGGGTATCTGGGTATCTCGATGTTGAAATTGAAGCTTGAAATGTGAACAACAACCGACAGGAACATCACCAAGTTTAAATAACCCAAGCTACCCCAGCTCAACCCCGGTCGTTCAACCCGACACCGCTGGATTGGGAAGCCCAAAGTACCGACAATCCAAGGGACAGTGCCGAATTGGTGCCAGGTACCACGGAGCGTCCTGAGCTCGCACCGGGCCTCCGGATGAACCAGAAACGAGCGCTGCACCCCGCGACCCCGCGTGAACGGAAGAGCTTGGGACACTGCCAGGGACAGAGGGAAACTACCGAATTTTGCTGCCGGAGGGGAAGATTCGTCGATCTCAATGCTCTCTCCCCGCATGCTCCACTGTCCCCGGACAAGCCCCGACGGTTCACGAAGATGCCCCTTGGATCCTGGGGAGCGTGGCCCAGAGCGAGTCAGGGACACTAGCAGGGCACTACACGATAATTCTGAGAAATATATGCAATTATAGGTGCTGTGAGTGAATGCTTCTCATCTACAAGTGCCGACTCCACGCCCCGATCTCGATCACCAACTAGCGTCCCAACCAAGAGATAAAGCCTGCATGAAGGATGATAGTTCGCAGTGGTCTGTAGGCCATTCAAAGCTCTAACAAATTTATTCTTCAACAATTCGGTCTTCAGGGTATTTCTCGCTCGACGGAGCTCGCAACGTCGCGACCTCAACCGCCCTCTGCTCTGCATCGGTCCCAGTGGCAATAGCTTTCCTATCGCCACCCGCAGTCTGGATCCATTTGATGGGCCCAGGAGGAAGATCAACATGCGACCCAGACCACTCCAGCGCCCGACGGATCTGGTCGTCAAGGTCAGGCAGCATGCCCGTCTCGAATTGAAATCCGCCACCGATACTAGTGGGAATATTGTCGTGTTCAATAGTCTCCCTCAATGTATCGTATGCGTTGTCCTTCGTCAAGAACTGGATCTTGGATGCAGTGACCGGGTTGACGAACGACTTTAAGAACGCCCAGCATCGGGCGAGGAAGCCCGGGACGTTGCAGCACTGCCATCACTATCTATCAGCAACTGACGTTAGGAATATGCCGGCGACTCGACTTACATAAATGCGATAGATGGTCTCCGGGAAGCATGTCGCCAGGATCCAGCTGATATCGTTTGCGAACTCGCGCAGCTCCCACGCTTGTTTCATGTAAAGCGGCCCAGCGTCCACGACATACGCGCAACTCGTGACGGGCTTCCCCTGTACAGCCGAACACAGCGGCAGGACAAACCGCGTAAAATAGTCGAAATGCGCCAGTGCACGCTGTGGCATGTTGGGGGATATCTCAGGGTCCGCGTCTGGTCCGGATAGTGTCGCTTGGGGTATTTGCTTCGTCTTGCGCCATTCGCCCATTCCCTCCTTCCCCAACGCGGAGACGTCCATCATGAGAATCGGCCGTCCTTCCCGATCGCAGCGGCCTGTCCAATGAGGATACTGTTCGTCCCAATCAGTTATGACAGTATGGTTTGATGGCGAGTCGACATACCAACGCACGCGTGTCCTCGTAATCAGGCACACTGATCCGGTCGTATATACGGAACGCGTCGTTTTTGGCGCGGAAGTCGGTCGCCTGCTTCAACTGCTCGAGGGCTTTCGTGGAGTCCATATCGTTCGCCTGTAGAAAGCGTCTGACGAGTCTATTAGCTGTGGAGGTTTCCTCATTGCTTCAGCATACTCACAAGAGTGTGGCCTCGTCTGTAAAGCCATCCACTGCGTCTCCGTCTTTCAATCCCTCCGGGCGCTTTAGGAGGCCTGCATCGGCGCACAGCTTGGAAAACGTCGAGGCACCCGATGCCTCATCTCCATTGGGAACTGTCATTGCGCGTGAGTCTCTGCTCAGTAACTCGACGAGGTAGAGTCGGATTGTCTGCGATCCAGCGAGTCCGTAGGCTGGCGTTATAGAGAACCAGAACAAGAGTAAGCACAGGACAGGTGTCGACTCGAAGAAAAGGGGAAAGTTGGGCATGTTGTAAGTCCGACCGACAGCGACTGGATGACGTTGTGCGACAGTGTTGCTTTTTCGCTCCCACAGTGCTGCGACAGGTCATTGGTGTGCCCGTGCACTGGATTGTGATGCACCTGCATTCTGCATTCTGCGCCTGCCTGAAGATTTGGAAACATGGCCTTGGCCAGGTAATCTACTCCGTAGGATCCCTAGTCGCCGATCAAGGCCCGTCATCCTGAATCCTCGGAGTCCCGTTCCCTCCATAATATACAAACACTACACCTCGCTATGGACTCTGTCGGTGCGAACTCAACTGGCGATGGTCAGTCTCGAATCCTGCTCGCCCATCCTGGATGACATCAACTAAGTACCTCAACTGCAAATGATCGCCCGCAGACAACTCGTGATAGGAACGTGCTGCTCAACTATGGAGAACTGTGGAGCCCCAGTTTCAACGTCATATCGATGCAAACCATAGTTCACGCCCTGAGATCCAAGATTTCGCAATCAACTTTATCGCGTCCAGCCCTGCCGTGGGGTCTCCATTGGTCAAGAACGCCCAAGACGAGATGGAGTGTGAGGTAATGAGATGAGGTGTTCGTTCCGTCCGGGTTGACGATCGTAGATCCTCCAGCGAGATGTACTTAAGCGCGTACGATGGAGAACCCTCATGGAAGACGAACAATCTCGATCAAGCCTGAACTATCCTACTACACAATGGCGCAACAGACATACCTCAAAGACCCAGACACAACGTCGTTCGTTGTCCCGAGGTCGACGCCAGACATGGCCGGCTTCTGCCATAACTATGAGCTGCGTCGCCATCGCCACGAGCACAAGGCCAATGAAGGCTCGCTGCGCTTGCGCGCTGACTGGGAGAACACCATCGGCCCGATCGAGCGCTGGGGCTCTTGTAACCCCTGGGAAGGACACTTTGGATCCGTGGTGCTACCGTTCTGCCGGCCGGAACGGCTGGCGATTTTGTGTTATATTTTCGAGTGTATGTCATGTTCACATTTCTTCAAGCTCTATGGTAGGTGTTGTTGCTGAGCATGCCAGACGCATTTCTGTACGATAATGTCGTTGAGTCTGCCGCGAGGTCAACGGTAAACTTCTTCTCCTCTGTTCTTGGTCCAAATGGCTGATTCTGTATATGATAGCTAAACATGGATACGGACAACATCGCCCTTGACGAGACAGAGTACCGCACCGTCCGCTCAGTCCTCGGCACGAAACAAATTCAATCCAAGATGCTCCTCGAGCTTTTGTCGATTGACGCTCCCTGCGCCGAAGTCGTCATCGACTCCTGGAAGACAATGATCAGTACGACCGCGAAGCAGGACAAGAAGCGCGTCTTTGACAATTTGGAAGAATACGTCGACTACCGAATCATTGATACCGGTGCTCCGTTTGTCGATATGCTCATGCGGTTTGGTATGGGCATTCTGTTGGGTAAAGAGGAGCAGAAAATGATCGAGCCGCTTGTCAAGCCGTGCTATGCGGCCCTTGGACTGGCCAATGATTACTTCTCGTTCGATATCGAGTGGGAGGAGTTCCAGGCCGAGACCGATAAAGAGACCATGACAAACGCGGTTTGGCTGTTCATGCAATGGGAGGGACTGGATGTTGAGGAGGCAAAGGAGCGCGTGCGTGAGGTTACGAATGGCTATGAGCAGCAGTACCTGCGCAATATTGAGGAGTTCGAGAAGACCCATGGCACGGATATGCCCCATGTTGTCGAGTACCTCAAGGCCGAGGGGTATCAGATTCCGGGCAATGTCGCGTGGAGCTTGAGGTGCCCGCGGTACCATCCGCAGCTGATTGAGGATGCGGCGAAGCTGCTAGACCAGGACATCATTACCTCTACCCTTCCAGAAAAGAAACCAAGTGGACATCACGAGAGTCGCAGCCGCACGCACTCTGACTCAGATCTCTCCGACGCATCTCCGACTTTCTGGTCTGGTTCGGACCGGTCTTCTATCCGCTCGTCTGTATCGTCTTCGTCTGATATGCATGAGAAGCCGGCCGAGTCTGTTACGCTTGGCGACGAGGTACGTTTGTCTCATCGAGGTGAACGAAATCGTACTAACGGCACCAGCACCTCCTCGGCCCAGCCGAATACATCGCCTCCCTCCCCTCAAAGGGCGTCCGCGAAGCCTTCATCGACGCACTGAACGTCTGGCTTGTTCTCCCCGACCACCGCGTGAACCAGCTGAAGAGCATCGCGGCGACATTACACAACGCTTCTTTAATGTACGTTCACTCTTCTAACCTCGAGACAACCACTTTACTTACAAGTGTCCAGGCTCGACGACATCGAAGACCACTCGCCCCTCCGCCGCGGGCGCCCAGCCACACACATGATCTTCGGCGCGGAGCAAACCATCAACTCGGCGAACTACCTGCTCATCGACGTGATGCAGAAAGTGCGGGAACTGGAGGACCCAAAGTGCATGGATATCTATATTGAGGAAATGAGGAATCTCTTCGTGGGACAGAGCTTTGATCTCTATTGGACGCGCAATGGCGAGTGTCCGGATGAGGAGGAGTATCTGGCTATGATTCGACAGAGTACGTCGCCCCTATCTTGAGATTGGGAAATAGAGCGATACTGACTCGAGTACAGAAACGGGAGGCCTCTTCCGCCTTTTAACCCGACTCATGGGGCAGGTTGCACCCGTGCAAAAGGGTCTAGATACCCAACTATCAACGCTCAGCAACACCCTCGGCGAATTCTTCCAAATCCGCGACGACTACAAGAACCTTTCCGACGAGTACACGGGGCAGAAGGGCTTCTGCGAGGATCTCGATGAGTGCAAGTTCTCCTACCCGCTTATCCACGCGCTACGGACGCAGCCGAAGAATGTCCAGCTCCGCGGGATTCTGCAGCAGTCCCGTAGCGCGGGGGGTCTGGACGTCCCGATGAAGGAGACGGTCTTGTCGCACCTGAGAGATGCAGGGAGTCTGGTGTATACGGAGAAGAAGATGAGGGATCTGATGGAGAGGATTACCGATGGGGTGGTGGAGATCGAGAACAAGTCAGGGGTGTCGAATTGGGTGGTGAGGCTGTTGATTCACAGGCTGAAGGTGTAGGAGGGGGCGTCATGATGATGTTTCTGGTTATGTAGAGTAGAGTACACCTTGGGATTTGGATTGGCGGGCGTTCCTAGATGTTATGCTATGATTAATGATCTGTTATGAGATAATGCATATGTCCTGATATCATTTGTGCATCTTCAGGTCTAGGGCTGCCATCACCATGATGTCACATCTCGCCTTTCTATACATATACCCCCAACCAGCAGCACTAACACTGAACCAAGCTCATCCATCACATCAATCAACCCTACACCTATCATCAACCAAGACACTATCAACTTCAATCCCACCACAATGCCCCAAAAGAAAATCCTCATCGTCCTCTCCGACGCAAACTCCTTCCCCCTCAAAAAACCCTCCGGCCCCTCCAACGAATCCAAAATCGTCGACCAACCCTCCGGCTTCTTCCTAATGGAGCTCGCCAAACCCCTCAGCAAGCTCCTAGACGCCGGACACGAAATCACATTCGCATCGCCGAAGGGCCAGGAACCGAAACCCGATCCGAACAGCGAGAGCCTGCTCGCCTTCGCAGGGAACTTCTACGAGCGCCGGAGGGAAAATGACCTCCTTGAGCGCATGAAGAGGGAGAATGGATTCAGTACGCCGCGGAAGTTATCTAGTATTTCCGACGAAGAGGTGCAGAGTTTCGCGGGCGTTTTTATTCCGGGCGGACATGCGCCGCTCTCGGATCTGGGCGATGATAAAGAGCTCGGTCGGATATTGGGATACTTCCATAGAGAGAATAAGCCTACTGCGGCGATCTGCCATGGGCCGTATGCGCTCTTGTCCACCAAGGCGTCAGGCGGGGAGTTCGCGTACAAGGGGTATAAGATTACGTGCTGGAGTAATGCGGAGGAGAAGGTGATGGAGAGTATGCTGGGCGGCGAGGTTGAGAAGGTTGAGACGGCGCTGATGAATGCGGGCGCGGAGATGGTCGAGGGGGTTGGCGAGAAGGTGGGCTGCACGACGCTGCATCGCGAACTGCTGACTGGGGGGAATCCGATGGCGGCGGAGGAGTTGGGGAGTCGGTTTGTGCGGATGATTAGTGTTTAACTCTAGGGCTATGTACAGTGTACTATAATGAGAGCGATACCGCGAATGTGATGAGACTACCTACCTATTTCTGAAGTGTAAGAGTGTGTACGGCCTCGTCTCCAATCTCCTCCATCTTCTGCTCCATCAACACCGTCATGCGCTTCACAACCTGGCTGTATGCCGGGTCCGAATAAACATTAAACAGCTCTAGCGGGTCATTCTCGCAGTCGAAAAGCTCCCACTCCCGTTCCTGACCTCCAGCTCTCGTCCCCTCGAGCCCAAAGTCCTCGTTGTACCAGTATATCAGCTTATACCGCTGATCCCTAACCCCATAGTGCGCGTACGCTTCATGAATAACGTCCCGATGCATCCAGTACCGGTGGTACGCTACCTGCTGCCAATCGCTGGGTGTATGTCCACGCAATAGAGACTTAAAGCTAACGCCCTGCATATAGCTCGGGACCCGCAGGCTAGCGAGATCCAGGAATGTCGCCGCAAAGTCGACGTTGCAGACGATATCGTTGCAGATAGTCCCAGGGGCGATTTCAGCGGGGTATTTGATAAGCAGGGGCATCTGAAAACTCTCCTCGTACATGAAGCGCTTGTCGAACCAGCCGTGCTCGCCGAGGAAGAAGCCTTGGTCGGACGTGTACACGACAACAGTATTCTCGCTTAGGTCTTCTTCATCCAAGAAGTCAAGCATGCGGCCGACGTTATCGTCGATGCTCTGGATTGTCCGTAAGTACCGCTGCATATAGCGCTGGAACTTGAATTCCGCGAGGTCCTGGGTTGTGGTGAAGGTGTAGATCGTGCCGTCTTCTTTATCCATCAGGCGGAGTTTCGTGACATCTTCGGGCCCAGGGGCCGGGATCTTGCGGTCGTGGAAGGACCAGGTATCGAGCATTTTGACTCCGACTGTTGACGCGGGACCCTCGGGCTGCACGAGGCCTAGATCGGCGTAGGTCAGATCCTCGGCCACACGCATCTTGGCTACCTTTGCAGCTTTCGCGCGGTGCTTGTAGTCGTCGGTGAATGTATCCGGGACTCGGATGAGGTCTGTATAGAGATTTCGGTACTTGGGATGGTATTCCCAGCTGCGATGCGGCGCTTTATGGTGGCACATCAGGAAGAAGGGACGGTTCTTATCACGGTTCTTCATAAACTCCAGGCTTTTATCCGTGATGATATCTGTTGCGTACCCTTCTTCTCTCTTTACTCCATCAGGCTCAATAAACTGCGGATCCCAATACTCTCCCTGCCCCGGAACCACACTCCAATGATCAAAGCCCGTGGGCTGATGGTCTACGCCTTCACCAAGATGCCACTTCCCAATCATAGATGTTTGGTACCCGCCAGCGCGGAACTGCTTCGCGACATTGGGGATACGGTTATTGATCTTGCTGTCCAGCGTCATCACGCCGTTAACATGGTTGTGTGTCCCTGTAAGAATGGCGGCGCGGGAAGGCGTGCAGATGCTGTTGGTCACATAGCAGTGGTTGAAGCGCATTCCGTCCGACGCGAGGCGGTCGAGGTGCGGTGTGTGGTTTATGTTGGCACCGTAGCAAGATATCGCTTTTGAGGCGTGGTCGTCAGCCATTATGAAGAGAATGTTTGGACGGCGGCATTGGGTGGGCATGGTGCTTGGTGTGAGTTTGGGGATGGGGTGTGGTGATGAGAAGAGGGGGCAGGAGGGCGGATAAGAGGAAGGTAGTGATTAGTTCAAATATCGCATTCCCAAGCAAAACGAGGAGAGGCCGCGAGGAGAAATAGGAGAAGTCACATCTTGTGGATCTACTCCGTGTGACAAACTCTGTTGGAGATGGTGTGGCATGAGAATGTGGAGTAGTGAAGGCTATGGAGGACGGATGTCGGCGGCAGTCGGTAAACGCGAGTCTACATTGGCGTAGATGGAGATGGGGAGCAGGCTCTAGAGCGGACATCACTTTGTTCTGGAGTCATAGAAGGAATGACTTAAATTCGTCATTTTAGCGGCCTATTGCGCTGCCGGATCGAGCGTGCCCAACGGGATCCGTCTTCCATATGTTGTACCACGACATGGGCAAATACTAAACTGTTGACGTGTGAGGAGGATCAGACCATGCTAGGGGCGTCGCGGGAGATCAAGTGCTCATAGTCATCATCCACAAAGTTAGCCTGTCGAAGCAAGCTGTGCACAGCGAGTTGATCGTGCCGGTAGCGGCCATTATCAGTCGATACTGAAGACGCACCGATACCGTAAGTAGCGTTGGATATTAATCGTCGCAGGTCGGTGATAATATCTCGAGCCCATGGCAACGCGGCGAAGAATCTGGATAGGAGTTGGGAGGCAATATTTGCTCCGCGGAAAGCACATTCCTCTGATAAGCATTCCTCGACTTGCTGTGAAGACGGTAGGAATAGGATCAAGCGCGCGGATTGATAGGCGCAGACTGCGACATAGGACGATAGTAAAGGGACGTTTAGGCCGGGGTCTAAAAGACTCCCTAGTATCTTGAATATCTGCTGGACGTGGAGTCGGCACATCTCTGCTGCGTGGCCTCTGAAGGCTGCATCGGTCGCGCTCATGATTACTGTGGGGACGGCCTCAGCATAGCCAGGCAGGAATATGCGGTAGAGATCGCAATGGACTTGGTACCATGAGAGGGAGGCTAGGAGATACCGTGCAAACCACCGAGAATCCTTCATCTTGAGTGGTTGAGTGGTCGAAGAGATGGAAAAGTCATGTTCGACCTCCAGGTCTGCATGGAGCCGCCACAAGTCGTTCTGGATCTGCTGCACCAGTCCCGGTAGTCCCACCATAGGCTTGTCCGATATGGAAAGCTGTCGAGTAAGTCGCATTACGTCCCGCTGGATCTTCGACAGTCGGAAACAGGCGGCCAGGAGGTTCGGATGCCTCGGCGGTTCTACTTGCGAACCAGAGAAGCTTTCCTCGGAATGAGGCAGCTGCTGGTAGACAATGCTGTAAGGCATCGTCTCGTGCTCTGGCAAGCCAACAGAAAACTGCCCGTCGATGCTAGTCAGCGCCCACAGCACACGACACCGTGTCTCCTGCGCCACTGGTTCAATATCCGGCCGTTCGTAGTTGAGCCGCAGGGCTGTCGCAGCTCGTCCGGCGATTCCGGCTAGCATGTAAGCGCGTGCGAAATTCCCGGTCTGAATATGATAATGGATAACGAAGAGAAGACATTGGACGCGACGAATGGACGGTTCATGAAGATGGTCCCAGAACTGCGCTTCCACTATGCGGATGCACGATTTGCCTTCGTCAAGTATGGCTTCATCTGAGGAAAGAAAAGCGTTGGTCACAGCAGCCAGCGCTATAGCAAACGTTTCGTCCATTGTCCCCTCCAGATATTGCTTCCGAGTCGAGGGTTCATGAACGAAGGCGAACGAAGGGATGGGGTATATATGGCGAAAGAAGCGATCAAGGGTCTCGACCATGTCCCTTAAACGATTGGGAAAGATCGGGCCGCACTGTGAACCTTCGTCTTCCGCATGCAGTGACTCGTTCGCTGGCTCGTTCCTAGCAGTGTATCGACACTGCCTTTCCCGTTGACAACAATTGGCACATTCAGGAAGTTCGCCGGAGCAGCGTGTTTTCAAACGGCGACATGCTAGGCATGCTTGAGTTGCGCGTTTCCGTTCAGGCGGCGAGGTCTGAGTTCTCTCTCCGTCGTCTCGGAAGGAGCAATTGAATTGCAGGCGTTCGCAGCTGCCACAGGTGTTGCGTCGGCGATCGCAGCGCACCTGCCAGCTTCAGTCATGTGCACCAGCTTCTCCGCACCAGAAGGCTCACCTTGCGGTGTCGGCATTGCAGACAGGGCGATTGCAATGGCCTACGAGCCATAATTGCCAATTTGAGTATAACGCTTAAGAGAGAATCGTTGGTCCATGTTATCAAAACTAAGCCTTCTGTTGGAGAGTTGGAGTCCGGGGCACGACAGCGGGGGGCAGTATGGCGTCGTCGGGGCTGGCACCGATTGGTTGTCTAGTGGCTGGTCAGGAACACAGTCCTCCTCTCTCAAGCTTCTCCGACTCCCGGCCGACTCCCGGTACATCAGAGATGAAGTGCATTTGCGGCCTTCTAAACGTCTTCGAGCACGAGATGTTGTGTACTGGATGGCATCATCGGCAATCTCCAGGACAAGTATATAAGCCACACTGCACGATGGTGTTCACTCGGCAGCAAATCACCATACACCATGGTCGAGACAACAGAGAAGGCACCTTATGTGGATGAGGTTGAGGTCGGTCGGAAAGCAGAGACAGACCTGGGTGTCCGCGATTCCTTGCGATACTACCGCCCAGCCGTAATCTGGTCCGTCCTCATCTCCCTCACTACCGTCATGGAGTCCTATGACATGCAGATTGTCCACTCATTCTACGCCTTTCCGCAATCCAAGGAGAAGTATGGAGTGCAGCTCGACGATGGAGAGTACAGCATCCCAGCCAAGTGGCAGTTGGCTTTGAATTGCGCCAGTCTTTTGGGGTTGATGTCTGGCACTTTCCTCAACGGCTGGGCGTCGGAGATGTTCGGCGCCAGGAGAGTGATTATGGTTTCTCTTGTTGCATTGACCGGCTTCGTGACCATTACCTTTCTGTCGCCGTCCGTTGAGGTCCTGTTTGTTGGTGAACTGCTTTGGTATGTGGCCCTCGTTGTTATAGACGCCACAGCCCTAACATCCCACCATAGTTCAATTCCCTGGGGCTTTTTCGCCGCTGCCACTCCTTCGTATGCGTCCGAAATTTGTCCCCTCGTGCTTCGAGGATACCTCACAACGTTTGTAAATTTGTGCTGGGTGATGGGGCGACTTATATCGACCGGTGTTTTAACCGGCACCCTGAGCATTCCCTCGCAATGGTCTTATCGACTCCCTTTCGCACTGCAGTGGGCGTTTCCGCTCCCTCTGTTCGTTGTCGCATGGTTCGCACCAGAGTCGCCATGGTGGTTGATACGCAAAGGCCGCGTCGAAGAAGCTGAAGCATCTTTGAAGCGTACCATCTCCGCCCCAGACGGGCTTATCGACACCAAGCCGATCATTGCTATGATCCAAAACACTATTCAAGTCGAGCGCGATATGCAGATCGGCAGTTCTTACCGCGAGTGTTTCCGTGGGAACAATTGCCGGCGGTCGGAAATCTCCATCGTCAGCTGGGGATGTCAACTGATGCCGGGCTGGGCCATTCAGAACTACATCACTTACTTCTTCACCCTTGCTGGTCTATCGTCTGACAACTCGTTCAAGATCACTCTCGGTACGACTCTCTCATAACTGTCCTATTAGTAACTAACGTTGCTAGGGACGATCTCGCTCTCTTTCATTAGCACCTGCCTGTCGTGGATCTTTCAAACCCATATCGGCCGGCGCACCATCTACATCACCGGCCTTGTTGCGATGCTGCCGTTGATGCTTGCCGTTGCCTTGCTGGGCGTAGCCCCCCAGTCTTCGGGTGTCCAGTGGGCCCAGTGTGCCCTGCTGATGATCTGGTTCTTCTGCTATGGTAAGTTCCCTATTCCTGCGTGGTGGCTCCATCTAATCAATCACAGGATGCACAATCGGACCAATTCCATACGCAATTGCAGCAGAAATCGGAGCAAGTAATCTTCGCAACAAAACGATCGCGCTTGGCAGAGGGACGTACTATATTCTCTCCGTCCTTAACTCAGTGGTGTCACCGTACATGCTAAATCCCGCCGAGGGAGACTTAAAAGGTAAGGCCGCTTTTCCAGCTGCTACATTCACAGTCTTTCTTTTGGCCTAGGCTTTGTTTAGATTGCCTGAGACAAAGGGTATGACGACGGAAACACTAGATCATCTGTTTCATCAGAAAGTGCCTGCGAGGAAGTTTAAAGAGGAGGCGAAGCGGTTTCAGTAGCACTGCTGTGCCTTGCTTACCTACCTGGATAGAGATAGAGAGCAATGACAACGCGATTCGTTCTCCACGCCTATGATAGGTCCCTAGTATAACCTCCTTATAGCCTCACGAATTGAAACCGGGGAATGGATGAGCAGAAGAGAAAAGAGGTGCCAGCTCCAGTGCCATGGTGGACGGAAAAGCGGGGTGGCTAGTCCAGCCTAGCTATTGTTGCATAAGCTCGCATCTGATAATTCGGATTCCTATACTGCCAACGTCACGCTTCAAAGTGCTATCACTTGTATCGCCGAGACTCACTTTCAATTGAATGTTGCTGTGGGACAAAACTCGGGGGACCTTCGGGGTCCGCGGTGTTGATCATGATGTCAATGCCCCGCCCGCCGAGGCGCATTTATAAGCTCCCAGCTCCCCTCTTCTCCCTCAATTGAACAAGCAGCCTAGATAATTCTTTCTACTATCTCGCGAACCGATTCATCAAGATACACAGCAACAATGGCCCCCAAAGTCCTCATCGTTCTTACCTCCTTCGATAAGATCGAGGCGAACGACCACCCCACGGGATGGTACCTGGTACGTTCTCTTACCCCTCCATCACCCCTTACCATGCTCCCCTCGTTATTCGCAAGCTAACATTCATTCGTCCACTGCAGCCCGAATTCGCGCACCCCTGGGAAGTCCTGCACTCCAAGACCGAGCTCACAATCGCCTCGCCCAAGGGCGGCGCTGCCCCTCTGGACCCCTCCTCCGTAAAGATGTTCGAGAACGACCCCGTCTCCACAAAATTCCTGAACGAGCAGGAGGCGCTATGGAAGAACACCGAGAAGCTCGCCGATGTGCTCCCCCGCGCCGAGAAGGGCGAGTTCGACGCTATTTTCTATGTCGGCGGACACGGACGTATGTACCCGTTCCACATACCCAAAACCCGTGAAACTTCGAAATGATATTAATGCTTATGTTTGCAGCGATGTTCGACCTCGCAACAGACAAAACCTCGATCGCCCTAATCCAATCCTTCGCGAACGCCCGCAAGCCCGTCTCCGCCGTCTGCCACGGCCCCTGCGTCTTCGTGAACGTCACAACGCCCTCGGGCAAGCCCCTCGTCGCGGACGCGGAAGTCACCGGGTTCTCGAACACCGAGGAGGACCAGGTTGATCTGTCCAAGGTGATGCCGTTTATGCTGGAGGATGAGCTGAATAAGAAGTCTGGCGGGAAGTATGTCAAGGCCGACCAGCCTTGGGGCGAGAAGGTTGTTGTCAGCACCGTTAAGGAATTGGGTGGCACGCTTATTACGGGGCAGAACCCGGCGAGTGCCACTGGCGTTGGGGAGGCATTGCTTAAGGCTTTGGGATTGTAGAGGACTGCAACATAATTTGAATGCTACTGTATAGGTTGGTTTGTTGGGTGGCTGTTTGATTTGAAGTTATGACGAACATAGTCAGAATGTATATTGAATATAATGACTTGATTCCTTTCAGAGTGTCCGTCAAGACCGCGGCCGGTAATACCCTACTCAAAAGCAGCAATCGCCTCCTCAAATTTCGCCTGAATCTGCGCATTGATTATCGGCGCAATTCCCGCATACGTCGCCGTCAACCTCTTCACAACCTCATCCCCCAACTTCGCCGCAAGGTCCTTCTCAGTGACCAGATTCGCCTTGACCAAAAACCCCAAACTCCCAATCCCCAGCAGCCCCGTATCAAACTGGGGTTTCTTCCGCACGATATTGTCGAGCGTCGAGTCAATGTTCGGCTGCAGGTCCAGGAAGGCTGCGGAGACATTGAGCGATTCCTCTTCCGTGAAGTTCGCAGAGGCCTTTGTGGTGCTCACGGCGTCGCGCAGGTCGTTGCTTAGCGCGATGGCTTGGAATTCGATCTTTAGCGCCGTCACTGTGCCCAGGATTCCGCCCTTGTAGGAGGTTACGGTGTCGTTGAGGGTTATCATTGACTCGGTGATGGTGTTGACGGCGGAGATGACGGCGGCGCCGTCGCGTTTGGACAGTGGGTGCGCATCAGGAGCTGGGGCTTGGACTGGGACTGGGGATGCCGTTGCAAGAGCCGTGAGGGCCAGGATGAGGGGGATGTGGAAGCGCATTGTAGCTGACAAGACCGGCGTAAAGCAGTTGGATAGGGTCGAGAATGAGAGAGATGGAACACTTTATGTCTTTGCAGGGACGAGCTTAATCGTAGGCCAGCTTGGGTTCAGCGATGGACAGGCCGGAGATTTATCTCCATTGAGCCCTCATCCAACATCCCCGGAGCACCCATCCACCCATCCATCAATATCAATGCTACCCCAGACCTCACGCTAGTGTCAGTTCAATTTGCCCCCCGCATTCAAAGAGGAACCATGGCGAGAGAAAGTCCGGGGTAAGACACCATCGATTGGTCCAAAGCCGGCAAAATCACACATGTCGTGCTCCATCCCGAGGCATTAATCAATTGCTTCTCTTTCAGCTCTGAGCGTCTTAGCTTGCGCCGTGAATCCCCATTGGCGGTCGTAAGATCTCCTGCCTAGCAGCCTAGGCATTGTCCCTGTGCAATCGAGACTCAGGACAGGGGTACATATCGCGCAGCCAATTGGGCTTCTGTAGCCATTTCGTCAGTTCCACAATTGATTGTCCAAGCACCTACAAAACATAGTTTATCGGCTCTATGATGACCGAGTCGGCTCTCATCTGGCGCGTGATGGTTGCCTCTGGTTTTACGTCGCGACAAGAGAAATCTCAAACTTCGAACCCTGAATAGAGCCTGGGCGTCCAACCAGACGATGCGCGAGCTGTGGCTCGTCTTTGAACGCGATCACAGTGCTCCCTCTAAATGTTCTTCACCTTGCGCCTTCTGTCGCGGCAGCTGACCTGGAGTATGGATAGATTGGAAAGCGGGGAGCACTCCGAGAAATCGACCATGGTCGACGGCGATGAGATCGTCGAGAGGCGCTTTTAGCGGTGCTTGGCTGGCTTTGTGATGATTTTCGCACTGGATACCGGATAAGGCTTTGTGTGCATACCTAGCTCCCGCTTACAAAGGCTCTCTCTGCATTAAGTTATGCATCCATGGAAAGCAGCCGGGACGCGAGAACAGCCTGGTTGGAGAGCTACAAGGCCACTTGAAGAAGAAGCGACAAATAGGTTTCAAGATCAAGAATGATCAGATCATGCCTCTTAGGTTGTAATGCAAGGTTTATGCTCATTTGGTGAGCAAAAGAGTTGGTGGAGTCTCATCGGACGGAAATATATTTTTGTAGGACTACCAGATTCGGGGGCTTTTTGCGAGTCTTGGGTGAGGGAACTTACTGTGACCCTTTCATTGAAGAGTAGTTCACTTTTTACGCGGAGTGGGTTTGTTTGCATCATGAAACTGTTTTTCCTCTATAAAGAATCATTGTGTTTACCCCTTTCAAGCAAATGCCAACAGGATGCATATTACGAAGCACCCTCTACATCCCTCAAAAACACTCTCACCCTCCTTACCAGCTCCTTCCGCTGCTCGACCTGCCTCGCTCCCTCAAGCGTATGCGTCGCGCCAGGAATAATCCCACTCTCAGCATGCCAGTATTGTCTCTCCGCATCCGTAGCCCGCTGCCACCTCGTCAACAACCGCTCCTTATCGACATGCGGCGGGACAGCAGGATCGCTGCCGGAATAAAGCACGAGCAGCCCCTTTTCTCTTCCTAAAACACCCCGATGCCTCACCATCCCGAATGTCTTCCTCAGCCGCTCAACCGTCAAATCCGAGCTAAATAGGTCATCTTCACTGGGACTCGCAGGGGCATCTGGACTCGTGAGGCTGAGGAATCGCCGACTCGATATCGCCGTTGACGCCGGGTACCCGATCGCCGCTGTAACGGGGAGAGGGATGATCGTGTCGAGCGCGTCATAGTCTTCGTACGTATGTTTCTTCGCTGATGCAACCGCATCACCGACGACCTTCCGCATGTACTCCGCCGAGTGTCTCTCGTTTCCTTCTCGTAGGACGACTTCGATGGCCTGCCGGTCAGAGACGGGCGCTTGCATGATCGCGCCGTCGACTTGCGGTCGGAGGACCGGCATCTGTTTATGTCCATGCCCAGGGTCCAGCCCGGGCTGAGGATGTCGGGGGTTCGGGGACGAAATGTAAGTCATGACATCCTGGCTCCCTGTTGAATGGCCCATGATGACTATCTTCCGCTTTCTCTCGTCCACATCTGACCCCGATTTGTAGTGTCGGATATAATCAATACACCGCGCCATTTCATCGGTATCCCGGCCTAGCCCACTCGTTCCCCACCCGCCGTACGACGAGGATATGACCGGCGAAAACACGGACCATTGTGTATCGTCCAGCGCCGCAACGATGTCATCGAGGTACGCGACCGTGCCGAGGCCGTCGCCTAGGCCTGATATGAAGAGAAGTGTGTGCGGTTTGACGCGGTTGGAGGAGGAGTACTCGAATGCGACGAGGCGGTCTGCGTATTCGTGGAGGAGGCCCGGCGTGGGCTTTTTCGGGGCTGGTGGGCGGACGCGCATGGCGACGGCTGGGTTTGACTAGAAAGGGCTCGGGAGAAGATATTCAGGGAATCGGGCGGGAGCGAAGCGATCCGTGACCGTGGCTGTCAGCTGCTGGGACCGAAACAAGCGAACGTGAAGCCATTTTGGACGCAGGGTGAAGATCACGACGAGTCCATCTCGGGTCTGGAGATCTCCCGACCGATTTTCAGGCGGGCTTGGCGCTGCTTATCAGATCCATCTTGATTGGTTGCAGCTTATCGATAGGGCTGCAACTTATCTCTATCGATAAGGATAAGCAATGCCACAAAGCCATGCCGTCATAGCCTCACGGAGGACCGATGTTTCGGCGGGGATTCGGTGTTATTCTGTGCTAGGTGTCAGGATTCCTTTTCCAGCGCGATAACCTTGTGAAATATAAGTGGATTAATGCGAGTCCGAGCTTCATGCATGAACTGGAGGGTTGCCGTAAGGATTGCATCATCTTGGCTACACAAACAATCCTGGAAGGCTGAGGACTGCCGAGGGTCCCGAATGATATCATCTTGAACAAACATTATATTAACCATCTGGACTCCCCTCAAGGACTCAACTAACAATCCTCCTACGATCACGCAGTTACGAACACACAGACACAATGGCACCGACACGAAAGCACCAAGTCTCCGTCATCGGCTCCGGCAACTGGTACACCTCCCATCCACACAACACTTTATCAATACGCAACTAATATGAGAGCAGGGGCTCAACAATCGGCAAGATCCTCGCCGAAAACACCGCCGAGCACAGCGACACCTTTGAGAAGGATGTCCGCATGTGGGTATTCGAAGAAGACATCAAGGTCCCCTCCGACTCCGCGCACCACGACAAATACGGCGACGAACCACAGAAGCTCACAAAAGTGATCAACGAGACACACGAGAACGTCAAGTACCTACCGGGCATTAAGCTGCCATCTAACCTCATCGCCACACCAGACATCAAAGAAGCCGTCAAAGACGCAACAATCCTAGTCTTCAACCTCCCCCACCAATTCATTGACAAGACCCTCGACCAGATCCAGGGTCACCACCTCCCCTACGCCCGCGGCATCTCCTGCATCAAGGGCGTCGACGTCTCAGACGGAACGGTTACACTGTACTCAGAGCGCATCATGGAGAAGCTGCACATCTACTGCGGCGCATTGTCCGGCGCAAACATCGCACCAGAGGTTGCAGCCGAACGGCTCTGCGAGACGACGATCGGTTACGACCCGCCACCTATGGATCTTACGTCCGAGGATGGCGCGCCCAAGGATAACCTCATCAAGGTGGATGTCCAGCGCCAGAAGGAACGCAAGCCAACGAGCATCAAGCTCGAGCGCGTGCCGCAAGACTTACCGCATGTCAACGGCGAACTCCTCGAGAAACTCTTCGCGCGACCCTACTTCTTCGTGCACGTTGTCAAGGACGTCGCTGGCGTTGCGCTTGGCGGAGCCCTCAAGAACGTCGTCGCACTGGCGGCAGGATTTGTCGCTGGCAAGGGATGGGGCGAGAACACGAAGGCGGCCATTATCCGGCAGGGTGTCGGCGAGATGATCCGGTTCGGACGGACGTGGTTCCCCAGCTCCGTGAACGAGAAGACATTCACAGAGGAGAGCGCCGGTATTGCAGATCTAGTGGCGAGCTGCTACGGAGGCCGCAATGTGCGTTCTGCGACGCATGCGGTTGAACAGGGGGTTAGTGTCGGCGAGATTGAGGAGAAGGAGATGAATGGGCAGAAGCTGCAGGGTGTTTCGACGGCGCAGGTGGTGTATGACTTTTTGGATAAGCATGGGAAGACGGAGGATTTCCCGCTGTTCTGTGCTGTGAGGAGTAAGTTGCCTTCTCTCTTCGAGACTACGGATGAATGCAGGTGCTAACTGGACGATAGACATTATTGAAGGGAAGAAGCAGGTGGATGACCTTCCGGCTCTGCTTAGCAAGAAGAAATAAATAGAAGTCTAAAGTAAATACAAAACATTGCAATGCAGCATATGCATATCGTTGTTTTATAGCAAGCTCCTCGGTCAGGGGAGAGATCCAGTGATACCTAGACCTACTATCCGGCGATAATGTGGTAGACATCCGGTAGATAGCTGGAGTAACTAAATACCAAGTAAGCACCTTTATAGCTGCTCACGACAGAGCAGCAAGCCAATCCGAACTACCTAGATGACGGTAGCCAGATCGAAGGCTCACACCTCACAAAATTTCAAGGCAAATATCTATAGAAAAGTCTAATAAAAATCGACAAAAAGATTCTATTAAGATGCATGAGAGAGGAAAAAGGGGACGAGAGGGAAGATGGGTTTTGTAGGCCGCGGGGTTAAGATTTGGGGTTACCAGTCCATGGGTGTTTGCGGGCGAGGATTCCGGTCCCCTGATGTTGCTTCATGGAGCATGATAGAATGTTTGTAGAATGAGTTGATCGCGCGATTGATTGCGAAGATGGATACAGATAGCAAAGCTGCACGGCAAAAATGAAGATGTTGATCCAGTTACCCATGAAGAGAAGCAGCAATACGAATGGACAACCATTTGACGGATTGTCTAGTGATGATGCAAATCAAATCATATTATGTATGCAATGCTATGCTCCAGCTGGATCTATGCAAAACATATAGTCGTAAACAGCTCATCAGGTCCATCACTTCGTTACTCATCCCATCAATCATAACTTCATTAGTCATTACACGTAAATGTCACATAACCAACAACGATGTATCAACATGCGTACTCTTGCGCGTAACATTAGACGCGAGAGCAGCAAGGGACTCGCTCTGCATGATATCAAAAATCGAAACATCCGCGGCCGCCTGTAGCGTCAACATATTGCGCAGCTCGACCGCACCCAGCGAGTCCAAGCCATATTCCGTTAGACGTCTTGCAGCATCAATGTGAGCAAGTGGAATCATGAAGATCTCGGCGAGTCGTTTCGCAATGGCCTGGGCTACAAAGCCTTCCGCCTGCTTCTTCGACCCTGCATCGGAGAGTTGTGTTGCGAGGGAGGTGGTGGTGCCGTTGGTTTCTCCTGTTGCCTGACGCTGTGACTTTTTGCGGTACTGCATAGCTCGGAATCGTGCGTCCCTACCGAGCGGGGCCGAGTTGTTGGGGTCCCAGTGCGGCCCAGGCCCTTGGTTGATGCCCATGGGAACTTGTTTGTCGAAGGGAGAAAGCACGGCGGACTCCAAAGTACGCAAGACCTGCCCCTCAGTCACTGGGTAATGACCGACTCTAGTCATCCGTTCAGCGGTTCCGGCGGTCTCTGCAACAAATCCAACTGCTTTGACTGGACCTAAGTTGACCGAGACCGCTGGAAGGCCTTGAGAGACGCGCCAGTGGGCAAGGGCATCCTCATAGGCATTGGCGGCACCATAGTTTGATTGTGTGGTGTAGCCGTAGATTCCCGACATGGAGGAAAGAAGAATGAAGAAGTCGAGATCCGTAGAGCGGGGGAACTGGTTGTGCAAATTCCAGCTCACTTTGACCTTTGGATTCAATGCCGCCTGCCAGTCATCAAAGCTCATCCGTTCAAACATCGAGTCCTTCAAAACCATAGCCGCTTGAACAACTCCACGAATTGGCGGTAAATCGTCCGCACAGCTTCTGAGGGCTGCCGATAGGTCTGGCCCAACAGAAGCGTCGCAAGATACGAGCTTGATCCGGCAACCCGTAGGCTGCAACTGAGCGGCCACATCGACAGCCGCAGGATTAGTAGCGGCGCTTCGAGACAAAATAATGAGATTGCGAGCACCGCGATCAACTAGCCAGTGAGCAATTGACTGTCCTATACCGCCCCCTCCACCAACGAGTAGGTAAGAAGCGTCTGAGCGAAGGCGAGGGATGCGCGCCCGCGGAAGAACACGCACTTTCTCCTGCGGACTCACAGTAAGGACGATCTTGCCGGCGTGCTTACCACTTTGAAGCAACCGCAGCGCTTTGGAGATGTCACCGAGCGGGTAGGTGGAAATAGGATGGACAGGGGAAATAGTTCCCTTCTCTAGGAGGTAGGATATCTCAGCGAGGGCTGAATGTATAAGTCGTCCATCATGGCGAGCAAGGGCTAATAGATCGAAAGAAGAGAATGTGATGGCGCGCGAGAAGGGGCGCATCTCAAGGTGATTATTCAGCTCAAAATCGCGTTTGCCAATCTCGACGAAGTGGCCAAAGGGCGCCACGATATTAAGACTTTCTTGCAGCAATGGCCCAGCAAGCGAATTGAGCACAACATCAACACCTCGCCCGCCTGTGGCTTTCAAGATTCCTGGTGCAAAGGATGCATCGCGACTGGAGAAGATATGGTCGGCGGGGATGCCATAGCGTTCCATAATCAGGGCTCGCTTCTCAGGAGATCCGACGGTAGTGTAGATTTCGGCCCCAATGAGCTGCGCAAATTGGATGGCAGTCTGACCAGTACCACCGGCACCGGCGTGGATAAGAACGGTTTGGCCCCGCTGAAGACGGGCAACCTTATAAAAGGATAGATACACGGTGCTGAACAGTACAGGCACTGAAGCTGCGTGCTCAAAGCTCATACCTGGGGGCATATGCATGACATTTGTCCACTCAGTGCGTGCTCTGCTACCGTATCCTCCATTAGGCAGGAGAGCAAAGACGTGATCACCCACCGCGTAGCCGCGTGCCGCTGCCCTGCTTCCAACGCGGGTGATGATACCAGCACAGTCGACGCCCATGATGCGCTCTTCCAGCTGATCCATCGCCACTAAGACATCTCGAAAGTTGACACCATACGCACGAGGGTCGATCTCGATGAGATCAGATGGGTGCCGAGAACCCTCAGGAGGCGCTGCTTTGTCGTCGTCGAAAGCAAGAGTATCAAGCAGGCCTGGAACCCCGACCTTCAACGCGAGGGGACGCTCAGGCTGGAAGAACGGTTCCGTCGAGAATGTCTCTGATRATGACCAATCTATTGCCTTGGGCGAAAGGGTCTCGTTGCGGTCATTGTCGTGGATGAATCTCGGAATCATAATGACGCCCTGGCGCTCGGCATACTCAAACTCGTATGGTGTCGAGTTCACTGCACCACTGTTGATCGGTCCGAAGCTGTGCGTGAATACTTGTGTAATCGCTGTCACAGTCGCGCATGACCAGAGCTTCGTGTTAGGATCCAAGTCGAGAGTGACATATTTGACGCCTGCATATTCGTGTCGTATGCTGCGGAATAGTCCAGAGGCTAGCGCAAGTTCGGGTCTTTCACAGTCAACCGCCCCGCCGCGAGTCACCCACAATACACCTCGACTGTGTTTAATCATGGCCTGAATCCGCTTCAAGCTAGCGGAATCTAAGCCATGTAGCAGAGGTTGGTCGACTTCACCTAGGAAAAGCACCTGTTTGTCCTTGAACGCTTCCATAGGTGCAGACTCGAGCTCGACCACCGACGGAGCATGCCCAGCACTCGCAAGGTTCGACCGAAGATAGTTAAGCCAGAGCTGGTCGCAAGGCGCCTGCTGTCGTACGACAAGAACAACCGAATTCAACGGTTGCATGATGGGTTGGGGCTGAGGATCAGCGGTTGAGGTCATGACATTCATCATGTACCACTCGTCGCTCTCGCAGTCGCGAACGTGGAAATCGATACCAGAAAAGCCAGCAGTCCTCAGGGTCTCGTCCCAGAAGGGTACAGTGAGAGAAGGGCTCAAGGCCCGCTGCGGTTCTTCGCTAAGCCACCAACCAGGTAGTAGCCCAAAGGCAAATTCGGTGTCGAGTTGATCCTGAGTTGTTTCAACCAGGAGCAGAGTACCTCCGGGCTTCATTAACTTCCGCACATGGGACATGGTTCTGGCCATGGATGTCGTCGCATGGAGTACCTGGGCGGCGATCACAATGTCATAGCTTCCTAACCCAAACCCTTGACTGGCAGGATCAACTTCAATGTCCAGCTTATCAAAGAGCATAACATCAGACCACGGGGCGAATTCATTCCGCGCCGCCTCGAAGAAGGAAGGCGAGATGTCGGTGAAATGGTAGAGCTCCGCAAGCGCTCCTGTTTTGGGGGTGCCGATCTTCGGCAATGTATAGCGGGTAAAGCCGCCAGTGCCGCCACCAATCTCCAAGATTCTTGCTCGCGGATTCTTGTGGACAAGATACTCGAGAATGTTTGCAGCTTGCGGGAGCACCCGGTCGCTTTTCAGTGCATGGCGATAGTACCGGTTCAACAGATTGCCTTCCATCATGAGTTCCAGCGGCGTCTTTTTCTTGCGGAGAATAATAGCGAGATGCGGTCCTACTTGACATACCATCTCGCCATTAACACTGGACTTTCGGACCTCGGAAATCATTTGTTCGCGTTCTTCTGGTGTGTCCTCCAACCAACGATGACTCTCAGGGCCCAAGCGTCCGTCAGCAGCAAGCATCATCTGATGCTGCATCCAGACGTGGAATTTGGCATGATGCTTTTCTAACCGGCGAACGTCATATGGTGTCAGGGCGGCAAGGGCGTCGGAGATGAAGTACAGACACACTCGACGCAGGTCTAGGAGGATCCGAGTTTCATCAACGTTAACAGGGTGTGACAACTGCTGCTTGAGGTGTTCTCGCGCCGGGCTGGACAGCAATGATATGTCGGGCGCCCACTTGATTTTCATACACGGCTGTCTAGTCCATTGGTCGTCGCTTGACTGAGCTGTGGAGTTCCGTCCTAGTGACTGATATACGGCATCACGAATCTCAAGTACGGGAGGTGCGGCTTCGTCATCGTAGTCCGCCAGGATGATGTCGGCATTCAGACCTCGTGCATCAATATGTCCGAGCGAGGCATACGCCTTGAACCGATGTCTAGCCTCGTTGCTGATTGCACTCGATATCCACAGACTACCGATGGAGCGCGGAACTTTCCCGTTTTCGTCTTCGCTGTTCTCAATCAGCGGAGTGTAAGCGGTCTGGAGAACGGCGTCTAGCGTGGTGGGATGCACCAATACGCGATGAGGAAGGTCGGTTGGCAAAGAGGTGTCAGGAACGGACAGCAAGCTATCAGCGCGTTTGTTGTCGCCTGCCTGTTCAATCTCGGCAATGCATTGGAATGCTTTCTGGTGTTTGATACCCATATCCCTCAAGCTACTGTACAAGTCATTTCCCTCAAAGCGACGTGTATACCCGGAGAGCCTAGCAGGGCGAGGTGCTGGAGCAGTCTTATGTGGTGCATTCTGTGGCTCAAGCATAATGAGGCCGCGAGCATGGAGCGTCCATCGATTGTCGGATGTGACTGAGGAGATCTCGAATTGCTTCCATTCGCGAGTGTTGATGTTCTTGTCACATACACGCTTTAGGCTCGTTTGGATTTCGACACCGTCGTCAGTCTCTGGTATTACTAGAGCTTGCAAAATATCGATATCACGCAGTCGATAACCTGCAGCAACATGGCTAGTCTTCGAATGAATCTCAGAGAGCTGTCTCATTGCCTCGATTGCTAGGCAGATAAATCCCGCGCCGGGGTAAATAATGCTGTTTTGAATAATGTGGTCTCGAACCCACGGGGTATCCGTGAGTTTCAGGATCTGGCGCCAGCTGGGATTGTGCAAGTCCGTGCCTAGAACAATATTTCCTAGAAGATCATGCGGAGGCTGTGACCGCTCTCTGAGAGCTTTGTTGAACCTTGATTCGCACCAATGACGAGTCTGGTGATTCCATGGATATGAGGGCAGATCTGAGAGCACCCGTATACTAGGAGTCCGACCACGAGGGAAGTTGATCGCACCTAGATCGAGGGGAAGGCCTTCCGCAAGCAAGCTCGCTGCGAGCGAGTGCATACTCTCGATGGCACTGGTACCTCTGACGAGACAGCCTAGGCAAGGCAGATTCAGTCCCGCAAATTCTGGTTCTGCGAGTATCTGTGCGATGGGCGCGCCAAGAGCGGTATGGGGACCGACTTCAAGGATGATGTCGACGTTCGCACCAGAGGAATCAGAGTCGTTAAGGATCATGTCAGTCAACGCATCGACAAACTGAACTGGCTGGAGCAAACTATCCACCCAGTAGCCTGGCTCTGATAGCTTTGACAGGTTATAAACGCGTCCTCCACTGACAGGTGACGAGAATGCAATACAGTCCTCGTCCTTGACTGTTGCGGGCGATAAGAGACCTTTGAGAGCCATGCGGTAAGGGGTTGCGACAGGACTCATGTGATGCGAGTGGAACGCAGTTTCGATTTTCAAACGATGGGTATAGATCCCGTCATTCCTCGCTAAGGCTTCGAGTTCAGTAACAGCACTATCGTCGCCGGAAACTGTAGTGCTAGCAGGACTATTCACACAAGCCACTGTTGCCGTGCCGCTCCGCGTTTCAAGTCGAGCGAGGTAAGATTTCGTTTCGCGATGGCTCATACCTACCGCAACCATTGCACCCTTGTTCGATAGTTGAAAACGTTTATTGGCTGCTAAAAGGGCACGGTGGTAGGCCACGGCCATTGCGGACTTACAGCTGAGAGCGCCAACAGCATATGCAGCAGCAATCTCCCCACTGGAATGGCTGGTAACGGCCACAGGTTTGACGCCCCATGATCGCAAAAGTCGTACAAGAGATATCTGCACAGCGATACATAGAGGAGTGCTGAACTCAACATCATTGACACGAGTCTCCGTCACATCGCGAGTCAGCTCCTCAATCACCGACCAAGTGGCACCTAAGGCCTTGAGGCACCTATCTGTTTCCCTGAGCGAGGCCTCAAATATCGGGTAGGTCGCAACTAGTTCACGGCCCATGGCATACCACTGAGCTCCCTGACCGGTGAACACCATTCCAATACGTGGCACCCGGGTGGCGCGGCGCGGTACGGGCATCGGGAAATTGAGAGCTCGGATAGCTTCCCTGACGCCGTCTTGAACCGGCACTGAACGAGCGGTTACCCAAGGAAAGAGAGACCGGCGCTGGCCCAGAGAGTATGCAATGCTGCGCAGAAGACCCTCGGAGTCTTCGGTAGCGGCGTTTCGCTTCAAGTAAAGTTGAAGATTCGATATCATCTCAAGACAGACCTGTTCGTCGCGTGCACTGAACACAAACAACTGCGAGTCAAGTGAAGAATCAGGTTGCACATGACCGTTCGCAAGTGAGAGTGGTTCCCACGGGGTCGGGCTTTCAACAATAAGATGTGCATTTGTACCGCCATATCCGAAGTTGTTGATCGAGGCCCTCCGAATACCACCAGAGCCCTCCGGCCAATCTTCCAATTCAGTCACCACTCGAAGACGCCAGTCATCCAGTGCTAGACTCGGATTCGGTTTCACAAAGTTCACACTCGGTGGGATCTTTCGCTTTTCTAACGCCAAAACCACTTTGATCAAGCTCGCCAACCCACTTGTCGGCTCAGTGTGTCCAACGTTTGTTTTGACGCTACCAATACGCAGAGGGTCATCCGGGCCTCGATATTCTTTGAAAACCGTAGCGATGGCGCGGCACTCAATAGGGTCACCTGTTAGTGTTCCTGTTCCGTGTGCTTCGAAATACTGGGTATCTCTCAAATCTAGGCCTGCGCGACGGTAGCAATCGCGCATCAAAGCCACTTGCGCCTCTTCGCAAGGTGTTGTGATCGTCTCTGTCTTTCCGTCCTGATTCAAGGCGGATTCGCGTATTACCGCTCTTATTGGGTCTCGCGCAGCGATCGCATCAGACAAGCGCTTGATAACTACTGTTGCAATCCCCTCTCCTCGGCCGTAACCATTGGCACGCGAGTCAAAGGTATATGACTTGCCATCGGGTGAAACCAGCCTAGCTTGGTTAGCCAGCGGCTGTGTTTAGAGCTGAGGGACAACCCACCCTAGGGATCCCATGGATTTAAAGACGTCTGGGTTCAAATAAAGGTTGGAGGCACAGATGAGAGCCATGTTGGTTTCGCGAGTACGCAGGGTCTGAACACCCTGATGAAGTGCAACAAGGCCGCCGGAACAGCCTGTATCGAGGGTGAAGCTGGGCCCTCTTAGATCGTAAAAGTGAGAGACACGGTTAGACAACATGGCGTCTCCGGTACCGGTTGCCAAAAATCGTGGCAGGTTGTCCTCGTCTCGAATAATTCCGTCGTGGTAATCTCGCCCGAACATGGCAGCATACACAGCAGTATTTGTACCAGCTACCTCTGGCAACGTAAATCCAGCTGTATTTCATCAGTGTCGCGTCATTCAACGTGAAGGTACATACTGACCATTTTCCAACGCTTCATATACAGACTCCAATTGAAGGCGGATCTGAGGATCCATTGACTGTATCTGTTAACATGGCACGACCTACTTGAATGGGCTTACGTACGGATGCTGCTTCGGCAGAGAGACTAAAAAATGGAGCATCAAATAAAGCAAGATCTTGTTCGAGGAAATGTCCACCGCGGATATTGAGCTTGACGTCTTAGCGAGTCCCTCATCGTTTGGGGAGATGGGAACCTACTGTGTTGAGCTTGTCGAACTTAGGATGATATGCACCTCTCAAGTTGAACCGGGAAGGAGGTATCTCACTCCATGCGCTCCTACCTGCGGCCAGCATCTCCCAGAACCGATCAGCACTGCTAGCCTCCCCGGCCAACTTACAACTGAGACCGACTATAGCGATTGGCTCAGATGCAGGGCCATAGCTTCCTGTGCTACCCATGGTAATATCGAAAGACAAATCAATTCTGGTCGGAGATAGGTCGTGGTATGACGTGAGGCAAGGCGGCGTATATCGTCAATGGTGAGGCGCTCCGGTATGCTAGGAAATACTGAGGAGAGACACCGGCGAAGTTCAATCAGTTCAATGGTGCGTTTGCGTGCTTCAATGGGCTGAAAGCCACTTTTAGAGGAACATTCAGAAAATTCAGGCCGTTTTATAGTCCCGCGTACCCGGTACCCACGACCCGCCGGGTTCAGTGGGAAAGGGTCCACTCCGTCCCGTCTTTTTCCACCCCGCTAACACCTGCCTTGATATCTGATGCCGTGAAGAAAGAGTGTGTGCGATAAACCTCAGCCCGCAAAGAATAAATGTCCGCAGTTGACAGGACTGGGCAATCGGCCGCGGGGTGCGGGTCGTTGGTTGGTTCCAGAAGAGCGGGATCGATCGCCGCCGGCCACGTCGTTGTGGCGGGAGGCCGTGACATGATGGTGGAGGGAGACAAGACTCCTCGTCGGACGAAATATGCGAGTCAGCTGTGGACAGAGATGTATGTCAGAGAGGCCAAGAGGCGGTGCACTGGAATTGGATACTTCTGCAGCGGTAAAAGGTAGGCGCGTACTTTTGCGGTCCAGCCATCCTGCTTATCATCCTCGGAGGCGCCGACTTTGGTTTAGGCTAGCTTTAGTCCTCAGTCCTCACAGTCATCCTTCCAAGTTCCACGTGTCGGACAGGGAAGGGCCCAGGAAACCGAGCAAGACATATATTATTCAACGTCAAAAATATGTTCGATGCGTGAACTGCCAAGTTCATCCCTGGAGCCTCGGGCAGGTGCAAACTGCGAACCGTGCGACCGCAGGTGCCGGCGTGATGCACGATCGATGGTCGGATTTCGGAACGAAAGCCGCCAAAAGCTGTCCAGCCGTGTGGACCAACAGCTTCATTGGGAATAGCCTTGGAACACGTGGATATCTGGCCTGCAGTAATTCTAATGCGTGCACTGCATATAGTGGTTCGATTTCGCACAAGAGATCCTGCCTTATGCAAGATTGTCAGCGTGGATGGAGTAGTGAAGGTATGGAGCAAGCAAGGGAGAGTGGAAGAACTGACAGGTTGGTTCCTCCCGTCGCCAACTGCCGTCAAGAAATATATTGTGGCTCACCCGTCGCCGTTAGGTTTCGGTCTAGGCTCCGATCGCCTAGGCTGGGGGTTATAAGCGACCGGGCCATCCCATTCCCACCGGAAAACGACATCAAGACAGAAATCAACTTCCAATACGGCGTTGGGAGTTGATGGAAGGAGTGCTCGAGCGAGTGCTGGAAAACGTGCCTGCCTGCCATCCAAGGAAGGAACATGATGCGGCGCTTTCGATTCGATTTCGTCGATGTGGCTGAACCACGGGAGTGATCCGTAGGATGGAGGGCTCCTTGGCAAATCATTAGTCCATGGGCTTTATGCATCCAAGCACCGCCATCGTTTGGAATATACAGTGGTTCTAACCTGGATGGCAGATGATTGCACAAGTCTTCGAGGGCCCCCACTTCGCGACGTCGCATCCCCCGTGACGATCAACCGCTTTCAGCCTAGTTATGCGGCTTTTGTGCAATGTGATGCTGTAAGCAGTGCATTATACGAGCTCACCTCAGCTTATCACATTTCACGTGATGTGATGAGGGGACCTAAGCTTCTTTGTTCTTCCACCTCATCGCGTCAGGGGCGAGTTTCCTGTCTTTGTAGTGTTTCGCATCGTCAGCTGGTACTTGAACACGACTCGCTGTCAAATTTTGCCAGATTCCGTGGTTTCTGCTACAGTTCTCTTTGCCCCTCCCTGAAGCTTATCTACGCCATGGACGGACGCGGGCCGTACGGTCTGGCCTGTGTGAACTGCGCCAAGGGCAAAGTCAAATGCGTTGCGATGGGCAATGGAGAGGGATGTCAAAGGTCAGTGCATTAGATGAAACACTGTTCGGACTGTCGCCCACAGTATTTAGATGCCATCGCCTCAAGAAGCCGTGCGAGCCGTCTCAAGGCATACGGAAGCGGGAGTCGCAGAATTTCAACAATCCCCTGATGGAGGAAATAGATGCAAAGCTCGACAGCGTACTCGAACTGCTGCAGTCAGCTCATCTGTCTCCCGCACCGCAGCCTCTGTTGCCTCAATTCTTCCACCGGACTCCGACACCCAAGCTGTCAGGATCGTCCTCATCGCAAGCAAACTCCACTCCAACCCCACAGCTACCGCCCGCGACAATCCCGTACGAGATCCCTGGGGATCGGGACGCGGAGGAAGCTCTCAATTTGTTTCGCGGCCGCATGCTGCGGCTGTGTCCCTTCGTCTACTTGCCACCCAATCTTACACCCCAACAAATGCAACGCGAACGGCCTTTTCTCTTCGAAACCATGCTTGCCGTCACTACCCGTTCTATCCAGGAAAAGATCGCTCGAGGAAAAGAGTTCAAAAAGGCCTTAGCTACCGCTATGGTAGTGGAAAATGAATCTAGCATTGACCTGCTTCTTGGGATTTTGACCTACGTAGCCTGGGGCTACGATCAGCACGTTAACAGACAGTCTACGCTATCGCGTCTAATGGAAATGGCCGTTTCCATTGTTCACTGCCTTCATCTTAACAAGCCAGCTCCTTCCCAAGCAAACACACTTACTCTCTTTGGGGGATCGCATTCCTGGCCAAAGATACATTATTCAACAATTAACCCCTTGGAGGAAAAGCGGGCAGTACTGGGCTGCTTTCTACTAGCATCAGTGTAAGTCCGAATCGCTGCGTAGAGGAAGCGGCAATTGGCGTGTTCTGCCATATATGCTGATTTCATATCCAGGATCTCAAGTTATTTTGAAGAAATGGAGCCAATGCGCTGGACGCCAATGATCGAGGGGTACCTCAAAGTAGTCGAAGAGAATTACGAATGGTCGGGAGATACTGCCTTGGCCGCTCATGTACGCCTGCAGCTACTCGCCCAACGCGCGAGACAGTTTCGCGACGAACAGGAAACACCAATATCCGTCCCTTTCTTCCTTAAGTCCTTTCGTCCACAGTTAGAGGTTGTTCGCAACGCCCTCCCATCAGGCGCCAAGAAAGATGGTGAGTAGCAAACACGTCCATTATCCTTGCTTACGAGATGCGAGCTGACTTGGCCACTGTTTCAGACTGGATTCTCGGTCACTTGCATTACGTCGAGCTGGCCGTCCACGAAACGGCTTATTCGGCTCAGGACGCCGCTCCGGCCCCCGTGGGTACTGTTGCTCCCAGTGTCAGCCCGATAGGTCCGGATGCGATAGGTTGCATGTGGCACAGTCTGCAGGCCATCCGATCCTGGTGGGAAGTCTTTCACAGATATCAAACAGAAGACATCACCCTCTTCACGATGTTCCAGTGGATTCAATTTGCTCGGGCCCTCGTGACCCTCTTTCGGCTGTCCACGCATCCAGCGCCAGACTGGGATCATGAGGCGGTTCGCAAATCAACCGACATTCTCAAGATCATGGACCACGTGGAATGGCGCCTTGAACAGCTTTGTCCTGACAATAACGAGGCATTTCCTGATGATATTTTCGCTCGCCTTCAATTCTTGGCGCGTGCTATGCGCGCCTGGACTCAAATGCAATTCGAAGGCAGAGGGACACAGACGGATCCAGAGCCAGAGGCAGAGCCCGAGCCGCAGCCACAACCACAACCACAACCCACATGGGAGCAAATGGGTGGTGGTCCTCTTGTAGAAGGTGTCCAGCCAGTCCAGATATGGAATGCGCCCCCAAACACCATCCACGTCCAACCCTTGCAGTTTCCAGTCCAGTATAATGATCCAGGTTGGGCGAATGGACTGGTCCTGCCATCCCAGAGCCCAACAGCGGGGATGCAATTTTGAGTTTGGCGACGGTCCAGACCCGGCTGCCTGCATTCCAGGTGGTCTCAGACCGGCGGCTGGGAAATGAAAGGAAAGGGGCTCTTCTCTGTACGGTTGTTTTGTCCTGACTTGTACATATATTTATCTCCATAATATATCTCGGATGGATATAGAGGCTCATTACAATGACATGGACCGTAGCGTCAGAGGAGGACTTCCTCACAGTATCGAGTCAGATGCACGTCTGCGCCCTCACCGGCCACCGGGCGTAAGACGGAGTAACTATCACGGACAGAACCACGTCGATCACCTTGGCCCCGCTCGAGGCATTACCCGTGTAACCCGTCCCGTCACCCGTGCAGAAAAGGGATCAAGCTATTGGGAAATATTGAAGGTGATCACCGCAGATCTCCAGATCCGGTCCGCTAACCCAACTTTGCGACTCCGGTGCCGGTTTTATCAACAAGCCACATAACAATTAAGATTCCAAGTGACCCCGACACCCTGCTTTTGTGCTCTGTAGACTGCTGCTTCGACGGATTCCAAATTGCAATGGCGGGAGATAGTGAGCAAGGCAACAGCAAGCCAGCCGGCACGCCCCTTCCCCCCAAGCCCTTGGAGTACGAGCAGATTTCCTTGGCGAGGCTTATGATCCTCCTCTTTCCTGTCACGCTTACGTATTTCCTCCTCCTGCTGGACACGTCCATTATAGCAACCGCCATCCCCCAGATCACGTCCAGCTTCAACTCGCTGCTCGATGTCGGCTGGTATGGCAGTGCTTACCAGCTGGGATACGCGGCTTTTCAGCCCATGAGTGGGAAGCTCTATACCTACTTTAACACCAAAGTAAGTGGCCCGCCCTAGCTTCCGCTACACCCACCGGCGCAGTAGTCGCACTCCTAACGCGACCCTAACAGTGGACCTACCTCATCTTCTTCGCGGTCTTCGAGCTCGGATCAGTGCTCTGCGCTGCGGCCACTTCATCGACGATGCTAATCGTCGGACGTGCGGTCGCTGGATTGGGCTCGTCGGTGTTGATGAACGGGGCGCTCACCATCATATCCGACTGCGTGCCACCCCACAGGCAACCGTTAGTTATGGGGATGAACATGGCCCTTGGCCAACTCGGCACTGCCTGTGGCCCGCTAATCGGTGGAGCACTCACTGAGAAGGTCTCGTGGCGATGGTGTACGCCTTCCCTGATTCACCTTCTTTGTCCCTGTGCTCACTTCTTGCGTCGCGTCTAGGCTTCTATATCAACCTACCCATCGGCGGCGTTGTCTTCCTCATGGTACTCTTAACCCGACTACCGACCGGCATTGAAAAGCCGCCCGCTCGCGATGTCATTCGGACGGCTGTCAAATCGCTAGACCTTGTCGGCTTCGTTCTTATAGCACCTGCCGTTACAATGTTGTTGCTAGCTTTAGAATGGGGCGGCAATCAGTACGCCTGGGATAGCTCTCGCATAATTGGTCTCTTCGTTGGATCGGGGGCGACTTTCCTGGTCTTTCTTGGTTGGGAATACACCCGCGGTGAAAATGCCATGCTTCCACTGTCTATTATTCGACTACGCGTCATTTGGTCTGCTGCGGGGACGCTGTTCTGCTTTTACGGCGTTATGTTCCCCTTCAATTACTATCTCCCGATCTACTTCCAGGTTGTCAAGAACGACTCGGCACTCATGAGTGGTGTTCATATGCTGCCGAACATCCTTGCGCAGGTCCTATTCGCTGTTACAGCCGGGGCCTTAGGTATGTATCTTTCTTCTGATTATTGCCCGTTCGATGCAGACTAACAACTATAGTGCAACGTTTCGGTTACTACCTCCCCCCGATCGTCCTCGGCACGGCCTTGATGACTGTTGGATCCGGTCTCCTCTCTACAATCGGCATCTCCACACCAGAGCACGACCTGATCGGCTTTCAGATCATCTTCGGTGCTGGCATTGGGCTGTCAGTTAGCATAGTATGTCACTCGACTCGCTTGCTTCGCAAGATAATACTAATAAACCACAAGCCGTTCATAACTATACCCCACCTCATACCGCGTCCCAAAATACCTACCGCCATGGCCATCGTCGTCTTCAGCCAGTTCCTCGGTGGCGCTGTCATGCTTTCCGCCTCGCAGACAATCTTTACCAACAGCCTACGTGACTTGCTGGCCAACGACCTCCCTGGTACTGAGGGAGTCCGCATCATTGATTCAGGCGCCCGCTCTGTGCGGGATATCGTGGCTGGGGCGCAGCTGACCGCCGTTTTAGAGGACTACAGTACGGCTATCGATAGGATTTTTTACATGGGAATTGCCCTTGGCGGTGGAGCATTTCTGTTCTGTTGGGGACTTGGTTGGAGAGATATCCGTCAAAAGGAGGAGACGGCAGAAGAAAAGCCGACGCTGGAGACAGTGGAAGTCGAGGATCCCGAGGCCAATCGTCATCCTCACCCCGGTGAACAAATCGAAAGTGCAAAAGAGTCTTTCACTGGGAGATCTGAAAGTTATGAGATCTCCGAATCTCATGATGGTACAGAACGTAAGGCTAAGACAACTAAATAGAAAGGCCAATGAGGGTGGCATGATGTATAGTTATGTTTTGTTAAATTCTAATGAGGTTACTTGTAGAGGCCGCTCGATATGTGATGGCATCATATCTAGTCCTCATGAGACTCTTGGAGATGAAAGCTTGGAGATTGTATTTAGCTAGGCCATAATAGTAAAGCTATACTTAGTGTGGCTAACTAAGCTAATAGGCAAGGGCTATAATAGGGCAAGTAGTATATTATACTTTAATACCCCTCTTGCTAAAAGCCCTACTAAAAAAATAAAGTTAAATATATTTTTTAAATAAAAAGTAAATAATAAAATATAAAGTAATAAAAAATAAGTAAGGTGCTATGGCAGGACGCCCTTGTATATAAGTAAAATAAAAATTAAAATAAAAAATTATAAAATTATTTAAAAATTACCCCCCTTACTAAGGTATTTTATACTAAGTTATTTAATAAAATAAAAATATTAAACCTGCTTAAGGGGCTTAATAAGGCTATTAATAGCTTATTTTTTAATATTAATATAAGTAAATTTAATATTACTAGTAGCTATTTTTTTATAAATAAAGTAATATTTAATTATTACATGCTTTATATAGGCATAAAATTTTAAATTTTTTAATAAGGTAATTACGCCTTAATTATTTATATAAATAAATATTAATTTAATAAAAAGTATTTATATTAAAGCAAGGCGCGAAATATTAAGTTTAATAAAAAAAAGTTAAAATTATAATAGTTTTTAGGTTATAACTACCTGGGAAATATATTTTAACTTTATTAATAAAAAGGCTATAGCAAACTATTTTTTAAAAAATTAGTTAATTAACTTATTAGCTATTTTAAAAATATATTTAAAAATAAAAATATAGCTATTAATATAAGCACTAGGCTAATTAATATTATAATATTTAATAAGGCCTTTACCTTTATATTAATAAAAAATAATAAGGTTTTTTAATACCTTAAGGTAATAAAAAACGCGTGTTAAGGCTGTAATATAATTTTTTAAAAAATTTATTATATAGTAAAATAAAAGCGTGATAGTAAAGGAAATATTTAGGCATGTATTAATAAAAATCTAAATAAAAATACTAATTTATTTTTAATATAAAAAAATCTTTTTTATTAAGGCCTTGCTATTAAACTTTTATAATATAATTTTAAAATTATATAAAGTTATAAAGTTTTTATAGTTTTTAAAATTAAATTACTTTAAAATATTTTTAATATAGTGTTTTTAAAAAAAATAAATATTATTATTTATATAGTAAATATTAATACTAATAAAGCAAGTAAATACTTTATTATTAATAATTTTAAAGGCGCTTTTAAGCGCCTTAATAACCTTTATAATATTATTTATAAATAAAAAAAAAGCATAATATTATTTATATAAAAAAAATAAATACTTAGCCATAGGTAAAAACTAAATAATCCACGTGTATTTTAGTAAATTTAAGTAAGGTAAAAAGGCTAGTAAGTATTTTATACTACTTTTTTAATAATTACTTTAGGTTATATAAGGTTTTTAAAAGTAAGTTATATTTACTAGCAATCTTACTACCCTTAAATAGCTTAATAAAAATCTTTTTAAAAAGATTTATATATAAAAAAGTAATAATAATATTAAAAAAGTATAATACCTAGCTATAGCAAGCAGCTAGCATAATAAAAAATTTAAAAAATATTAATTTAATAATAACTATATATACCTTATAAATTTTATAATTATAACTAGTAATTTAATAAAAGCCTTTAATAACTAGGTAAGCTTTATAAATACTATTATATTTAATTTTAAATACTTATTTAAAATTAAAAAGGTATATTTTTTTTTAATAATTAATAACGCGCCACGTGCTATTAAAAAAATAATTATTAAGTTTTTTATAAATAGCTATATATTATTTATTTACTTTTAAATAAAAAACTATATTTATATATATTTTTAGCTTATAGCTAGCATTATTTAGGGTTTTAAAAGTAAAGTTTTATTTATTTAGCTTGCTAAAGTTTACCGCAAAAATAATATTATTAATAAAGTTATTAAGGGCAAGCTTATAATCCACAAGGAATTACATAAAATAGTTTAAAAAAAGGTTAGGATTATATATAAAAAAAAGTTTATTTATACTTATTAATTTAAGGTACTTTTTTATAATTTAACTTAGCTTTTTTAAATAATTTAAATAGTATATTTTACTTTTTAAAAATAAAAAATATTAAGTATTAACCCTTAAAGCGCGAGTGTGTTTTGCTAGGCTATTATAATTTTTATTAATTATACTTAAATTACCCTTTTAAAAAAAAGGGGGGGGTTTAAAATAAAATAATATTAAAACTTTATATTATATAACCCTTAAATTAAAGAGTTTAGTGTAGGTATTAAAAAAAAAATACTAATTAATTAATATTTTTAAAGCTACTTTAGGTTATAAGTAGTACTATTAAAAAGGTTTTTTTAAAATAGTTTTTCCTATTCTAGATTTATTTTAAAAGGTTAAGAAATAAGGTTATAAAAAGCAAAAATATTTTTATAAAAATTTAATAAAACTTTAAAGCCTAGGGGCGTATATTTTTATTTTTAAAGGTATAATTTTTTTTTATTTACTTTACTAGTAATAAGGCATAAAATATTAAAATTATATTTATTAATAGGCGGCGGGAGGGAAGTGCTTAACTTCTTAAAAATAATATTATAGGTAATAATAACTTACTTTAATTTAAGGTTATAAACTTTATATAAACTTTTAAAGTATTTAATAAAGTAGCCCTTGACTATATAAGAATTAATTTTTATTTTATATATTTTTTTAAAAATAAGATAAAAGTATTTATATTCTAGCGCGCGCTAGTAAAAAATATTAGGTTATATTTTATTAAGTGCTTTATAGGGCGTTTTACTAATAGTTTTATAATAAAAATAGTTATAAATATAAATAATAGCAAGAACTAGGTGATTTTAAAAAAACTTTAAAAATTAGTTTTTTATTATAATAAATATAACTAGCTTAATAATATAATAATTTTTTACCTTAATAATTAAGTTTAGTGTTAAGTAATATTTTAGTGCTGGATTAAAAATAATACCATAATTTTTATAGTATAATTTTAGTAGTTAGTGTTTTAAAGTATTATTATAGTAAATATACTTTATTTTTAACTTTAGTTATATTTATAGCTAGTTACAAAGTTAAAAAAAAATTTTAAAAATTTTTTTTTTATAATAAATACCTAGTAAAACTAAAAGGCCTTATTAATAAATATAATAAAGTATAAGGCGCCTGTTTACCCGTGTATTAATATAGGCCTGTAAATATTTATATATATAATATTACCTAGCTAATAATTAAGATTTTTAGTTAGATTTTATTTTATTAAGAAAAGTGCTATTTTTTTACTAATAATATATAACTTATATTATTTAACTAGCAGGCCCTTATATAGTTTAAGGCTAATAATATACTAAAAAAAATTTTTAATTTTTTTTTAAATACATGGGCAGCCTGTTAATAAGCTAAATATATAAAAATTACTTTATTAAAAACCTTAACCCTAGCTATTATTAAACCCTTAAGTAAAATTATACTTTAACTAAGTATAAAAGTGTTTATAAGCATGGTAATTACCTTAAGAAAAGTATTAATATTTAAATAAAAATAATAATAGGATTTAAGTAAGGTAGTGTATATAATTAAGGATTTATACCATGTAAGTTTAATAATAATATTAATATTAAATATTATATAAATATTATTATTTATAAGCTATTTAATTAATAATAAATTATAAGCTAAGCTAGGCGTGTACTAAATATTTTTTAATAAAAAACTTTTAATTTATTATATATTAAACTTATTAGTAACACCTAATATAATATTACTATAGTTTTTAGTAAAAAACTTATTATTATTAGCTATTTTAATTAGAACTTTAGTATATTTAAATAATATAAAGTTATGCTTAAAGTATATTATATAGTAAAAGATGCTAAAATTAAGTATTTAATTATTATTAATAGCTAGTTTAATATTTATATAAGTTAATTTAATATAAAGATTTAACTTATTAATACTAAGATTTAATAATTATATAAACGCGGAGTTTATGTATATAAAGTTAAAGTTAATACTAACTATATTAGTACCTAAAAAGGCCTATAAAGTATTAGGCAGAGGTGTTAATAGGGAACCTTAAGTTAATTTTTAAGCTAACTATTATAAAGTACTAGTAGTAGTATTTTTTACCTACGTAATATTTATAAAGATAAAGGCGCTACGGCCTTTTTTACCTTTTTTTTTATAGTATTTAAATTTACTACCGCGGCCTTAATAGGCGCTAGTACTGGTATTTTTAAAATTATTACCTTTATTTTATAACTAGGTGTTTGCCGGATTCCTAATATAAGTAAAGAAAAAATAATTATTATATAACTAGTAATATATATACTATATAATACTATAATTCTTAATAAAAATAAAGCTACTATAACTAAAGTGGCTAGTGGTATTAGTAGTATATTAAGTAGTTTTAAATATTTATATTTAATTAAGTTTAAACTATAAAAAAAGTAAATAAATATTATTAATACTTTAATAAAATATTATATATAACTAAGTAATAAATAACTATATATTATATAAGCTAAAAATTACTATAATAAAAAAATACTATATAGCTTATTAATTAAGGGTTTAAATAATTACTAGCTTAATAATAGTATTTTTAAATTTTATAAAAAACTATTTTAATTATTAATTAATATACCTTATCGCGTTAAGTATTTACTAGCTTTTTAAAAAAAACTAGCGCTAAATAAGTTATATAGCTTTTATAGGTAATAAAAGGCTTAGGTAATACTTTAAAAACTAAAAATTTAGTTTATATATTATATATAAAATATTAATTATAAAAATAATAATAAAAAAAAGTTATGCTATATTTAACGCCCTTACTTTACTTTTATTTTAATATTTTAAAAAGTTTAAATACTAATTTAGTTTTTAATAATAAGCTTAGTAACTTAATTTTAAGCCATGTTATTTTTATTAATATATTTTATAATAATAATAGCTTGCTTTAGTAAATACTTATAAAAAAAAACTTTTTTAGTAATAATAGGCTAAAAATAAGGTGGTTTAAATTAAAGTATAATTTTAAAAAATTCACGTTATAAATAATAATTTTTTTAATTATTAAATTATATAATAATTTTATAAAGGTTAAAAGTAATAATAATAATATTAATTATATTATAAATAAATTTTTACACAGCTTTAATATATAGGAATAATATAAAAGTTATATAAAATAAATAATTAAAAAATTTATATTAGGCAGTTAAAAATCCCAATACTATATAAAAAATATTTTTAACTTAATAAATATTTAAAGTAAATAAATTTTAAAAAAAGGTAGTAATAAAAAAAGCAGTTATATATAAATAAATATAATATTTTAATAAAAAAAGCTACCTAGGGCATATAACCTTTTAAAAATAAAAGCTTAAAAATTATATTTAGCTAGGCCATAATAATAAAGCTATACTTGGTGTGGCTAACTAAGCTAATAGGCAAGGGCTACAGTGGGGCGAGTAGTATACTACGCTCCGACAGAGACGTTTGCCGCTCTAAAGAATCTCGGAAATTTTCCCATTTACAGAATTTCAGCTTGTTCGTCCATAGACATCTGCTTAGTGAACATCTCCCACTTGACACAACTACTCCGCCCAAACCCATGTCCTTCTAAAGAGCTTAGCATGCTAGAGCATCAAAACGGCCGGTGGCTCGAACCGCACCGTCGGTAAACGGCGAAATTGATGTCCGATTTAGTCGACTGCACCCAGTCTGAATGCGTGATTTAGGTCGGCAAGATTCTCCGCATAACCTCGGCATACGTCTTCTTCAACTCCAAAACGTACGTACTTCATATCTAGCGGTGAGCGGTGGACCAAAACGGCTTCGCGGCTTTGATGCAAGGGATGCATGATGCGCATCATGCTAGACATGCTGGAGACCGCTGTCAGAATCCTGGTTTCCTGCTTCATGCAGACTACAGAACGACTACATCCGACCGGTCACTGAAAGTGAGTGTGGAGTTCTTGAGGGGCAAGGTGGGGGAGACGATACCGCTCCTGAATTGACAATAATATATATTAACCGCAGGCTGCGGAGTTCCTGATGATTCCGGACCGGGATCTGGGCCGTTTATGCATATCACAGCACTGGCATTAATGAATAGGGAAGTGGTCATAAGCGCTAAGGTCATGCACAGACTAGGTACACCTGCAGTAGCTTTTCTGTTCCCTTTGTCTGGACTCTGGATCTGGGTTCGAGATTGAACATATGCATCTATAGCGCATCGGACTGACTTGCTTAGGGCCGTTGAATTATCTCGCAGTACGGAGTATATCATCTATGATCTGACAGTGCCACCCACGGCCAGACCCGGCGGTCCGGCACTCGGGATCGCCGCATCCGGTCAGTATAGGGCTGGGCATGCCCTATTGGGACCCATGCAGCAGCCACTTGCCCTCGCCATATCGCCAGACAAAGCAACGACGATGCATGTCGGACAGACTGGAAGTGTGTCATGCATTCAATGGATTATGGATTATTCTTGCGTGCCGCGGTGGCCTCACTTCTATCTACGTCTGCCAATCAGGCTATCACGCCCTCCCCCCTCGCGACATCCAGTATTTCGTCCACGACCGAGCTGACGTCCTGGCTGCGAATGGGGACCCTGTGTCCCCCCTCCCATTCGACGAGCCTTGTACTACCATACTCGCAGCCGTAGTCGTGGAGGTCGCGGTGCAATGACAACCCCGGGTCTTTGAGGCCGTGGACGTGGATCGTGGGAAGGTGGAGGGCTGGTTCGAACGCGAAGCTAAAGGATGAACCAGAGCCATAGCTGGATTCCGAAAATGGGGAATCGAGCTCGTCGTCGTCTTTGTCGAGGGATAGCGAGACCATTGGCGCGCGACCGGCGAGAATAACAGCGAAGCGGTAGTTGACGTTTGCTGTCGATCCTGGCTTTGTTTGCGTCTGCGTCTGCGTCTGCTTCGCCTCCCACCTCCAGCTTCGATTGGAGCTTTCGCTGCGACTTTCCCTCTCGTTCTGCTGCTGCTGCCTGAGCAACAAACTCGCGGCCATCTTCGCCCCCTGGCTGAACCCCAACAGCCCAACCCACTCCCCCGTTGCACCAAGCCCATCATCCCTCTCCATCGCTTCTTGGATCGCGCTTTCAATCCCCCGAATCGCCCTCTCATTCACCTCATCATCCTCATCAATCCGCACCGCCTCCCCGCCTCGTCCCATCGCATGCGCCTTCGCGTCCTCGAAACTCTTTCCGGCTCTCGCGGCCGCAGACTCCGCGGGGAACCACGCCTTGAACGGCCCCCACTTCTCGTATACGGAGACGACGTCGGGACCGGGCGTTGAGGCGAAGGGGGCTTCTGCGAAGACGAGGCGGAAGTGTGGGCTTAGTCTGGCGCGCAGGACGCGGCATTGCGAGCGGAAGATGCGCGCGTTTGTGCCGCCGCCGTGGAGACATAGTATTCGGGGGAGGTGGAGGGTTGAATCTTTTTGGATGGGGGTTGGAGCGGGGGTGAGTCGTGACGGTGAGGGAACATTGTGAATTGGTGAGGGTGAGGGTGATGATGCTGTCCATGAGTATAGGGATTGGAGGCTGCTGTATGGTGATGGGGTTGGCCCGGTGACGGGTGCTGGTGCTGACCAGAGGTGCAGTGTTGAGAGCATTGTGCGGTCGGTACGGTGCGGCGGTGGCAGTGTAGATCCAGGTACGAGACACTGTATAGATCGGATTGAATTGAAGATGATGTTAATGATGGGATCGTAGGTACGCGGTAGATGCCTAGGCAAGGTTCATATCCTCGAGCTCGTTCTATATACACCCGTGGACGTCTCCTTCGCCAGTACCTTTTCCATCTACGAGTATCCGATTTCATTGCTCCAGATAATGTTCGTCTTCGGCGACCCAAATCCATCGCTATCAGTCGGTTTCTTCACGGAGTATAAGGCGATAAGCTGAAGGGCAATGAATTACCTCGCCACTCGCGGCTGGCTGAGTCGGTGTTCGAGACAGCTATCGGGATATACTTCCTGACTCTACTGCTCCCTATCCACTGAAGACCCAAATGACGCTGACGTCCCAGTCACTTCACCGAAGTTCCACCTCGACAGCGCTCTTACTTCCAGGTAGGGTATTCCAGGGATCCCCGAGCCCGGAGTATCTGCCGGCTGATCGACCTGAAGATACTCCTAAATCCTTCGATCGGCCTGAATGATTGGCGACAGGGATTAAAGTCTGGAAATTGGGACCGTCAGCAGCCAGCGTGGCGCTGGCGATGCTTATTTTGTTTGTCATCGCTGCTTGTTTCTTATCGTCGGTCTGGGTGAGACCAATTATGAGGCCCGGAGATGGCAAGTCCGAGCTCAACACGTCACTGATTATCGGAGGAGTATATTGGTTTCGGAGAAGAGGTTCCTCTTGAAGGGTGTTTCGGTGAAGAGAGCATTGAGCTGGATTCCTTTCTTTGGGTACAGATGACCCGGTGCTCCTGACCTCGGGAAGCTTACGCACTCTTCAGACAGAATCAAGGTAAGCTTTGAACCCAATATCCCGGAACCGGGCTTCATCACGCCAATGGCTTACCAGTGCATATGGAAGAAGTAAAAACAGCCCCGTGCACAATGCGATTCTTCACCACCTACATGCCGAGTTTGACAAACACCGGATATGAATACCGCGGACAATCTCGCCCGACACTACCGTCCACGCTTGTCTCGTTTGATCCATCACTCTGATTCCCATGCCACAGAAAAGCCAAGCCCGTGACACGAGCAAGCCAGCCCGGCAGCAGCCTGGCTTGGCCTGCGAAGAGTGTCGCAAGCGCAAGGCCCGATGTGACCGCGCCAAACCGCAGTGTGGCTCTTGCTTGATGACAGGGCGGGTCTGCATTGTGAATCATAACCGGCCACGACGGGGGCCGAAGAAGGGGCAGATTGAGAGTCTTTACTCGAGGCTTGGTAGGTTTATCTTTGTGGCGGAGATGCGAGAGAGCGATAGGGAGCGATGGCTGACTGTGACAGAGGTCCTTGAAGAGCAGGTCGTCGAGCAGATGGACCATATCTACCACGGAGACTTGGAATCGCAGGAGCAACTTGCCCTCACTCACGATGTCCGCCGGCATTCAAGCTCAGGATCTAGCTCCGATGCCCGACATGATGTGCCCTTCCTATTATCCCCGTCTGCTCTCGACACCACGACGACAGAGCGCACCCTCCTCCCATCGCCCTTCGCGAATGTCCGACCACTACCCGCTCAAGGATCGGCCTACACCGGGTCGAGTATGAGTCCAAGCCCCGGGCTCGATATTGTCTTAGCTGATTTGTATGTCCCTCACCTTTTTTGCCTACGCTCACTAACGCGACCGAGAGACCAGCTGTACTTTGACCGTGTCCACCCGATCGCTCCATTCCTCCACCAGCAGCGACACCTCTCCCATCTTGAGACCGAGCCTCCTCTCCTAGCACGCGCCTGCCTCCGATCGGCGATGCGCACCGTCGCCGCCGCAATGTCTGCGCAGTTTCGGCGTCTGGCGGATAGTCTGTACGTCGAGACGAGCAGGGTCGTGATGGAGCTGGATACGATAGAACGGACACCTCCGCTGGAGCAGATACAGGCGGTTTTGCTCCTCGCGCACTATGAGCTGCTGCGAATGGAGGAGAGCAGAGCGATGGTTACGGCAGGGAGATGCTTCCGACTCATTCAGTTGTCGCGGTTGCATGATACCGATGCGTATGGAAACAATGGGGGTGACTTTGTTGCGAACGAGGAGAAAAGGAGGACGTTTTGGGTGGCGTATTGCTTTGATCGCGTTCTCAGCTCGAGGCACGAGTGGCCGTTGACGTTGCAGGAGGAAGCGGTGCGTACCTGACCCCTTCCATGCCTTCCTCCGAATATGCTGAATTGCATCAGAAGGTACTAATGTGCATAGACATGGATACGACTCCCCGTCCCCGAAAGCACCTTCCAAATGGCTCAACCCATTGATCAACCCATGGACTTCCTCCACGAAGCTATCGCGACCAGCGGACAGAAAGCCCTCCCTCCGTTCGCCGAGTACATAGTCCTTGCGACACTCCACGGTCGCACAATGAACCTCCGCCGAAGCGCGCTCCTTCTCTCAACGTCGACAGAAGCATCTATGTTCTACGAGAGGCAAAAGGCACTATCGAGCGTGATCGAGAAACGCTCGACCCTATGGTCTTACAGTCCTCCATCTTCGACACCACTGGGGATGGCCGATCCCCTCGTTGCATTCACGCACCTCCTCGGCAAGATGATGATGATCTCCATCGGCGAGGTCGGCGAGGTCGCTCGAGAACACTTCATGGGGATATCGAATCCAGTTCGGGACGCGGCCGGGCTGGAAGCTGTGCAGCTGAGTATGGCTATAGGTGGGCAAGAACTGCTCATCAACGGCGATGGCTATAGCACGCCAGCCGCCGGAGGAGCCGGGGATATGCAACGGTCGGCCCAAGCTGCCAGTGAGTTTGTCGCGCTCGCAAAGTCAATGTGTCCAGTCAACTGCTTTAGGGTACGTCCCTTCCTCCTTGTCGGCTTCTCATGTGAGATTCATGAAATAACATACTGATTGTGTTCGCAGGCGCATCCCTTCCTCCCAAACGCAGTATTCAGAACGGCAGTATACCTTGCAACGCACAACAACGGTACCGAGGCTGGAAGGATACAATGTAGTCACGAGGTCGAAGACCTACGCCAGATACTGAAAGAGTTGAAGGTCGTGAATAACCTCGCTAGGGAGGTCCTGCGGGAATTGGGGAGCTTGACTGTGCCGCTCTCTATAGCCACCGCTGGCTAAGATCTTATTTGCGGTGCATACTCCTCTTCTTATCTGTATCACTTTAGTTAGACTTTGGAGAGAATGGACAGGGCGGAGCTGCAGACAGTAATTTGCGAATTCACTATGATACCAGCCGCTTTTGCTTCGTCTGGTCGACTTCTCCTCACAAAGATATACAGAGTATCTTTATTGCCTGGGAATCTCAATCACCTGGTACAATGTGTACCTCTAGTTTACTGTTTACCTACTATGAGTCCATGGTTCCCTGGGATGACAGCGGCAGGTCCCCACGGACAGCTGGAACGGACCGCGCGTTCCAAACCACGAAAATGAACAAAGCGGATTGTCCGCTCGATCGGGGAAAGCGCCAAAGGGACCCAGGTTCTCCCGCGCCGAGATTGTTGCCAGGGCCATCTCCACCCCATCCATCGCTGTCCGCAACGCACTCCTCCCCAACCTCCGCGGTCGCCGTCGTACATTTGGCCTTTTCCCATGGCTCGTCTGTCCATCTCCTCGCCCCCACCGCCATGACACCACCACAATGTCCTCAACCGACACCAAGCCCTCGAACCCCGCCGCCCACAAGAAGAGATGGAAACCAACGTACCTCAACGCCATCGAAGGCCCCGAACTCTACAACTACATGGGCAACCGCGTCGTGCTCTCACACACTACACACGGGAACGCCGTCGCCGTGAAACACAAACCGTCTGGTGCATTCGTCCGCTCCGAAGCGCAGATGATGCACTTCGCGTCTACGCACGGGATCCTTGCGCCGAAGGTATTGGGATGCTATGATGTTGAGCCGGAGGTTGTTGCGACGGTTACGGATGTTGTTCCGGGGCAGTCGCTTGATAAGGTCTGGCACGATCTCACGGAGGCCGAGAGGGAGGGGGTTAAGAGGGACTTGAAGGAGCAGGTCCGGCTGTTCCGCACAATCACGCAGCCGTTTATTGGGAGGGTACACAACCAAGAGACGTTTAACTTTTTCGACCGCTTGCATTTTCGCTTCATGGGGCCGTTTGGGTCCGAGGAGGACTTCGATGAGTTTTGTCTTGGACGCGTTAAGAGGAAGTCAGGCGCGGCATATGCGCTGTGGAAACGTCTTCTCCCTGGTATGCGAGGAAGAAGCTCGGGCAGGTTCGTCCTCACGCACGGCGACCTCGCGGCGCGGAATATCATGGTTCATGAGGGGAGGTTGAGTGGGATTGTGGACTGGGAGTATAGTGGCTTCTTCCCGGAGTATATGGAGTATGCGTGTAATTTTGTGGTCCATGATCAGCATGAGAGGTGGTGGCTTCCTGTGCTTAAGGAGGTTCTGAATGATGCTGGGGCGAGCTGTGGGTTTAAGAGGGCGAGGTTTGTGGGCGCTGTTAAGGATCGGGGGTGGTAACAGTGTACGCTTTCTGCTGATAGTACGGAGTATTCCGTAGAAACCACGTTACACAAACACAGACCACTTGCCCAGCCGGGACGGAGGAAACAGTCCCCGGCCCCGGTACAGGGCGGTTGCACCTTGCATCCGGATACCTACGCCCGCTTCCCTATGTGATTCTTTCTCCCATCATGTGTACCATGGAGCCAATGATCCCCTTGAAGAGAAAAGACGGCGTCGGCACCGGAAACCGCTCGATCGTCCACAGAGTGACCCCGACCATCGTCGTCAAGCGGGTTTGCGACAAGGGCTTCTGGGAGGGCATCCCCGAAGAAAGCTACGACAACGGCGAACACCCATTCGCGCGCGAGCTCGCGTTCTACAAGGCCCTAAACAGCAGACAGGATCGCTGCCCCGAGATAGTCGCCTGTTTCCTAGCCCTACCAGACTACTTCTTCCTCTCATACTGCGAGCTGAACCGGCTGGATCTCCGCTACTTTGAGCGACAAGAGCGCGAAGTACGGCCCAGCGGCCTCCATGGCCGTCTTATCCGCGTGACGGGCTATGAAGACATCGGTCTCGTCGCTCGCTGGGTGATCCAGGTAACCTCGGCGCTAGCATACGTCGAAAAAATGGGCTTCTGCCACAACGACATTGCCCCGCGGAACTGCCTGCTGGATCGGCACTTGAACCTTCGGCTTTGTGACTTCGATCGCGCGACCACGTTCGGCCAGCCTGTGGAGGGTGTTGTAGGGCCGTGGGCTCGAAAGCTTATCGCCGGACCGCTGAAGGGTTCGTATGGGCTGTGCAGCGCGCGCACGGAGCAGTTTGCGACGGGGACGCTGGTCTACTACATGGTGTATGGATGCGAGCCGTACGAAGACGAACTGGGACCGACTGAATACGACAGTCTCCGCGAGGTGGGGCGGCGGTTTTCAAGGCTCGAGTTCCCGGATCTGAACCGGAACGCTGTCCTGGACAAGTTCATTTCTTCGTGCTGGCATGAGGTCTTTCCGAATATGGCGCTCACGGCGTATTACATTAAACGTGCGGCGAAGGATATTGCGTTGGAGCCGCATGTCGAGGAAGTCGATTGCGGCAAAGGGAGGAGGGATTGCGAGAGGCTGATACGGGATGGCTTGCTTGGGTCTGAGTTGGCGTTGAGCTTTCAGCCGGCGTGGAGAAGATATTTGCATTTCTTTGTCGCGGGGGCGAGGGCTGTTTGGGAGAGACTGGTCTGCTTGTTGGGGCGATCTTGCAGGATGGCAGTGGCTGATCACCCCCCTTCTTCTCCTCCTTCTCAGCCATCGCAGCAGAGCGACGATACCCCGCCCAGCTAGGAAATCATGACGTGGTATACATTGAAGCAACCAAGGCATCCAGCACCCGTTTAGTTCTTTTCCCCGTCGAAAGCGTTGACTATCTGAATCGAATCTCGGTTAAGCGTTAGAAAAGACTATTCTAGAATAGTGTTCCTAGGTCTAGGACTTATTACTTGCCAGAATCGATATATTAATCCACCTAAATTGAAGCAGAAGCCAACGCTTACTATATATTATATATTACCCATCCAAATCGCCCATTAACGCTATCTAGCGAACTACCATGTGGCACTGCCGGCGTGGCCTTAGTTATATATTAGGTACCGTACCCACCACTTGGGCAATATTCCACTGAACTTGTCCCCGAAGGCCTAATCAGTCTTTAAGACCCTAATATCAAATATACTTATCTTTACCCGCCACCTGGTAGTTAGGATTATGTCGCTCCGGGCCGAATTCACAAGCAGCCCCGTCGACGAAGACAGCCATGGCTGGCGTGCGGCAGACACAACCTAGGAATTCCGAAGCATGAGTATCAAACCTCCATCTCCATCTCCAGGCGCCAGAGCCAGAGCCAGAGCCAGAGCCAGAGCCAGAATGCAGAATCATCCAGGTCCACAATATGCGATGATGATCACCATGCCGGGTCCGCACGACCCCTTCGGAACGTTCGCGTATGGGTACCCACAGGGATCTAGCAACCGGACTGAATTAGATGATGGAAGTCGTGACACTGACCACCACCACAAGATCCAGATTAGCAAGACCATCGAATTGAACCACGGTTGCCCTGCTCCGTCGACCACCCAGACTCCCGACGCACCGGCACCGGCGCCGGCACCGGCGAGATGACCATGCCGTCCACTTGTATTCGATTGAGATCCCTGCAGCAGATTGCGGAGCCTGGGGGAACATCCAAGGGATAGCAACCTTGATACGCGGCGCATTGCAACTCCAGTGCTTGCAGCGCACTGGGAGCATCCGTCCTCTGAACTGGGCTTCCACTCGGGCTGCTACTACCCGTGGACGGAGTGGCGGGAGAGCCTAGGTTACGGTATGGATGGAGTAGTCTGCCGCAATAGCCTAGTTTCCAGTCCACTTACCTTGGCTTCGAGGGCTCACCCGTCGTATCTATAGTTGGGCCGGTCCTGGATGCCGATGGTTACGCCATGTACCTGGGATATATACTCCGAGGTTGGGACACAGGGGAGGAGCTTGGTCGACCATCCCGGGTCTCTGAGTCGTATGGCAGAACGTGCAAGCGAGGTTATACAAGGCGCTTTGCTGAGATTTCACTGGCAACCTCCAGTGACCCAGCGCCGATCTCTGTGCTACATTCATTCAACAGCATTGTTGAGGATTTATGACCAATCGCTAGGTGTCGAGGGCGTACTAGAGACGGCATTCAGGTCGCCAATTGCATTAGTGAAGAAGCTATGATAACCCCTTGACTTTGGTATAAAACATGAGAAGGAAATCGCAATCGCAGTAACGCCACTCACTGATTGTCGGGAAGGCTCAGGCTCACTTAATCAGGAACCGAACGCCCTTGCTATCCATCTTGACAAATGGAATGAAAATATCGTGTGCGACGCGCACATCCTCGATCGTCGTCTCATAGAGTTCGAAGTTGATCCGGCGAAGGAGAGTCGAGATCACAAGGAGGATCTCCGAGCGAGCGAGTCTAGATGCGTTAACACCTCTCACTAAAGGTAATGTCGCAATGGAGACTCAAGATAAAGAAAAAAGGAATACGTACTGCATCCCAATACACATCCTCGAGCCCCGCGAGAACGCCACCATGTACTTCTCCAGGCGCTTCCGCTCCGCCGGCTCGACCCAGCGCTCCGGGTTGAAGCGGTACGAGTCAGGGAAGACGGACTCGTCGTGGTGCATGAGGAGACAGCTCATGCTGACGGGTGTCTGTGGCTGTTAGCGAGTCCCAGAAACTTGGGGCGAGTCTGTCATACACCCGGCGGGATGGTCCAGTCCTTGTACGCGAGAGCGTTGTACGGGGCGATGCGAGGGAGTCGCGCAGTGACGCCGTACGACAGACTAGCATGAGTAACATTAGCACGGCCCGGCCGCGAAGCGAATTGGTACGACTCACCGCAGTCCTTCGAGCATCACGCCAGTCTGGTTAATAACATTAGCTGGGATCCTCGTACGCCTGCGGCGCGAACTCACTAAAAAGGGCAACTGTTCCAGCTCGATCAGGCCCGGATCCTCGCCCAGTGGTGCCAGCTCATCCTTCAGCCGCTGCAGCAGCGCCGGTTCGTTGTGCAGGTAGAACAGGATGTAGCTCATGGCCTTCGCTGTGGTTTCCGCACCGGCCGAGACAAAAACCTGCATGTCCTGCGCGAGTCGGGCCTCGCTCTTCTCCTGCTCCGGAAGACTGCTGGAAAGGACGTTGTCGAACAGATTCTGACGCCCGTCTTTGGTCTCGAGCGGTCCGTACTGACGATGTCGTTTCGCGATTTCCGCGATGCGTGTGCGGCAGCGGTGCTGGAAGGCGAAGAACAGTTCCATGCCCGGATTCAACCACGCCGTCAGAGTCTCGGGCATTGCGACGAGGAGCGGGAGGAGGAATGCAACCGGCCGGACGAAGACGAGCGTTTTCGCCGTCCCGCAGAGCATATGCTGCCACTGCGGGATGAAGTCCGGCTCGTCGAGGTAGTGGTACCCGTCGCCCATGGTGTAGTCGGTGATCACGTCGGTCGTGTAGCAGGTCAGAGGGTACTCGATGGCGATGGGCTTGCCGGTGGATTTCAGCTCCTCCAGTCTGCGGCATAGCTTATCGACCAGGGCCTTCAGCGTCGGCTCGAGCTGGCGGATGCGCGCGACCGAGAAGAAGGGGTTCAGCTGCGAGCGGAGCAGGCGATGACGGAAGTGGTCTTCGCAGGTGATCAGGGCGTAGGGGGCGTTGAAGGTGCGCTGGTAGTAGGGGTATTTGTTGCGGGGGCTGTCGCGGCTGTAGAGGACTTCGTAGAACTCCGGGTCGTTGACGTGCAGTTCGGTCGGGCTGATGCGGACGATGGAGCCTTGATTTGTTAACACAATGCCTGGAGGGTGAGAAGAGAGGAGGGCATACCGTATTTCTTATGCAGCTCGCCAATGTGGAATGTGAACTGGCCGTTGCGGACAGCCTCCCAGTAGAACTCGTAGAACACGGTCAAGGCGGCAAGACGAGGACCGGGGAAGTGAGCGATGGGCGAGAGGTAGAGTCGATAGATCGCAATCGCCGCGAGGTAGACTGAGACCGCGGCGGCGGCGAGCGCGCAGGGGTGTTGCAGGAGCAGCGTCAACATGACGATGGTGTTGATGTATCGAGCACTAGAAACCGAGAACCAGGTCGTCGGGACAGCGGAGGACGATTGAAAGCGACGAACTTCTCCAATTCCAAATACTGGGGACGGAGGAGCCACTTTCATCGCTCTTCTTCCCCTAGTGCTGTGTTGACGACGACGGGGCCAGACGGCTGGACTTCTGCAGAAATCTGCACATTCACCTTGACACTCCAATGGCAGCTTCTGACAGCTGCCAGGCCTGACGATCCCCACAACAGCAACGCCATTGTGTTACTCCACCGCGGCATATATCAACCATTGAAAATCGCGACAAGACGCCAGAAGACGCGGCATCCACTCATCTTCAGACTCCTGCCTTGCTTGGACGCGGGACGCTCGCACGGGCCTGGCCTTGCTGCTTGCAGAACGGTGAGCATCCCGTCAGTCAAGAGTTCTCAATACCCGTGGACGAGTTTGTCGTGCACCGTATGCTGTGCTACATCGATCATACCGAACTTGTTATGAAGCAGGCCCCATAGGTTCGTCCCACGCTTTGCATTGGAATCTGGAGGTGGCGAATGCTGCTATGACATGAGCGATCCTTTGGTCTGTGCATGTGCTGTCAGACGTTTATACTCTGGCTATACGAGGTCGTCAGTGCAATGACAGCTGATGTCTCATGGATCGCTAGGAATTGCCTGTTTGACGGCTACAACTTCCTCTTCGCTCTCGCTATCCGATCGTTATATCTTCCGGCGCAGTGAATCAAGGTCAGAGCGTTGGGACTCCGGCTACACTGTATCGCAGTGTCTCAAAGTGAGTCTGGAATTGTTGCCATACCTTTGAAGAAGGCATAGCTATCCAGCCAGGAGAAAGGTTCTAGAACTGACACTTTGATTTATAGCTGGCGACGGCGAACAGTTCTACTGAATTTGACGTATCCTCGAACAGCAGCGCATCCCCATCAATGACCATCGGAAATGCTAGTTGCCACGCATGGGAGAATCGGAAACAAGTACCGCATCGAAACCATGGCAAACACACAAGAGAACGACACTGACCCTTGGAACCGCCTGACTCAACAATGACTCGGCTACTTCCCAGTCACTCGCGAGCCGGAAGCGTCGTTACTGAGATATCAGCCACAGCGACATTGCGGTAGCTGGAGCGTGCCCCGTGGGGAAGGCGTGATGTGGCACAGCAGTTAGGGCATGAAAGCTTATGCCTTATCACCCTGAGGCGTTGCTAAGCCTGAATCGTACAGGCAACTCCACCTTCGATGACCCCATTGACACTGGTAACCGCGGTATGCCGCCAACAGCTGGGCCTTCGTTTCTCTATTTATCTGCTGAACGCCAAAGTCGCTCTAGGTATGCCCGACTTGAGGGTGGCCGTTGAGTTGGGAATTGCTAGCACTAGATAGTGTTTGGGCTCTGGTCGGAAGTCGAGTCCGACCATCTTATACTTCAAGCAATGCCTGGTTCGGCCTCAATTGATGAGATGAGTCAACGCAGGGAGTCCTGATAAATGAATGCACACCGATCGGTGCTGAGACTTTTCCTTCTCTCTTTCACAGCTCTCTGCATTCTGCTCTCTGCTGCTCCACTTCATCTACACTCATCGGCTCTTCTCTGTTCGCTGCGCGCAAATTCCCCGCGAAGATGCCTCACTTCTCCCTCCCCATCTTCATCGCCTCAACCATGACCCTAGCAACCCACACCCTCGCCGGCCTCGCAACCACAACCGTAAGTCTCCCAATCCTACCATCCCCTCCCCACTAATGTAGCCCAGCACTACAGCGACGGCCTTCAAGGCGCCTGCGGGTGCGGCAACGACCTCGGCACCTGGGACTGGTCGTACGGAATCTCCAAACACATCTACACGGCCGCAGCAAGCCAAGCGATCTTCGACAGCGGCGCGTCCGACACAACCCACTGGTGCGGCAGCGGCTGCGGAAACTGCTTCCGCCTCACCAGCACAGGCGTCTCCACCTGCGAAACCTGCGGCGAGGGCGGCGAAGAGGGCAAATCGATCGTCGTCATGGTCACGAACCTCTGCCCGTTCAGGGGCAACGAGGAGTGGTGTCCGAGCCCCGGGACGCTGAATCCGCATGGCTACGGGTACCACTTCGATATCATGGGTGGCGCCGGCGTGTTTGGGGATAATGTTGTCGTGGAGTTTGAGGAGGTGGCTTGTCCCCGTGACGCTGGGTTCCGCTGGAAGACGTGCGAGTGTCATCCTGGTCTGCGGGATAAGGATCTCTCGCTCGATGGCGGTAAGCATGCGATGGGCGCGGGGGTTGTGGGACCCGATCAGGCGAGGGTTTTCTCTGTGCATGGCGCGCCTGAGCCGACGGCTGCGGCTGCGACTGCGACTGCTCCTGAGCTTGCGCCTGGCCCTGCGTCCCCGGTTGCGACGCTCGTCAAGCGCATTGATATTGCTCAGAAACCCGCTGAGGCGGAGTTGAACGTCAATCCGATCGAGGCGGCCGGTGCACTCCAGAAAGCTGTCGCTGAGTCTCTTGGTGCTATTACTGTGCAGCCTGCTGCTCCTGGCTCTGCTACGGTCTAGAACACCATGACTTGATGATGTGACGACTCGACGATGTTCTTGGTGATATTTACGGCCTATTGATAAGTCCCTCGGAACGGCGTTCTGGAAGGACTTCTGCATTGATTGAATTTGATGTTATAAGCTGAACACTATGATTTACATGGCTTGGGATCTCTTGGTTTATGTTCTTCCCATCTTGTGGTTATCTCCCTCAATCATGTATTCTTATGCTTCATTGCTATCCAAAATCACAAAACCGGCTTGATTATGCACACCTTTCTTCCGTATTCGACTGTACTCACTATCTAGCATCCTTGTGAAGTGCTAGCTGCAGCCTACCAGCTGCAAACGATTAGTATAGAGGCCCGTATGCCCTTAACCCCCTCGCTGCCCTCCAGCCGTCACCTTAACAAACATAATTGTATGAGTGTGACTGGGGTAGATTCTCGGCGTTCTGCACGAGATATATCCAAGGCCTCTCGAGTCGTAAACGCGTATACTCAATGGGATCTTCCACGGTATGCCGTTATCCCTATGTCGGAAACCCCATCTCCGGCCGCAAGGACTTCGCCCGACGCTTTCCGTAGCCTCATTCAAGGCGATTTCTTTCTGTCGTCCCGGGCATTATGTCCGGTCCTCCCACGCCGCACCTGCACCCGCAAAGAGTTCCCATTGGTAGGGTATCCGATTGATGGTCGCAGCCGGAGGCTCCGAGCGAAGAAGCGGCTGTTCACGTTATATCTTCCTGCACGGGGTGCATCGATTGGGCGTGGTAGAAAGGGACGGAACAGAGTCCCTGTGAAAAGACGCAGCCCTATCACGAACTCATCTGGAGGGAACTTCCGATCCATCATCCACGAGAACATCTCGGTTCTAGACCATCGCGGACTTGCATACCGCGCAGAATCTTCAAGGCCGCGCAATGGTCCGCTCATCACTCGGAAAAGTGTTAGCCTGATTCCTCTCGCCTGCGTATAAGAATGCCTCTGCTCCCGTCCAGGGTCTATTTCGTTTCCTCTTCTCTTCTTGACTGTCCTTCATCCAAGAATACGCTTGCAATCCTAGTCTGAACAACTCACCCATCATCAAGACCTGTGCTCAAACAATCCCTTCTCATCATAATGCATCTCTCAATGACCATGGCCCTCGCGGCCCTCGCACTCTCCCTCGCCAGCACCTCCACCGCTGCCCCCGTCGCCGCCCCCGATAGTAATATCAACACCGTCATCACATTCAACGGCCGACCCGTTACCGTCCCCGTCGACACAGCCAACGCCCTCCACCAGGCCTTCGCGTCGGAGTTCGGGACCAGCCTCGCGAAGCGGCAGGATGTTGCGGCCCCTGCTCCGGCTCCTGAACCTGCTCCTGCTCCTGCCCCCGCACCCGGTGACGCTGTCATGAGCCCCGCTGGTACGCTGGAGGTGTGTTTCACGGGCAAGGTGATTAAGATTTGCTATCATAGCTAGAGGAGGAGTGATTTCGCTGGGGATGGGTTGAAGGTGCTGGGTGGTTTTGTTAGATTTTCGATGGTTCGGTTCGGAGTTGCGGGTTTGCTCTTGCTCTTGCTCTTGCTCTTGCTCTTTAGCTTCGGTTAGTGGGGTTGGTTTGATGGTGTCGGACGGTGCATCGTCCATAAAAGTTCTGTGTTGGGTTTGGCTCTCTATCAAAAGTTTCGGTTGAGTTTTGGGCTGTGGGTTCCATGTAATGGGATTGGGTTTGTCTTTTTTGTTCTTCCTGGAATGGATGCTCTCTCGCTAAGATCTGCGTTATCACGCCTCGAGATCCCGGTGTATCTGGTCTGGATCATCTGAATTAGTGCAGCCAGGCTCGTTAGGTCTGTAAACTGCCGAGTCACAGTAGAATCCTCTTGAAGTATAGCGCTTGGAGTCTTGCAATGTCTTTCTTCTTTACTCTCGTATAAACGCATGAGTGAATTCACTGTCTGGGATATCATCGACGCTAAAATACACAAAAAGCAGGGTAATAAGACACAGATGAAAATAATGATTCATAACTCATTAGACATTGACAACCTTGACTCGTCCACGAACATGCTCGACCTGGAGCACCTTTGCGGTCTGGATGACTCCCAGCGGGGTCTGGGGCTGGGACATGGGGTACATCTCAATCAAGCCGCCGTCTTGAATAACCCCGGTCCGGTCGAGGTTATTGCGGGCTCGAACGTAGGGGTCCAGCCTCCAGTAGTTGACTCGGAGCTGTTCGGTGATTTCCTCACGATGGCCGGCCGCCTCATTTATCTCTTTCAGCTCCCCAGTGTGAGCCGCCGAGACCCAGCGCGATGTAGCCGAGAGGAATTCTTCCCCAAGCGACTGTCGCTCGGCAAGAAGTGCGTCTCGAGTGATAAAGTCGGTCATGGGAAGGTTCTCCTCGGCTTGCGGCTCGATGTACTCGTATTCCCAGTCCTCGTCGCCACCGAGCTCGGCGAGTATTTGGTCGCGATCGATGAATTTATCGAGGTCGTTGACGGAGCGAGTGAAGTGGATTCGTTCGACCATCCTTGGGGCCATCCATGGCTTGATTATCTTCCAGACGCCTGTCCCCGTTAGTCTATATCTATGGGAGATAATGAGAGGACGGACCGCTGAATACTCTCGGGGCGTTGTGCATCAGTATCAGGCCGACGCTGTCGGGGTAGTAGATCTCGAAGCAACGGATGATGAACTTGACGGCGCCGTAATCCTGGTGACGTTAGTTTGAAGACTGTTATCGAAAGGGAAACGAACCATGTTTCCGAGCGAGAACCTGGTCAGGTCAAAGATAACAGTCTGGGATCGTTAGTTGGAACGGTAGATCGCAATGGAAAACATACCGCACTCTCGGCACCAGGCGACATAACCAACCGAGTGCACTCGACCAAGTGCGTGATAAACTGGTGGAGCGCTGCCTCACTCTGCGCGCCCGGTCTATGGAGTCGTATTCGAATCGTCGCGACCGGTCTGTTCATGCGGTCGACGCCATGCACAAAAGCCTTGCCCACACGGAACTGCCTCAAGAACCCCCTTGCGTCCTCTGCTTTATACGGGTCCGAACCATCCTTCTCCTGCTCCGCAGCGAAGAGCTCTCCCCTCGGCAATAGCACATTATCCACCTGCATCTCCTTCAGCCGCCAGACGATCGCACCGAGCAAATGGACCAGCGCCTGGTTCACGTCCCATTTCGAGACACGAAGAAAGCGAAGGACGTAAGTATCCGGGTTCTCGTGTTTCGCCGCGGTCAAGATTCCAAACCGGACGTCTTCCGGGGTCATGCGGGCGAGGAAGTGGCGGACACTGCGGAGCTGGGCAGCGGTGAGGCCGACATCGCGGAAGGACTGGAGGAGGCGCGTATGGTAGATCGACTCGGCTGAGGCAGACGCTCTCTTCTCTCGTGAGCGAGCGGAGTTGGCGGATCGTCCGAAAAGCGAGTTGCGACGATTCAGGCCAGGCGAGGGTGATGAGATGGATGATGAGGCGGTCGGGTCGAAGCTGTTGGCGCGGACAATCTGCTCGAGAGCGCCCAGCGACGAGGCCTCGGCCAGGTGCAGCAGCAGCGTCCACAGCTGCTGCAGGCGCCCGGTCTGCGCTGGGGTCAGGGGAGACTGAGAGGTCCCCGTGCTGGATGGGCTCATCGTTGCGCAACCATGGATGCCGATGTTTGGAACCTCGACGGATGGATTTCAAATGAAGAGGACCCTTTGCTGAGGCTGCAGTGGAGGGAGATTCCCCGCAGGACCCTCGGCGGCAGTGATGGATTCCTCCAACCACCGCTCCTGCCCCGTCTCGCTCCCTCCAGTCGCCATTGGCTGGCTCTGCAGGTCGTTACTGTTAGCAAGCCAGTGATAATCCAAATCGCCTCGGAATGCCCGTCAAGTCGTCCTCATTGCTTTTGCACGCGCCACCCCCAGTCTCTCTCTTCTGTTTCTTTGTCTTCATATTCACGGGTGATCCGAGCATGGCTTGAGCAAGCCGTGGCTCAGAGAATCGCTCGCTGAATAGTCAACAGCCGCTGACATTTGTCTTGATAGTTACAAGTTCCTCAAGACAGGGTCTGCAATCCTGCCATCGCTCTAAGCCGAGATCGCCTCCCCACCTGCCTGAAACACCACGAACGGCCCTGTCTCTCGATATCGGACACGGATACGACGCTTTTTCGGACACGGTCGCATTGCTATCTATCGGTTCCGTCCAATCCCTGCCATATGAACTTTGTTCGCAGCCACACTGTCAGCACAAACCTTCAGCGCTTCACCAATCAGGCCTCGAGGTGCGACAACCCATCCAGCCTCGCGTTTCACGAGGAGGGAGAACTGCCAATGGCGATACATGAGAACAGAGCATGGCAACGAGGAACAGCATGTGCTCGCCATATCTTTGTGACACCTACCCCTCTTCTAGAATCAAAGAATCGAGTCCGGTGTAACAGAGGCAGGCGATCGACGATCAAGGCAAGACACCACATCAGCAGTCTCATGTTCTGGCAACCCGCGATACTCGCATTTGCGTCTTCCGGAGTTACTTTCACAAGGTCTTGCCAGCCCGGCGACCATGGCGGCATGGCCCGGTCTCTGCGTGAGCCACGACCTCGGGATCTGCTCTCCTCAAGAATGAACCACCGTTGTGGAACCGCCACTCGACTTTGTGCCAAACTGGCCGTCGCCCAATGATCTTCAGCTGGCAGAGCAGGGCTTCAGGCACATTTTCCCTTGAATGACGCATCAAGACCTGGGGTCGACGAGTGAGCTGAAGTATGTTGCCGACTAAGGAGCACCGCTAATCCCCTTATCTTCTAGTGACACTAACCCTCTAGTCGCGCGTCACGTTCATCATATGCTGTATGACATACGGCTTCGTCTTCATCATCCAAAGAGGAGGCCACCCCTACTAATCTTTACTGGGTACCGCGGCAATAGACTAATTCCTACATTAACTTGTCTTTCATTTAACGGCAGGCAGAACGCGTCATTAGGAGAAGGAGCGACCTCAGTCCAAAGGTTGATTGTCACCTATCGGAGTTTAAGCTGCTAGTCCAGTCCAACTACACAATGTCTTTATACGGCTCTCAATCGGAACTACCGTTACCATCCAACGATCCGCCCGGATTCCATCTCGTCCAATTCACCATCACAGGACACCCAACCTAGCAGGGAAGAGTGAACAGGCGAACCTCACTGGTATAGTCCGCAGAATGGTATAGCTCCGACTTCAACCTTTCCACAACATCCACAGATGCATTCTAAAACAACCTCAACGCTGACCTTGCTTGGATACTACTGTGGTTAGCCGGTGTTGCTACATCTCCATACTCTTCCTTCTGTCTTCCTTAGTCAATTCGTACGCCATCGCCGCCCTGAGGAGAAGAACACCGCGGGGTTGGATTGGCGGCAAGAAGCCCGAGAAAGAGCGTCAGGCCAGATGTGCTCCCCCAGTGCTTTGTCCCAGTGCAAAGATTGCATCGGGATTACCGCCGTAGCAGTGGATATTCTCGCCGATCCGGGCAGGTGCAAGGGCAGCTGCGACGTCTTCAGCGCCGTCGGGGTACTGCGCTTCGGGGAGGAGACGATATGTCCCTAGAACACCTATCATGCCGTTGCGGGTGAAGGATTGAGCTTGTGATGCGAATGGCGGGTGTTTAGCTCTGGTTCAGGGAGATGCAAGCTACCGGTGGAGAAAAGGGACGTGCAAGGCGCGGCAAGGCAACATCCCGATATTCGCGTGCATATGCGGCGTTATCTGCGTGTCGCCGCGGCTCAAGGCTCCGCTGTGGGAGAAGACTACTACCGTACGGGCAGGGCAGACCTTGCGTCAGATATTCACGGCTATCCTTGCAGAGCCGCATGGTTAAGATTTCGTGATGGGCCCGGTCTGCCATTCTTCCTCAAAGATGTTGGCAACGCGATTGGAGCAGCCACTAACCCGTCGATGTCACTCGCGGCATACTCCGTAACCAGACACGAAATTAATTTGGGATTCTCATCCACCATTGGCTGCTTCAGCACCAAGGCTGCTTGGCAGTTAGACTAAGTCCAATCTAGTGCGGAGACTGCTACCCTGATGGCGTGTCTGTTTGGCCATGACATGCTCACTTCCAACCGCCCCACTTGTTTATACCAGGGTCCTCATCCTTTGCGGTCCTTGCGGTTCCAAGACAAGAGAAGCTCCAACAAGTCCCTTATCTAGATCTGGCCAGGCCGCTCTGAAGAATGCCCCTAACGCTGAAAGAGGGGCTGTGCCCGTGTGCTAGTCGACTAGGCTCCTCCATGTGACAACTTCGCGTATATGAATATGCGCTGGCCCCCCAAAGCACGGGGATCCCAAATTCCGACGCTTTTGGTAAACGACAGACTGCCAGAATGGCGGTCGTCGCTTTGCTTGCAATTGCGCTCGCCGTGTACGTCGCGGCGTTGAGCGTTTACCGACTCTACTTCCACGCGCTCAGCCATATTCCAGGACCTAAGCTCGCAGCGATAACCCACGGCTATGAGTTCTACTTCAATGTCGTCAAAGGCGGGTTATTTATCTGGGAGGTCGAGCGGATGCACAAGGTCTACGGTATGCCATCTACCATATTGCACTGCGAACAGCATTAAACAAGCGAGCAGGGCCGATCGTCCGCATCAACCCACGCGAAGTCCACATCCAAGACCCAGAGTACTACGAAGAGATCTACGCATCGTCCGCGCGCAAACGCGAGAAGGATGCGGTGTTGATGGCCAAATTCGGACTGGCAGGCTCAGGGTTCAGCACGGTTGACTCAGAGACGCACCGACAGCGTCGCGCACCCGTCGAGCGCTTTTTCGCGAAGCGCGTCATCGAGAAGAACGAGGCGCTGATCTATAGATCCATTGACAAGTTGCTGTACTACATCGACGAAGCGCATCGCTCGGATACAGTCATTAGCCTGGACGCTGGCTTTGCGGCGCTGACCTCTGATATTATCTACGAGTACGTGTACGGGTTTAATCCGGGGAGTTTGGATAAGGACGGATTCAACGGGCAAGTGCGCGACGGCATCAACGGCCTCATGCGCATGTCGCATCTGCTCTACTTCTTCCCGGTCCTGAATAAGATCATGGACGCGGTCCCGCTGCCTTGGTTGGAGAAGTTGAGTCCGTCGGCGTTCGCGCTGGCTGATCAGAAGAGAGATCTTTACGAACGGGGTATTCGGGCTTTGAACGACGCGCACTCGTCCACAGCGGAAAAGAGTGACAACTTGATTAATGCGCTGGCGGCGCCGAGTGTGCCGGGGCATATGAGGTCGCCGGAGAGACTGATGAACGAGGGCTTTGCGCTGATCATTGGAGGGACCGAGACGACGGCGAGGACGTTGAGTGTCGGGGCGTGGCATATATATGCGGATGAGGAGATTCGGCGGAAGCTGAGGGAGGAGTTGAAGAGTGTGATGCCGACGCCTGAGTCTCGACCGCGGTGGAATGAGTTGGAGAAGTTGCCGTATCTGGTGGGTGGCTCTCTTATCCATGAATCCCGCTGTCACTATTCAGCAAGAAGTTCCTGTTTCTGACGGTTTTAGTCCGGTGTCGTCAATGAGTCGCTTCGCTTGTCAACAGGGATAGGAAACCGGTCCGCCCGTGTCGCTCCCACAGAAACACTGACGTACAAGGGCGTCACCATCCCACCAGGGGTAAGCCCCCAGCATTCTGAAGCTAGGCTTCGCTGTATAAAGCGCGGCCGCAAATCGGATCTGACCATGCCTGTCTAGACCCCGATCAGCTCCATCCACCAACCCATCCTGATGCATCCGGAGATTTTCCCCAACCCCGAGGCATTCGATCCCGAGCGGTGGATCCGCGCGGCGGCGCAAGACATACGTTTGGATCGATACCTGGTCAATTTCGGCAAGGGGAGCAGAATCTGTGTTGGACTGAAGTATGCCGCTTCCCCCTTACCCTAGGCTAACTTGAGTATGCTGATTGATGGCTAGTCTCGCGTATGCGGAGCTCTTCCTCGTGATTGCGCTGCTTGTCCGCCGATTTGATCTCGAGTTGTATGAATCGCCGAAGGACCGGCTTGAATTCGCGAGGGACTTTGGGACGCCGTGGCCTGAGGAAGGGGGGTTGAGTGTTCGCGCTAGGGTTGTCGGGGTCGTTAGTGAGTAGGACCGGTAAGCGTAGGAAGCCTGGGGGGATGGGATGGGGATCGTGCGGCGTAAGATTTCTCGACTAGTATACCTAAGCTTGCGAGCTGTCCAAGTGTTATATGATGGCCCTGGCAACTACTGCGGAGGAACTTCTTTCATCAGCCGTAAATATGGTGATGCCATAGCAGGAAAAGGGCATGACAAGGCTTGGAGTTTATGTTCTCACAAAAGGCGCTTTCTACTAAGACCCATGGTCGCAGACTCGCTTTTCGCATCATGGGAGTCTGTACTGCAAAAGTCATTTCGGCCAGGCGAGCTGCAGCCTCCAATACGTGGATAAGGATGGAAACCATATTGGATGACAGATTCGTCGTTGGTTCATCGGCACTCAGGAGGACAAGAACATGCAGAAATTGACAAAATGCCCGTATATGCTCCAGAACGCCAGATATGGAAATATACCACCAGATAGGACACTCCTGTCCGATGAGAATCCAGCTAAACGCCCTCGAACCATGTATGCCCTAGTGCCTGCCGCGCTGTAATCCGTTTCGCTGGATCAAACCGCGTCATGGCGCAGATAAGATCTTTGAAGTCCTCATCAACGCCATTCCAGAACGCGAATGGCTCACGCGGGGTCTCCTGGTTGAAGCCATCACGGGTCACTTCGAAGACCCGAACCCAGGGGTTCTGATCACCAAGGTGCTTCAAGAACCCGTTCAGCCCCTCTTCGTCTGCGAAGTAGGAGGTCTGCCGCTCAAGAACGACAGCGAGGCGATCGACGCCCTCTTCTAACTCGTCTTCTTGCACGGCGAAGATCAGGCGCTTGTGGACGGCGCTGATACACTGTCGACTAGTAGTTAGCAGCGCTTGATAAGAGGAAATAGGAACTATTCGAGCAGGGTGAGACGTACAACAATAGCAAACGAGAAAATATCAGAAGGTTTGTTGATAGGACCTCTGGCGTGCGCTTCGGGGCTCCGCCACATCCAGTTGCCGGCTTGTTTCCCGACCATGTCGCACCCCGGGGGTATGTGCGCTGCGTCTTCCAGATCGCCGAGTTGCACTTTGCTAACGGCGATTTTATTATTGCGGTCCTCCCAATTTATCAGGACATTGTCGGCTTTGATATCTGCAGGTGTCAGTACTCGTCTACCCTGTATTTTCAGAGATCGGCACCTGTGTGAACGATATCCCGATCATGGAGCTCAGCCAGGCCGGTAAGCGCGTCCTTGAGGATCCTCTTGGTCACCAGAAGCGGCAAGTCCTTCTGTGCGAGATTTAATAAATGGCCCGTGAAATGCTCGAACACGAACATCGACTTCTCGGGGATCGTGTCCAGGGCAAGGCGGACATGGCTTCCATTGCCACGGAGCCGGTTGTTAAGCTCTTGAAGATCCTTGAAGTTTACGGGATGGATGTACTTCAGTATATAGCTCTGACCGTCCGCCCTGAAGCAACTAAGGTAAGCATGAATGTAAATAGCATCCGGTGTCTACTCACGAGGCACGATAGACTTGACGCGGGGGTGAAGCTTCCTCCTGCAGGACATGTTCGATGGAATATATGCGGCCTGACGAGCCAATGTGTTTGGTGGAGAGCAGAGAGCTGCTTGATCTCGTGCTGGTTGCGGGACCTGGATGAAGAAGAAACCTTGTTGCCACAATCAGTGTGTGCTGGAAACAGCTTGGGTACGTCGTGTTTTTGCGTAGACGACATGCAAGGAGAGTACAGATGAGTCTTGACATTGGAAACAAGGTGCGTTTGAGTCGCGGAAGTTTTTTCTCAGTTTCATACCGAAGGTAGATGGTTTATGGCAGGTTTCTCATTGAGTCAACCCTGTGGGAGGTTACCTGGGGGTGCAATACCACGTGACATCAGGGGACCGGTGCCTGGGCCTGACAATCATTATCCCTAAGCAGCTATCTGAGGAACTGAAGGCGCAGATTAAAATCCCTAGCTCCACTCCACCCATTATACGGTATCTTTGGTGGTCGGTACCCTGAACCTGTAGCCGCTGAGTCGCAGTGCCGCAGTGCAGTAGCTCGTGCGGTAGTACCTTGTCTCGGTCTGGTTGAACGCTCAAACCAAGCGCTTAGTCTGTTAGCAGTACGGTAAGGTTATTGCCGCGGTTCTGTCCGTCGAATCATTTCCGCTTCGACAGTCGCCGCAGTGTCTGCCACCCTACCTAGGACTCAGAGCCTCGACGCCAATAACCGAGAATCCAGTAGAGGAGTGTCTACCTGGGTTTGTTTCAGCCTCGTTCCCAGTGGTCAATTGCTGCCAATGAATACGCGCTGTGTTTTGTTTAACACAACCAGCCCCCCAGAGAGAAAGATATAAATAGCCCAGATGACCTCTTGGGGCTGGTATCAACAAGCACACCTTCATCATTATTCTTTCGAGTTCCACTGTCAAGCACAGCATCTTTCTTGCACCATCAGACTTACTAGTATCCGTTTCAGTATGTCTCGATCCTTCTCAACCACCTTTCGCGCATTTCTCGATATTTTCTGGAAGAACACCGCAGCGATTCCAGAGTATGATGCCAAGATCAAGCGCTCGATCGAAACACACCCAAAACTCAGTCAGTGGGCGAAAAGAGTTGAAGTTGCGTGAGTAACAACAAATGTTGAGTAATTCCATCATCCATGCTTATCCTACTGCTAGGGGCGGCGAACATGATTCTACCGAAGACCCTGACATGCGCGTGTCAGGGCAAATTTTCAACAAGGAGGGGGCGCGGATCACGTCGGGACACTGGTACAAAGATGGGCGAGTGGTCTACTCGAAGAAATCCTTTAACAACTGATTTGACTGGTTATTGTTTGCCACTGGGTTGAGGGAGTTGGAAAGATGGGGAATGGATATTGGTACAGGGCTATCTGGGGAAATCACATGACCACTCGCTGGGGAGTCGGTCCGTGCATGACTCTCCTAGACTCTTAAATCAACCAACCTCCCTGCTTCCGCAATACCATCAACGAACCCACGCCAGGGGTAAACAATTCATCCTTCTGGCGATGTACCTTAGAAGAATTCTTCAGTCTGTTCCCTGCAAGCCCTCCACGCTACCCGCAAAGCTACTCCCGGCAGCCGATCTAATCGAGGAAGAACACACGCCCCACTACAAGCCCCAGCACTTCTACCCCGTCCGTCTGTATGAGGTTCTCAACAATCGATACCAGATCGCTGCCAAGATCGGCTGGGGCACAAGTTCGACCGTATGGTTGGCGCGGGATCTGCACCAGTATGCTTTATCGGCTAACAAACCCTTCAGCTCCATATCTAACTGTCATACTTAGATGGCGATGGCTCCCGCCCAAATATGTAGCCATCAAAGTCAACGCAAATAACTACGATTCTCGAGAATCTGCAGAGAAAGAGCTGCGCATTACGGAACACATCACCAACGCAAATTCTCGCCATCTAGGACGCAATTTTGTCGCGACCCTGCTAGACTCGTTTCGTCTTGCTAGCCCTGGGGGCAGTCGCACGCATATCTGCATGGTCTTCGACGTGCTATGCGAGCCACTCTGGATGTTGAAGAGGCGGTTCGAAGGAAACACCATCCCCCTCGACGTCTTGAAGGAGGTGTCGAAGCTCATACTCGAGGGACTCCGGTACCTCCACAGTGAGTGTCACGTTATCCACACAGGTAAGTAGAGCACAACTCACCGAACCAATAACAGCTCTGCTAACACACAACAGATCTCAAATCTGATAACATCCTACTAGCCCTCAGCAACCCATCCATCTTGCACTCGGTCGCGCAAGACGAAATGAACAACCCCTCTCCACGGAAACAACTAGACGATCGGGAAATATACCTATCCCGAAACTACTGGGGCCTCTCGTCCAATGACCTAGGTAGATCGGTAATCACTGACTTTGGGCTTGCCGTACGCGGAGACGGGCCACCGAACAGTCACCTCATCCAGCCGGATGGTTATCGGGCCCCGGAAGTTTGCCTCGGGTGCGAGTGGAGCTATAGTGTTGACATTTGGAACTTGGGTGTCATGGTAAGGATCTTGTTCTAATAGCGTGCTTTGATACCACTAATAATCCTTGATTGTGTCAGCTGTGGGATCTATTTTACGGCCGAGGACCATTTGACATACCACCTGGCTCGGACTTTCACTCGTACCCCTCCGGGTCAACAGATGAAGCCCATCTAGCTCAAATCATCTCACTCTTGGGCCCACCTCCACGCGATCTTCTCAGCCGCGGGACGGAAACATCTCGGTATTTTGACGCTCAAGGTATGCTACTTAGCTGCAGTTGTCATAGACATAAGAATACGTCGCTAACTGCTTTTAACCATAGGGCAATTCAGATTCCCAGAGCTCATAGGGAAAAGAGATCTGGCTCTCATGGCTCAGGATATTGACGAGGACCCTGAGGGAAGAGCTCAATTTGTAGATTTTATTTCTGGAATGCTGCGCTGGAGGGCTGAGGATCGTCCTACGGCGGAGGACTTGCTTTGCCATCCGTGGCTCCCGCAGACGAATATTACGAGGGAATGAGGAGATTACTTGCACAGTAAATGGATCTAGGGATTTTTACCGGAGACACTGAGCGTATATCTCCAGGGTAGTGATCAACCCTCAAGTGCCTACAGAGCGAAGAGAGAGAGTATACACAGGCCTCAGGTAAACAGATGATAGTAAAATTAACAATACTAGAACTACCCAACCAATGGACGTGACGGACCTTTAGATTCTCACAACTTGTAGTGCGAATCAAAATGACAAATTGGAAAGGTCATGACGCACACCAGGCTCCAACTGAACGCACAGCACAAATCGGCAGAACAGAACAAATGAACCAACATAGAAGAGCCCGCACCGGCACTTCATAAGGCAGAGTGTGAATGATCAATACTTCCATGAGCAACGTACCATGGACGCGCCGTCGGAGAAAGGTGCGCGCAGTCTCCCGTCTGATATAAATCCGACACTTTCGCCTACGCAAGAAGGCCCGGCGCTGAAGAGAGAATAGAAAAAGGATATTAGCATGCATCTGTGGCATGGTAAGGTAGCTATCGATATCCCGCTGATGGAGGCAGAGCCAGTGGGTGTGGTATGCGTAGGGTTAGGTAGGGTTGGAAAGGGAAGGAAAGGAAAGGAACCTTGGAAAGCAAGAGGACATACGCGTAGAAATCGCACCAGTAGCGGTTGTAAACGATCTGGCCGTCGGGGTCCTCCCTGCCAGAGGCTCCGCTTGCTCGTGTGGCGGGAGCCGCTCTGGAGCTGCTTGTTAGCTCCCAGCTATGGTACCTTGGGTATAGGTGCTCAACCCTCTTCCGGTGTAGGACGAGGGTTCGCAAGGTTGGGCAGGTGGGTGTGGGATGTGTGTACACACAGGGAATCTGAAAAGTCCACGCATTCGCACTCGCGGGAGACAGTTATTCTTTCGGTGAATTCGGCATTACTGATGGTCTGTGTAGTTCATCCTATATCAGCAGCGCGCTAGGGACGGTAGATTGGGATGGATTGTTGGTGGTGAGGGCGGGTGGGAACCTGCACTTACCAACTCGACAGCATAGCTTGGGACGAGAAGGGCCAGGAGGGGCAAGACGGAACGCATGGCTGAGGATCTTGGGGCAGGCTTGAGTTGAGAAGGGTAAAAACTGTACTGAGTAGAAACTGTGAGGGGAGCTGGATGAAGTGGAAGGAGCAGAGGGGCCCTTGCTGCTATTTATGCACCTACCGACCCTACTCTCGGATCAGGAATCAACTCTGCTTGTTCTTCCTTGATTCCCAGGAAGCAGGGATTCCTGGCTTGATCTGTCCTTGGCCATGACACCGACTACAGGGACACAGGGCGTTTTCTATGGACCTATTCCTGTAGGCAGCTTGTGCGAACCATGTGATGACCAGGTGAATGCTTGCTTTTACCAGCTTACCCTCCGAAGCTGTGCCTTGGCGTATTGGAGGGTCAGGGAGATTGTGATCCGAAATGGGATGTCGAAGAACCCAGTCATAGATCCAGGATTTCAGATCCGCATGACTGGCGTGACATCTGCCTGGGGAACGTTGATTGGATTGGGGTTACTATAACTCCGGCAACAGCGTAATGATTCCCAATATTGCCTGCACGTACACGCAACCCTGTGTCCCAAGCTCTCTGCTTAATCCGGAGGGAGAAAAAGAAAGCACGACAGTGCCCCGGGCCCGGAACCATTCGTCCATGAAGAATCCACCTACCCTACCATAAGCTGACCTGGAGGCCCGTTGCACTGGACTATTTTCCATTACGCTTGAAGCATCCACTGACACAATAACCTAGCAGGGTTTGGCAAGGGCTTCCCCGCTCTGTGTTCGCATGGACATTGGTAGGCACATGGATCGTAGCTTGAGCATTATTGGGCCTGGTTCCGAGCCCGTCCGTCTCTCATTCAACGAAACGAAAGTCACGATCCGTTGAGAATGGTGAGTCCCTCCAACAGTCCTGGATACCCTCCCACCAATACCCTGTCCTCCGACTTCAACCCCTCTCCGCGGCGAACAGTCCAGAAACTAGGAGGTGGAGGAACGATCCTGGTGCTTCGTGCGTAGTTGCGCCGCCGGCAGCAGTATTTTGCAGGGAGCCGGGCGTGTTGTATAAGCTTCGACATACATGACCGGTCTGGTGGTAAGCAAGTCTCACCCACCCTTGGCAGCCCCGATGCCTCCGTGCCGGCGGAGGGGGTGTTTTTAGTATAATGCTAGTATAGCCCTAATATCATATTAATTATAAATATTATTATAATATTATATTAAAGTAAAATATAGTACTAATACTATATTAAAATTAATATATTTTACTTTTAAATATATATATTTAGTTTTATAATATATAATATATATAACCTATATTTAAAATAATATATATTGAATTTTTAATATATATTTTTAATTAATATATATTTTTTCTAAAAAATATATATTTACTTAATAAAATATATATTATTTAATCTGGATATATATTATATAAGTCTGATATGCATCTGATATGCATTTGATATGAATTTGGCTATTTAATATATATTGAACTTTTTGATATATACTAAATATTTATTAGTTAAATAGGGTATTAAATACTATATTAATAGTATATTAAGGCTTAATTATATATATATATATATATATA